AAATCTGTACGCGCCAGAAAAAAACACGAAATTTTTGTGTTTAAAATGAAAATCATGACGACAAATTAAGTTTCATATTTCATGCCTTGATCACATTATAGCGATTGACTAGTGAGAACATAATCGCATCTTATTAAACAGTAATATGGCACATAATGACGGATTATCTAGAGTTTTTATAAAAGAGATTGGTGTGAAAGCTTTAGGAAAATCTTTAGAGGAATTGAAACTATGATTAGAACATAACTTACTAGTTTGCAGTATTTTCTATGCTAGCATAAAATTTACATTAAAAGAAATTCTAAATGAATATAGATTGACACTTAAAAATTGTAGTATTGTACTAGGTTTTAGTATTGTACTAGGTTCTAGTAATACACTAGGTTTAAGAATTGGTTTGAAGATTAATTCTTTTAATAAACCTGATTCAACAGATCTAAAACTAAAGTTTTTCCTTAAATCATCCACACCAATGCCAGAAATGAAAGCTTTAGCTACCAATTCTCCTTCTTTATCTCATCCCAAACTTATATACCTAATATTTATTATACAAAAATTCAAGAAAAAAAAAATCATGAAGAATAAAAAATTATTAATCAAACTAAATTTAACGGAAGCTCATGAATGAAAAAAAAGAATGAAAAAAAAATCAAATCACAAAAAAATTGTTAGATGTTGTATTTATCATGATGATGAAAAAAAAAATATATATTTATACTATGTGTCGCTTTGCAAAAAAAATACCATTTTTTAGAATGTCCACCATAATTTACATTCATTAAACGTTTTATATATAAAGACGATTTAAAGAAAAATACAAAAAAGTGTAAATTAAAGCGAAAAGATGCTATTTTTTCTTCTTTTTTTATATTTTAATGAAAATCTCCTCCACTTTTATTATTAGAAGTGAAGTATTGGAAATGAAAAAAAAAATTGTTACCGATTATTTGGACTATAATGTGAAAAATTTATCTAGTCTTTTCAAAAAAAAAAAAAAATCCCCAACTACGGTGTGATTTGAAAAGAGAAATAATTTGACTGTGTTAATAATAATTTTTATAGTGATAAGAGAATTTGAGAAGTCAAGTTTTTGGTCTTCTAAATTTTGTATCACTTGAAAGAAAAATCGGAAAAGAATTTTGATTTCTTGTTTGAAATATTTAAAAAATTAAATCTAGTGATATATTTTTCCCAGAAAAAAAAGAAACTTTTTAAGGAAAATAACTTCATAGTTTTTAAAAATTCTTATGAAAAAATTGGCTTTAAAAAAAAGAAATCGAAATTCGTCAAAGTAAAAAAATTGTGTTCCTTATTGTAATATTATTGAAAAAAAAAATGTTTTTTAGTAATCAAAGTAAAATCAAAGTATGGTGCTGAAAAAAATTAAACTAAAGAGAATAAAAAATTCGTAATTTAAAAAGAAAAATTGTGAAAAAATATTAAGAAATTTTTTTGAGGGAAATGACTGAGGAATAAGAAAAAAATATTTAAAATTAAGGAAAGAAATTTTTTATTTATAATTTTTAAAACTTGACAAATGTTGTAGATTTGAGTTTCTAAATCAATTGACAACAAATTCAAGACCTTTTTTTTCATTTTCCCAATTTTCCTCCCCAAATACTTAACAAAACCAACATTCAATAAAAAAAGTTGAATCCGTCAAAAAACAAAATAAAATCACATAAAACCATAGCTAAAAATGAGACAACAACAAAAAATCAATAATCATGATTAAAACAAGAAAATAAAATGAAAATATCAAAAATGTCAGTACAAATCACAGGTTTATAAAACAAATGAGTCATGCCAGATATAAAAGAAGTTTCCATAAATTCAAAAATTTATTAAAAAAATTCACAATAGTAAATTCACAATAACTGCATTTTTGAAACTTGCCATGTAATTTTATAATTTCAACTTCAATAGTAAAAAACATTCCGATTCAATATTAAGAAAAAAATACTTTTGTGAAGTTAACAGGAATTTTAATGTCAATTTTGACTTAATTAAAAATTCAAAGTAACTTCATGAAGGAATCCTTACTAAATTAACAATCGTCCCAGTTTAATTCTTCTAAATCAATTGAATTACGTAAAAATTTCTAGTTCAAATTATTCTTATGATTTTTTAAGCTTTATGAAAAGGATCCCATCACTTTAAAGCTTGCTTCCTTTTTATTTTACTTTATAAAAAGGAATTAAAATTAACAAAATTTAATTCAAAATCCATTTTTTAATTTATAATCTTAGCTTTTATTTTACATTTTTGCGTTAATGTATGCATATATTAAGTATAAGAGGCTTTAAAGTTCATGCATTTCACAGAAAATCTTGGCTTACAAAATTACTGTGCCACATTTTTTTAATTTAAATCTTTTATATTATCATTGCTTTTATTACGATTAAAAAAATTATTTTTAAACTCTTATCATTTCATTATTTAACGTTTAGATTATGTTAGGCATTTAGATTTTAAATTTATGAAACATAAGAACTTTATGTTGAATCAAAAAAAAATTAAAATTTAAATTTATTTTGTTAAGATTGAATCAAATGTGTAAAGTATGAAGAAACAAATGAGAGACGTTTATTGATTGAAAAATTATTAACAGGAGTCCTATATGGATGTTTTCAGAAAGATCTTAAAAAGATTTTAATTCACTAATTCTGATGAAATTTTAAAATTTTGAATCAGTTTTGAGCATTTTGAATTCAAGAATTAATTTTTCAATCAATAAATTCCATTTTATGCTACATTTAAAACTCATTCAATTTAGTTTATGTTGCATGGTCCCTCAATTTGTAGTTCAAACATTTCATGCTTTACATTTTAAACATAAACATGAACTCCAAAGTTCAGTAAAAGATAAGAAAACTAAATCTGCAAAGTCACATTTTCCGTTAATTGAGTTAAGTTTGTGTATGGTTATTTTTATGTATAACATTTTCAGTTTTTAAAACGCAAATAAAAGTTGAAATAACAAAGAAAAAAGAAAAAATAGAACATTGGACGAAAAATCACCATTTAATAAACATTATTATAGTTTATAATAATTTTATTATTTCTTCTCATATACATTACGCAAACATGATGATACTTTCAATTTTAATGAAATGATTTTCATCAATTTAGTTATTCTTTATTGAATTCAAGACAAAAAAATAATATTGAAAAAAATAGAAAAAAAAATATGGAAAATGACTATAAAATAGTTTTAATGTTAAGAACTTTTTTTTATTTGTAATTAGTTAAGATGAAAAGCTTAGTTGTTGATTTTTAACATTGTCTTCTATCTCTTTAAATCGTTTAACTTTCAATTTGGACAACTTTTGATGATTCTATTTTTAAGGAAAATTTTTTGAATATTCGAATGATGTTGAATCAGCTATAAATTACTTTTTAATTTACAAAAGATCATTTCAAACCTACTATTATCAAAAATCTCAAAATTAAAACCTTGTTTTGAGATGAAATTCAACCAAATAAATCGTCAAAAGTTATCGAGATTGAAAAAAAAAATATCACAACCAACATAATCTTCCCCCCTATGATAAAAAATTATATTTCGTTTGTATCATTCCAAAAAAAATCACTTATTATAATTTCTTCCTTTTCAACTCTTTGGGACCAAAACACAAATAAAAAATAGACTTCAGAATATAAACGAGAAAAAAAATTCTACTATCTTTTTAAAAAACGGAAATGAAAAAAAATCTACTTTTGGAATATACAAAAAGGAATATTATACATATATTTATGTCTTTCTCTTTACTACTTCCCCCATCCTCCTCATATCACATATACTCTTATTATTTTCATTGCCATTCCAAAAAAAAAATATCATTTTATTTTTCCCAAAAACAAAACGAAATCTTAGCGGATCAAATAGCTAGCTTATTATGCGATTGTCTGAAGATATTTGTTTCAAAATGACAATTGCTTTGATCCGCTATGCAGAGATTATAAAATCATGAAGGATTCAAGAACAAAAAATAATAATTAAATTGAAAATGAAATTTGAATCGATAAAAGAAAATTCATTTTCAGTTTAAATTTTAAAAAAACTGTAAATAGAAAAAATCCAAATTTATTCGTATTTTATACTGAAAAAAGATGAAGAAATAATGAAAGTTGCATACATATTTTGAATGCCTTCAGTGTGTAAAATCGTAAAATTAAATTAAAATACATACAATAGTGATGAGGATGAAGCAGAATAAATTAAATTAAATTAACTTATACGCTCTTTTTTTGTTTATATTAGAAATCACAATAGAGTTCAATTGATAAGTCATCAATAATAAAAAAAAATCAAGACTTTATACTTTTATTTCTTATATTAATGCAAAAACAGAATGAGAAGAGAATTAGTTATTAGACATTTTATTTTGTACTTAACAGATAAGTATGACCGATCTTTTTTGTAAAACGCTAAAAATATGCATTTTTTGAGTTGATAGAAAATTCCAATTGTAATCGAATGTTTAATTGTAAATCAACTGAATGAAGAATGATGAAACAACAACAAATATTTATAATCATGTGAACTTTTTTTTGAATATAAAATATATTATTAACCAGTATTTGAGAAAATTATCAATGAATAAAAGAAAAATTAAAAAAAAATAAAGACTTTTGCCACATTCATTTCAGATTTTCCACACAATCCTGATTCTTTATGATCTATATTTCAGCGGTTTCTTTTGAATAATTGATCTACTTTTTCAGTTCTCTTACATTCAACCAATTTTACTCAATTTAATGTCAAATTTTCATGAACATTAATATTAAAAACATGTTAAGCTTTTATTTAAATTGTAACCGGCTTAATATTCAATCAAAAACCTTTATTTCCAACGGTTTTTTGAACTATAAAGTCTTTGTTCGGTTTATTGAGATTTTAATGAAGTTTGAATTGTTTTTATCGATTTAACGAAGCTTTAATAAATTATATTGTTGATTTCTTGAGCATACTAAATCATACAAATTAAAAGCTTAACATGAGTGATACAACCCTAAATGACTGGCAGGATTATCGATATTGGTGTAAATTGTGTGGTAGTTTTGATGCCACATTAACACCTGACAAGGAAATTCAAGAAATTATACATCAAATAATTGAAGTAAGAAAAGTAAACAAAAATCAAAAATCCTTAATTTAACATTGAAAACCTTTAATTAACAGCCATCGGCCTATGAAATATTAATATGTCTAGATTGTGGAAGTGTCTTAAACACATATCATGAGTTTAGAATGAAAGCCAAGCACATCCAACAAATGTTTGGAGAGATGTATGGAAATAAGTGTTTAGATGAAATTAATTCAATTAGATCTCGCTATAATCTAGAGCTCGGAACTATAATTGAAGAGAATCATGATAATAGTTTTGGGCAGATTCATTTAATTGTCAAGGATGAATGTGATATTATGAATGAAAGTATAGAAATTGATGATTCAGAGATAATTGAACAGGAAGTAATAGAAGAAGAATTCATTATTGAGGAGCATTTAGAACAGGCTGATGTCAAAGATTTCAATATTATAGACTCAAACAAGGTTCTTAAGAAACCATCAATTAATAAAACCGATTTAGAGAAGCTTTATCATTTTAAATGTCATGAATGTAATGAAGAATTCATGAAAATGCATCCACTATCTGTTCACTGCAAACAGGAACATAATACAAAGCCACAAGTTGAATGTTTGTGTGGTAAAAAGTTAAGCACTTGGAAACGATTAATGGATCACAAAGCAAGACATTTCAAAGATGAAAATCCATTCAATTGTTTGGAGTGTAACTTACATTATAAGACAATAGCTGCTTATGAGAAGCATTTAGAGAAGAAACATGGCGAGAATGCTGAAAAGTTTATTTGTTCACGTAAGTGCTGTAGAACTGTGTAAGTTTTTCAAACATTTTTATACTTTATATCCAATAGAATGTGGAAGGAGCTTTAAAGAGAAACAAATTCTGAAAAATCATGAAAGAGTTCATTTACCAGATGAACAGAAACTAAAATATCCTTGCTCGTACTGTGATAAAAAATTTGTGAATAATCATTGCCTTAAAATTCATATCGCAAGGATACACGAGAGAGGTAGATCACTAAATCTTCAAAATTTATATTGTATTAATAATCATGTCAAAAAATTTAATACAGTTGCCTTCTTTTTCTGTGAGATATGTGGGAAAGGATGCACAACTAAGTCAGACTTATTATGGCACATGGACAAGCATACACAGGAACGAAACTTTTCTTGCGAAATTTGCTCATTGAAATTTAAAAGCTCAAATTCACTTAGAATCCACAAACGTCGTCATATGGCAGTCGAAGCAACAAAACCCTGTCCAATTTGTGGAAAGGAATTTCGATCAAGTGCCGCATTAAGTAATCACAAACTCGTACATTCGAATGAGAAAAAGCATAAATGTGTCGTAAGTGCACAAGAATTTTTCTATTAAATAGTTTATTCGCACTTTCTATTTCGCATTTATTTTATACAGTACTGTCCCAACTCGTACAAAAGGCTGGAATCATTAAAGTGTCACTTATCAACTCACACTGGAAGTCGTCCATTCTCATGTCAATGGTGTTCAAAGACGTTCGTAAATTCAGCAAATTGTCGAAAGCATAAACTTAAGGAGCATAAGGATGAAGTCGAAGCATACGAGGCAGTTCATGGAAAGAAAGGCGTTTCCATCTCATTAAAAGATTAAGAAAATATTTATTTAAAATAAAAAAAGAAATGAAAAATCAAAGTAATCTAGTGTTTTTAAAAAGTATAATTTTCCATCAAAAAATTAGCACCAACTCGCTTATTATTGTTTTTCTTACGAGCTTACTATAAAGACGATCATCCAATTGACTCAATTGAACATTACTCGCTCTCGTCTCGTCAAGTCTCGAGAGTGATAAAATAATTTAAAAGAAACGAAAACAAAGAATCAGCTGTGAAGCGCAACTTCATTGAGATTTCCTTTGCATGCCTCAGATATATTCTCTCGCGAAAAACTTTCAATTCATTTCATATTCATTCGTTAGCATAACGCGAAATTGAACGGACGATAGTGGCACATAGTGGACTTGTGCCTTATTTTTATTTTGTAAGTTTGAGTTTATACGTGGGGGTGCTCGATTTGAATAATAATTGGTGATATTGTGATTTTGTTTAGAGATTTACAAATGTTTTCAAGGCTGTTGTAAGGTTTTGGAATAATTTGTGAAGCTTTAAAAAATCTGTTGAATTTGTGAGGTTCTAATTTTTTAAAAAGTCATTATTTTCAAAATTAAGGACCCCAAAAAAGCCACTCAAAAGTGCAACAAGTGATACGTATCAACTTTCACATGTGAACTGATTCATTTTCTATGTCTTTTCTTAGATTCCCATTAAAAATAGAGATAAATAGTTGACTTATGTGTTAGAACGTGCCGTATCTATTACAAAAGACTGACTTTAATAATCGAAAAGGGAATTACGAAATAAGCCGAGCCTAACGAAATAAGAAAAGAGAGAATGCTCTGCAATTGTAGGATTGTATCGTTAATAATAGTTCTATTGTTATCATCAATCAAATCAGATGAATTTAGTGATTATGAAAATACTTTGTTGAACAACGAAGACACGCGCTATGATAATATCCCAAATCAAAATAGTAATCAGCATGGCAAGTGCATTTCACATAATCTTGAAAATGAGGCAATTGAAGAGCGTGGGATGATCATGAAGGAAGCTCAAACATCATTCATTCCATATTGTCGTCATGAGAATTTGGCAAATAATGGACAAGACTTGAAATTTGATCCATTGCTGTCGGATTTAAAGAAGAGAAATAGGAGAATGGCTGACGTGATAAATGCATTGCACTTTGAAAGCATGCACACTCTGACACCTGATCAGATTCGGTCATCACAAGCAAATATAATGAAGCGATACATGGACACAACGGTTAATCCTTGCAATGACTTTTATTCGTACGCTTGTGGCAATTGGGCAAAACATAACTCCATACCGTCTGATAAAATCGCTTACGACACATTTGAAATATTGAGGGAGTCACTTGACAAGGCACTTAAAGATCTATTATCAGATGAAAAAGAAGAAAGGAAGAAGATTAAGAGAAATAAGAGAACGCATGACAAGCGATTACGTCGTCATGAGAAAAATGCAGAAATGAAGGCAAAGAATCTCTTCCAATCATGTATGAATTATGATCAAATTGAAAAGCGGAATATTGAGCCATTGAAAGAATTATTGGAGTCACTAGGTGGATGGCCTTTACTTGATAAAAATTGGGATGAAAAAAATTTCGATTGGTTGGAACTTGTTGCAAATTTAAGAAGATTCAATAATGATATACTGATTATGCAATATGTTGGTGCTGATATCCACAACTCTAACCTTAATGTGATTCAATTTGATCAAACTACTCTCGGATTACCAACAAGGGACTACTTTTTGAAGACTGTTAATGAAAAGTACCTAAATTCTTACAGAAATTTCATTACACAGACAATAAATTTACTCGGTGTTGAGCATTTCGAGGCAAAGGATCGAGCTGATGAAATTATTGAGTTTGAAACAAATCTTGCGAAGATCATGAGTGCACAAGAGGATCGAACGAATATTTCTGAATTATACCACAACATAACTTTAGCTGAGCTATCAAAAGAAATTCCTGGTATCGACTGGATTCGATATTTAACTATTGTACAGGAACGAGTTGTGGATAGCAATGAGGTTGTCATTATGTTTGCTAAGCACTATATGCAGGAGCTTGTGAAATTGATAGACAACACAGAACCGGCAAATGTTGCAAATTACTTAGTATGGAGATTTGTAAGGCACAGAATCAATAACTTGGACAATAGGTTCTTAGAAGTCAAACAGAAGTTCTATCAGGAATGCTTTGGACGAGAGAAATCGTAAGAAATGATTTATTTACATTTATTAAGAGACAAAAAGGTTTTTTTATTTTTGGCGGGAATGTTTTTTTTTCACTTGGAACTTTTGATCTCAAAATATGACTTGAATAGAAGCATTTTTGTCAGTTCAAAGAGTAGACAACACTTACTGGTTGTGAGCAAAGCTATTGATACCAAATTAAATTTGGCAGTTTGCTTAATTAGTCCATAAATTACAAATTATTATTTTGGCGGGATAAATTATTGTCCCTCATTTGATATGCCTTAATCAGACTATCAGGCAACAAAGTAATCGAACGATATGACTACATAGAAGTTAATTATCTCTTATCATTCAATTTTCACAGACCAGAGAGATGGAAACAGTGCATTTCGCAAGTGAACAGTAACATGGGTAATTTAAAGCATGAAATCATTTATTAACGGCGTATTTATCTAATAATAAATTGTTTAATAGGCATGGCCGTAGGTGCTCTTTTCGTTCGTAAATATTTTGACGAGAATTCTAAACTAGACACACTGACAATGGTACGTGAACTTCAAATAAGCTTCAGAGAGATTTTAAATGAAACAGACTGGATTGATGAAGTGACAAAAACGACTACAATTAAGAAACTCGACAATATGTCTTTGAAAATTGGTTTTCCGGATTTTATAATTTCTAGGCATAAATTAGACGAGAAATATTCAGCGCTGCATATTCATCCAGACAAATATTTCGAAAATACTCTGAATGTTTTGAAATATATAAATAAAGAGGAACAGAAGAAGGTCGGACAACATGTCAATAAGACAATTTGGCAAACATATCCAGCCATTGTTAATGCCTTTTATTCGCGTAGCAAAAATCAAATCATGTTCCCAGCGGGAATTCTCCAACCACCGTTCTATCATCGATATTTCCCAAAAAGTATTAATTATGGTGGAATTGGCGTTGTGATTGGACATGAATGCACTCATGGCTTTGACGATGTGAGTGCAAAAAACATCACAAAATCAATTATAATTAAATTCAATAAATGATTTATTCCAGAAAGGTCGTCTCTTTGATAAAGATGGAAATTTAAACAAAGTCTGGTCCGATTACTCAATAAAACAGTTTCGAGAGAAGGCGAAGTGTTTAATAAAACAATTTAATAAATATACATTGACTGAGATAGGACAATCGATTGACGGGGAAACGACGCAAGGTGAATATTAATTCTGTTGCCAAGGAGCAGATCATGGTTGATTCTCGGCCCGAGTTGCGAAACAGACCACCTGTGACAGGTGAGAACCGTTCAATTCCTTGATAATTTGTATGGTTCTGTTAGAAAAACCTTATAAATTATCAAGGAATTGTAGGGGGAGTTTTCTCCCAACCTCCGAATGAGGAGGTTGTGGAATTGTGCAATACTTCAAAATTAATTAATTACGCGTAGGAATAAGTCACAAACCTTCGGGAAATGTCTTCAAAGTAACAAAGAACAAAGATACCAAGGAGAAAACTCAGCAAAGTCGCGATTTAATTAAATTTTGGATATAAATTGAAATTGAAAAAAAAAATGTGCAAATTTTGAACATAACCTAGACAAAACGGAATTGATCATCATCGGAATACCAACGAACATTTAATTACATTGACAAATCACGATCGGCGGCAGTTGTGAGGAGAATCAATTGTTTCACGTGGGTTTTTTGTGTTTTACCAACAATCGTGGACAAGAAGGTTCTATCATAACCATAACCTAGACATTGAATATTATTGGAATACAACGGAATATCGTCAATTGTGAGGAGAATTTGTCTCGCGATGGGTTTTGTGTGTTTCCCCATATATCGCGGGCAATTCTATCAATCAATTGGTGCTGACTGGATTTCAACAAATCAACATTAACAAACAGGAGTCGATCATCTCGGAATACAGCAGATCATATTAATTAAATTGACAGATCACAATCGAGACATAAGAAAAAATTGAATCTATTTGGAATATCACAAGTTAAATTACAAGGACTGTCAAGGGATCTGGATCATCGACAACCGAAGATGGAATTTTTTGCTTAACGATGGTTTTTTGTTGTTTGGACCTATCGCGGGCATGTTTTCTATCAACCATTTGGAGTTGACTGGATTTTATTGATTGTTCTTTGTGTATATTTGTAAATTAAACTACCTGGAATTGTAAACGGTCTTTAAATAGCAATAAGCTGATGGACCATAATAAAGTTAATTAAGAAGAAGAAGAAGAAGGAATTGTAGGGTTCTCACCTGTCACAGGTGCCTATTTCGCAACTCTGTTCTCGGGACTGTAGAATAACGATTGTTTTTAAAACCCTACAAATGATTTGAAATGCGAAAACATTTGTATGGTTTTCTTTTCAAAACCTTTGTAATGTTTTGGAATTCAAATTTTCAAAAATCGTTGAAAATTATTTTCAAACCTGCTTCAATCAAGCATGAACTTGACCTTCTATCCATTTCACAGGAGAAAACATAGCAGATGGTGGTGGATTGAATCAAGCATATCGTGCGTACACGCGTTGGTTAAACAATCAAAGAGATCCAAAAGTTCTCGAGCATGAAGTCTTTCCAGAACTAAATCTGACGAGTAAACAGCTGTTTTTCCTTAATTTTGGCCAAGTCTGGTGTGGAGAAATCCGTGAAGAAGCGAATAAAAATAAAATGAAGACCGCAGTTCATTCACCTGGACGATTTAGGTACGATATAATTTTATATTCAATGTTAAGGTTTGAAACTAATAAGATATCTATATTGTAGAGTGATAGGCGCATTATCGAACTTCGATGAATTTTCCAAAGAATTTAACTGCCCCATTGGCAGTCCAATGAATCCACAAAATAAATGCAAAGTATGGTAATTTTGTTACCCCTTCGTAGACAAAAATATTACTTTATTACTATTAGTAACCAATGAATTATTTTTTTCCATGACAATTTTAAATGTTTAATGTCAAAAACAAGTTCTTAGTCGTTTAGATCAAACAATAAAGTTTCTAATAAAAACTCTATCTTTCTTTGTGGCTTCAAAATTATTTAATAACTCTCATTAAAGCAAGATGATGAAAAGTATTTTATCATGTGATCGTGACTTGAAAGAAACCGCAATTATAGAAAAGCGTAGACAGGCTGAAGAGCAAAGAAAGAAGCGATTTTTTAATGAGAAGAACAGAATTTTGGGGATCGATTCTGATGCCTTAAACAAGCAATTGCTTGAGAAGGAGCAAAAATTGGAAGCAGAAAGAGAAGAAGCTCGAATTGCTGCTGAAGAAATGAGAAGGAATTTGGACCTTGCATCACAACGTGAACGAGAATTTCGTGATCAAAAGAAGCAGTCGGAAATTGAAATGAATGAGTTCCGTAAAAACTGTCAGCAGTCAAGAGATGGCGTTGATTTTGACTTGAATGATCCTGAAGGTCAAAAAAATGTATATCCAGGACGTTTGGATGATAATGATCCTCGTTTGAGTATTTCTGGTGGTCAGCAGTTCATTGGAGAGGATCTAATGAACGAAAATCGCATTCGTGAGCAGAAAAATCTGCAGAAGCAGTGGCTTGATCAGCAAATAGCTGAAAGGAAGCAACTTGAAAGCAGCAAGAAGGAAGCTGAAAAGAAAATGTCAGATTCTTTATGTAAGCATGATGCACATGCAGTTTTTCTCGGACATCGAATGCATGATGATAAGCGTGGACTACAAAAGCAGATTCGCGAATATAATGAGTCACTTGCACAGCAGAAACGTGAAAATGAAAAGAAGATGAAAGAAATGGAACAGCAAGATAATCAAGCTGAAATCTACAATTTCTTATCAAGTGACTTACTGAAGGAAAGTCAACCTAATGGAAGTAACCTTGGTCCAAACCGCTGCATTCCTTACATGTATAAAGGTAACTTATATCTGCTTATCAAGCATTTAGGGTTGGTTTCTTGGTTAAATTCTAGGGTATGCTCAAGGAACTGATCCCAAATCTTATTTTAAACTGTAAATAATAATGAACATTTAGGAATGAACTCTGAGCAAATCGAGAATCATAAAATGGAACAAGAAAGGCAGTTGAATGACATAAAGCAACGCAAGATGGATGATCAGCATCACAAGGAGGAATGGGAAAAATTGACAGACGAAATGCATCGTCAAATGACTTTAAAGGAACGCGCATTGTCTAGAGACATCCGTCAAATCAACTGTAAGATTCGTGAGGAAAATGAGCAGCTTGCTAAGGAACAGATTTATCAAAAAGAACATTATGATCGTGTCGTCAACACTAATCCAGCATCTGAAGAATTTTTTAATCAGTTCAGTACATCTTCTCGCTAATTTGTATGAATTTGTCAAATTTATTAAAGTATTGAGATGTCATTATATATTAGGAATGTCTACATACATGATTTATGTCGCACAAAAATTAATTAACATTTTTTTTGGGTTTAATCGATTAATTGCTTTAAAATTAAATTATTATGATCGTGAGTATCACATTAGAAAGTTTTTCCGCACAAGCATCCACGCACACACTTTATGTAGCCTCCTAGCATTGAGCAGGTAGTGACTCGCTATGGAAATAAAATAGAATTAAAGTTTTCCACATTCTTAAAATTGATTGTTTTTTAAAACTTACTGTTCGGCATTGACAACCTCACTAAATAATATATCAGCCTTTGATTTGACGAAGTAGACGAGCAAGAATGAGATGATCATGATAAATAAGCCTATTAAGAATGTAAAAGATTCATGGGCTATCGATGGACGGAGGAAAATACGTGCTGATAAGTCAGTCCAAGTCGATTCTGTCCATGTTGAATAAAGATTACTTTTAAAATTGTATCCTTCCTCTTCAAATGCGGGACTGATTGCATAGCTCAAGTTTTGTGTTGTCAATCGGCATTCGCCATTCTTTAAACTTCCAGGAATCCAATATAAAGGCAATTCAGTACAATTTTCTTTATCTTTATCAACTTTTTCACTTAACACGAATCCAAAGACTCGATAAGCCCATCCAGTAGCTTCTAAAGTAAGTGATGCTTGAACACTAATGTATCTTTGTGGTGGATAATTACTTCCTCGATAATCGTCATTGAATACAAAGATTGAATCGAAAAGACGACATTTTGTAGCAACTAAGTAGCAATAAAGGAACTCATCGACTAATGCTGAACTAGCGATTCCTTCGCCTGTATACTTTTGGTCCGTGAGAATATCATAGACCCCCAAAGCTAACAATGTTGCTATGTTACGAATTTTATTTTGGACTGAAGCTTCTTTTGTGTCTTGAACGACATCAAGTTTGTCAAAATCTAAACTTTTATTTTGATAGCTGTACTTTAAATTTCCAGCATCATCAAAGACTGAATGATAGAATTTATTTTCTGGCTTCTTTGCAGCTACAACAAAAGCTGGAAAGCTTGAATTCTCTCTCAAAAATGTCTGTGCTGAAACTGGCGGTAAGCTCATTGTTTCACGTGTTGTAATATTCACATTCAATCCAAATTTCTCATTGTAAGCTTGTGCTGATGCTGAAAATTTATTGGCAATTCCATTTGCTCCATTTATGGAATAAATCGATAATGTGTCGAATCCATCAAGTGGACCAATGTCAATCATCATGATTATATTATCCATAGTCAGTGGTTTTCTATAAGATGCAGGCGATGGAAATGCGTTCTTTTTCTTCAAGTCATACACGAATCTTTGTGACCCAATATAGTCATAAGACTCTCCATTGAATAGAACAAATAGGACATTCACATTATTCTTCTCAAAGACATCATTAGACACAATTTTTCTTAAATAATGAGCGGAAGTGATTAAAGTGGCTACGGAAGCTAAAGAATCAAGTGCTCCTAAGGCGATTCCATCAAACATTGAAGTTGTATCTAGTCTCGCAGATATTAAAATGATTTTCTCGCTTTGATCATTTGTTCTGTTTTCGGGATCAACAATTTTACGTGGAAATAAGGTGCCATAGATATTCTTGCCTTGAAGTGGATCACAATAAGTGATCTGCTTTAAGAATCCAGCAAATTTGGATCGTCGAATGCATACTTCAGAATTCCCAGCAGCTGACATGAATGAAAATAGCTCTATACTGCATAATGCTTTTCCAGCTTGACCTTCTAAGTCTGTATTGAAATCTTTAAAGCACTTAACAACCTTATCGGACTCATTCTTATTAGCCAAGAATATGATGGGGATGTCAAAGTTCTCATGCAAAAGTCCAGTTCCGTAAGGATTCCATACAGTTTCAGGCTTTGTGACGTCACAAACTGGCTGATTAATGTGACGGAAAAATTGATTTGGACATTTTGATTCTTGTGAGAAGTGTGTCATGTCTGAGGTGTCGTTAATTAAAATTATTGCTGATACAAATTTAGAATCTCTTAATTTTAGAATGTTTTCTCTGGTAAAAAATTTTGGCTTTAAAATTGGTGCATAAGGAGGCGCTGGTGCATCATTAATTATGAAATTTATGTCCTCTTCCTTCTCTATGTAATGCAAAACGCCGACTGATCCAGCAGATTTTCCTGCAGCTATGAAAATGATTAAGAATTAAAATTTCGATTTCTATTGTATAGTATGTCGATGAACTTACAACTACATCCAGTCTGATGAGTAGAATTAAGTCTTCTAAAGCACATATTACCGACTACATTTTCGTAAATCTTATCTTTTGTTCTATCGCTTGAAACTGCCATTTAAAATAATATTAATTGATTATTTTTATATCCAATGGATGCATTGATATTGTCTTACTTACCTAAACTTACAAAAACTACAATATAAAGTAAAACTATTAAATATTTTAACATTTTATTATCTGAATATCTTTTCTATGTGAATCATCAGAAAAACAAAACTAGTGTTTAAAGCATCAATGCAGCACAAGTAAGCAATAATAACGCATTTCATCAAAAAGTTTCTCAAATATACCTGAATAAGTTTATAAAGTTATCATTTAGATGCGAACGTGACTCACACGTGGTCAAGTCACCAAAAAATTTCAACTGTTCTTCTAAATTCAAACTTTAACGGTTTTCAAAAATTTAAAATTTGCGTAATTTTTTACTTTCAAATTTTTGACAACCGTTAAAATATATATAATTTAAAATCAACTGCATTTGAAAACATATTAGCATGTCTAGTTAACAGATTATTAACCACTAAGATGTTTGCTACCCAAAGTGACTTATTTAATGCCGTTATTCTCTCGATATTAGCTAAATTTGCGATATCTTAATCTGTGAAATCCTTCCAATCAGCGAAATACAATAACAAATTTTATAAAAGTTTAAAAAAGTGCTAGTTGAGATTTTTAAAAATTCGCTTAATTTAAGAATATGAAGCAAGTGTCATTCGAAGCACTCAAACTAAAGACTTTCCTCGAGTATTTAGAAAGATCGCCATCTATTGACAATGCTCTAATTCTGTTGCGTGAGCTGGATTCTATGAAAAATGAAAATTTCCAATTCATCCAAGATGTTTTCTTAAGCCGGTTGTTGATTATGATGGATGCAGCTGATGGATTGTAAGCTATTTGACTTTAAATCTTTTTTTGAAGCTTACAAATCAAAATTTGCAGGAAGAAGAATGAATTTAAGACTGCCTTGCTGAAATGTATGACAATAATCTTAAAAGGGTAAGTTAAACTGCAAATACTTTTAGATCAAGTCTAATTAGCTAACTTACAGCTCTCGGATCATGAAAGACCTCCCATATAAGACAATTCTGTGTATAGTATTAAAGCAAATCTTTGATTATCCAACAAACAGCTACAAAAAAGAACTTCCAGAGGAACTAAAAATTGCAGTATTTAAATGCTTTGAAGCTGCATCAACTCAATTAGAATTTGATGTTATTGAGAAGTTTATGGTCAATGAGAATAAGATTCTCTTGGGTCAATGCATCTTTATCTGTAAGGAAGCAATATCTAAAGAAACTTATTTAAAATTAAGGTAAGAATGCTTGCTGTATGTTTTTAGTTCCATTTCTAATGCCTGTATAATCTACAGAAAATCAGCAATTGAAGCTTTAATGGCTCTTACACAATGTCATGACAAATTTGATCAGAATGATTGTGTTCTTAAAGAACAAATATCAAAGATTCTCTTCATTGTCCTTCCACAAATAGCAACTGTCTTGATTAAAGTATGTCAGGAAGATTGTTTAAGAGGACCTAGTCTTATACAAGTGGCCTTGAAATGTCTTGGAAGATTCTTGTGCCTTATATTAGAAGATTATGACAAGAAAAGTTTAATTTCTGTTAAAAATGAAGATTTCTTGAAGCTAATCCAATCAGGCAGTGATCAGGAAGTAGCCATCAGCCCAAAAGTGACGAAACAGAATGTCGAAAAATTAGAAAAGTCAAAAGAATGGATGGCAACGACCTCACAGAACTTATCAAAAATCATAATAAACTTAAAATCTCTTCGTGGCAGTGAATATGTCAAAATTAGGCATGAATTTGCCGTCCTTAGTTTCAATCTTCTGTGCAAGTGCCAATCAAACTGCAAATTATTCATGAGATTTCTTTTAGAAAATTTAATTTTATTCACTGACGATTTCGATGAAAATATCCAAAAAGTTTGTCAAGATGGACTTAAGGAACTTACAGCCATAATACCCAACATAAATAAAGAAATATCTGATTTGTTTTCGATTCATTTAGCGACCATGCCTAGAATAATCTTAACAGGATTAGAGTCAGAGCAGTATGCAGGCATAGCATTAATTAACAGTTACCTAAAGATATTCTCAAACATTGAAGGTCATTTAGAAGGTTTATTTGAGAATCCAATGATGCTTGAGAAGTTTATTAATATTATGATCAGTTGCAGTGAAATTGATGCTCCAAAGGAACTTATTTTTCACGAAACAGCTGGCGCTCTTAGTGATGAATTTTATAAAATGAAAATGCCATGGAAACACTTTAAAAATCTTAAAAATGAATCTATTGCCCAAAAATTTTCAAGTGTCTGTAAAAATATTGGAAGTTCTAGGTTCTCTCAAGTCTGTGTTAATTACTTATTGGACAATATTAATTCTATTGAGTATCTCGTCTTCCTGAATGAAATTCTTAATTGTGAAAAGCAGAAATTGTCACTAAGTTCCGATCAGCTTGACAGCATAATGGAAGAATTTCTAAATGAAACTTATTGGTCATTTCCAACAAAAGCAGTCTCACAGGTTCCAAAAAAAGCAGGACGGGAAGAATGGTTCGAAGATCACACACCAGGACTTTATGAATCAGCTATTGAAGTAAAGTTAACGGATATATCATTAAATGACAATAATGAAGAACAACAAGTCATTTTAAACCTTAAAACCATTAAGTACAACATCCTTTGTACATGCACGATTTTAGAAATGACTGGAAATATTGCCTTAAAGCTTGAAAGTAAATTCCAAAAGTATATTTTGCGATGCCTTCATATGATTCTTGAAAAGGCAGGTAACTCTAATTTCCTCATCAAATCAGCAGGTCTTTATGCTCTGCAATGCATCAGTCAAGCTATGGGACATACTGAAATATCTCAACTTATTGATGCTAACTCTGACTATCTCCTATTCAACATCCACAAACTTTTAAGGCACGATCACGAAAATGAAGCCATTATTGACATGATGTCTGTAGTATTTAAATATTCCAAAGCATCAATTACAGCTTATGTTGAAGATATTGTTGAAATGGCAGCTAATCATATCATTAATGCAAAATTCAGCCAGAAAACGGCTTCATACCTAAAGTTATTCAAGCTTTATGTCGAATCTGTAAGGCAATGGAGTCCAGAAATTGAAATGGAAGTTGATGTAGACATTGAGACTGATTGGGATGAATTTTATCAACGATGCCTTCATATTCTTGAAAACGGTGATGATATTGACATGCAAATTAACAATGAACATCCAGAACAAGCTACTGAAGAGCCAAAAGAAGATCCAGAAGAAAATGAGCAACAGCCAGAAACAAATGAAGTAGAAAAGACACCACAGCACATCGAATTGACCATAAAGATTCTCACTTCCTCATTGCCATACTTTGCATCATCAAATCCTACTGAAGTGATTTTCGCACATGAAATATTTCAAAATGGATTTTCAGTTTTGCACTTTTACGAGAAAGAATTCCTTCCGTTGGTCCATCAAATGTGGTATCCATTTACAAAGCAAATTAATGGAAAGGATTATGTTATTTTACAATATTCAGTACGTCTTTTAAGTACCATAGCAAAATATGCTAAAGATTTCGTCTATAAACGGTCAACAGACAATGTCATTCCAGTCATCAATAAGTTCTTAAACTCATCATTTAGTCACACAAATAAGAAAGAAAATTTGTCATATACTCAAGAATTTAAGCTTCAGAAAGAGGTTTTAGAGATTTATGGTCAAATTTCGGTAGATTTAGGAATTGTAGAGAAGGAACAAGACGAGATAATTGACATATTGATGATGTATCATAATCAGCATTCAAATTCACAACTTAAAAGTTCTGCCAAAAAATCAATTGATGCTATTGCCAAATTTGACCCATTTGTGATTAAGTATAAGCTCAGTTTCCAATAAAATCATGGAGTGGGAGGGGGTGGGGTGCATGAAAACAAAATTAAGATTTTAACAGACCAAATATGTTTGAAATTTAAAAAAAAGGAATTCGCTTTGAATAAAATTTGAAATTAATATGACAGTTAAATCAATTTAAATCATCTTGAAGCTCAAAGCTAATATTGTCTAAATCATCATTTTGATCGAAATTTGATAAGAATTGTCTTGCCGATTGTACAGGTAGATGCTGTGCCAAGTTATTGCCTGAATCATACATTTCATTAAATGAATCTGAGAACGGTTGACTGACATTCTGTAAATCCTCTTTATAGCTGTATTCATTCACATGACTGTCATCTATTGATACTGAAAATGTATCGCTAATGTTTTGTAAGTCCTCATTATCATCTGGAATTTGATTAGATCTTTGAGTTTCTTCCCATGCTGCTGTAAATGATTTTTCCATAGCTGGCAATTTCTCTTTCCTAGGCGTCAAGTGTAAAGGAAGTGAAGTGTTTCTAAAACTGCTATTGCCTTGATCTTCATAAAATGACCTTGAAGCTGCTGGAACTTGTAGCATATTGCTGTTGCTTGTAAACGGATTGACTTTACTTTCAAGCAGCATTTGATTTATTCTCTGTGCTTCATGTGGCCTCAATGGACTTAAAACTTCGCGTGGTTGTTCGACGCTAATTTGAAAATTAAATCAAAATTAAGAATATTCTGAAAAAAAAATAACAAATAATAAGCATGTAACTTACACAACTGAAGTCATTGGAATCGGAAGGTCTTCAGGAATTCTTGATGGAACCACTCGAACAGGCCGATCAAATACAATTCTATTTGATGTAACTGGAAGTATTGTCGGCATACTTGTGTTCATCATTTTACTTACAGATTTTGGTTGTCTGTAATGAATTAATTAATTATTTATGATGCTACATGCTGCTTTCATGAAGCAATTAATTTTTAATCTCAACGGTTAAAATATTTTTAAACTTAACGAATTTTAAATTCGCCCTTGAACTGAATTTGAATTTTAAATTACTGTTAAAAAAATCAATTAAATTGCAGTAAAATTTCTACTCATTCATGATGACTGACTACATACCAATTAAGCTTTATGACTAATTAATTTACCTGCTTGGAAGTGAACGATCATGAACTTTTTCCCTTCGTCTTAGTCGCGTCGAGAGATCTTCATTTAATACAGAACTCAACTGTCTTATCAATTCTTTAAGATATCTATTCTTTTGTGGCTGTCGAGATGCACTTTGATTTGCTGCTTCATTGTCAAACTGCATCAAGTTTCCATCATTAAAGACAACATTTCTTTGTGGCGTTTTTGGGGGTGTACTGACGATATCAATTAAAATACCTTCTGTTGGCTGTTGACGAATAGGTGCTCTCGGTGACTGTTTAACTGGAGTTTGAGTTCGTTGCTGTGGACTTCTTATTGAAGTATGTTGGCCCCTAATTGATTGATTTAAGCCTGATAAGTCTGCATAATCAATTTCTGAAACATCCTCCAAGTTATCCCTCATTGATGCTTCCATTCTTCTCTGTCCAGGACTCTTTGGTGACATTACTACTTGATTCCTAACAGATTGATTCGGATGAAAGGAGCCTGACAAATTTGCGTACTCAATTTCAGAGATATCTTCTAAATTACCACGCTGTCTTCCCATTGAAACATTGATCCTTCTTTGAGGGCTTTTGGGAGACATAACAGCAGATTGATTAGGATGATAAGCACTTGATAAATTAGCATAGTCTATTTCAGATATATCCTCTAATCTACTTTCTTGTCTTCTTATTGAAGTTTCTGGAACTCTTCTAGGACTTTGCATTGACATGTTATTACCACGACTTCTATTTGATTGACTTTGCTCATGGATGCTTGACATGTTGGCATACTCAATCTCCGAAATATCTTCCAAATTAGCTCTTCCCGAAGTCTCGATGATTCTTTGAGGACTTCTAGGCACTTGGACCCTCTGTGGACTAGCAATTACCTGATTTCTTACAGATTGATTAGGATGGAAAGAGCCTGACAAGTTTGCATACTCAATTTCTGATAAATCCTCAAGATTGCCACCTTGTCTCATCCCTGAAGTGTTTATTCTTCTTTGTGGGCTTTTTTGCGACATAGGAACAGACCTATTTCCAATTGATTGATGAAGGCTTGATAGATTAGCATAGTCTATTTCCGATACATCTTCCAATCTGCTTTCATGCCTTCTTGTAGATGTTTCAGCTCTTCTTTGTGGACTCTGAATAGACATGTTGTAGGCTCTACTCATATTGATTACATTTGGCTCATAGACGCTTGATATGTTTGCATACTCGATCTCTGAAACATCTTCTAAGTTTCTTCCTACTGAAATGTTTGTTCTATTTGGAGTTCGTCTGATTCCTGAAGTATTGATCACCCTTTGTGGACTAGGCATAGTTGCATTTCTAATTGACTGATTAGGATGATATGAAGCTGAGAGGTTAGCATACTCAATTTCAGATATATCTTCTAAATTTCCTCTGCCTGATGTTTCAATTATTCTGCTAGGTACAACATGCTTAGCAGATTGATTAGGTTCATAGTAGCTTGACAAATTTGCATACTCAATTTCTGAGACATCTTCCAAAATGCTTTGATCCTTAATAATTGAATTAACGGCTTTTTCAGCTACATCTTTAATTAATTGATCAATTGCTTGACGTCCGGGTCTTTGTTGAAGACTCATATTCAATCCTTGAACTCTACCTTGTCTCTGTACATCTCTGTCCTTTCTGGATGGTGTGGCGAACTGAAAAGGCAATCTCATCGGAGAATCTTCCTTGAATGTAGAATTAAATGACGGCATTTCTATATCATCAAGGAGTTCTGTCTTGTCTCGTTCCTCAGGCATCGCTTGAATTTCTACGATTTTTCCATGAATTTCTTTTTCTGGTGATATTGGAACTAGTTGGATTGGAACTCTGTTTAAACCTCCAGTTTGATTATTTTCGACTATTGCCATCGCTTCTGGACCTTTACTGCTTTGATAATCTTCAATAACGCCGATCTCGACTATTTCTATACCTTCGTCTATTTCACCATTAATTTGGATCGTGGCTGATAACTTGACAGCTTCTGAGTTATTAGCCATTCTAGAAAATTCCATTAAATTCATAGAATTATCAGCTGCGACTAATTTCAACATCACTTCCGTTTTGTCTAAGTCATCGATCAAATATCCATTTAGTGAGTCTCTAAAGACAGCAGATTGAGAATTGGACATTCCCGTACTCGATGGCAATAAACTTTTTATTATTACTTCGCCATAATGTTCATAATTCTTGCTGAATGACATGCTTTTGCTGGTATCATCGCCAATAATGAAAAGCTTACGATTTTTCTTTGTTGGCAGTTTGAAGAATTTCGGAAGTAATGATTCAGCATATTTAAGGCAATCAACTACTTTTCGGTTACTTTGTATGAGCACATTCAGGAAATTTCTTTCTGTCTCGTCCTTAATTAGAGTCAAATCTGTGTCACTTAAAATTCTGTCAGTTTCTTCAAACCTTTTCTTGATCTTTTTAGTACCAGACGAGGCAACAGCATGTGACACTTTAACAATCGTAGCATTTGATGACGTTTCTAGTGAATTAATGACATTTCCAAAATCAGATCTCCATTTGTTATAATCATTTCCATCAGCTGACTTCTGCAGACCATCAATCATTAACTTTAGCTTCTCAATTGCCTTTGTGTCTTCAATAATTTTATCAAAAAGTTTCTTGAATATTGGATGCGATTTGATTGTTGCATTCGTACACTTTTCACATAAATTTTTGATTTCTGTGCCATTTTTAATACACTCAGCAAAGACTTCCAATGCATCCTTAATTGCACTATAATTTGAAGGTTGAGACATGTCCGAAAAAAAATATTTTAAAAAATTTTGGCTGTAATTAATCGAACAGTAATAAAAATCAATGCTAATTGAGACAAATGATGAATTAATTTATTTTTAAATATTTTGCAATATCCATTCAATGTATGAAGACACTTGAGTGTAGACACCCGGAAAATTTGCTAACCCGCATGATCTTGGACCGAATGAAACAATACCTAAGAGAACGTATCTGCCTCCTGATGTATCAGAATCTGTCATTAGTGGTCCTCCAGAATCTGTAGATTATTAATCAATTTCAATCTGTGCTGATCTTTCAATCCAAAAATAAAAGCTCACCTCCAGCACATGCATCACCAGCCTCCCTACCTTGAACACACAACTGAAAATTACTAATCATAATTCTTGTTCCTAAATTTGCTGAGTAATTGGAATAAAAGCTTGCACATTCAGATGTTGCAACAAAAGGTAAACGTATCCATTGAAGTCTCGGATTTTGTGTTGTAGACGAACGACTCGAAGCACCTGATGTTGAATAAACAAGTAGACTCGATGTAGAGTCTAAAACTTAATTAATAACCAAATAAATAAACATACCAAACCCAGCAATTATACCATTACTTCCGACTTCAATTTTACCAAATCTCTCATAATTCGCAACAGGTAAGCAAATCGGAGCTACAGATTCTGAGAAAATCATTAATGAATTTAGTTCAGTCGACCCTTAAAAGCTGCAATGGAGCATATCGAAACTTACGAGATGAAGTTGTAGATTGATGTAGTTTAATTAGAGCTATGTCATTCTGATATCGAGGTTTATTGTAGTTAGGATGAACAATAGTCTTTTCAATTTGGAAGTCTTCTTCTTTAACACAGAATCCATCATCATTACACTCATTTTCTTGGTCTACATCAACATCGCCAAGTCGCACTAAAGCTCTTTTAAATTAAAATTTTTAATAGACATTAATAATGAGGCTGGCTGTATTATGATTCATTTGATTGAGTTATTACTGAATTTATTTGCTTACAATTCGAGTGATTCAATAAGATTGGATACACAATGACCAGCCGTGAGGATAAATCTACTAGAAATGACACTGCCTGCACATCGATAAGAAATAGTTCCAGATGTTCGATTTCGATATGCTATACGTGCTACCCACAAAAATCTACCAATTCCTGCATCTTCGCCTCCTATTATTCTAGTTCCACTCGACTTTCCACAATTTTGATTAATTAAACTTAGTTTGTCTTGTAAAGTTCTTGGAAGTGCCGCAACAATTGGAGTTTGGGTGGTTGTTGTCGAGGTTGTCGAGGTTGTTGTAGGGGGTGTTGTAACAACTGGAACTACTGGTTCGATTGTAGTAGTTTCTTGATAAAAGGTATGATTATTTGGAAGCCTAAATTCCTGAGAAAATGGCTGTGGACAATTCTTATGTGTTGCTGCATCTTCATGATTAACATAAAATGTTTTTGGTTTTTGAATATTAGACTTTGTAAATGGATAAAATCCTTGAATTGGATAGCTGACATATTGAGGCATACTCTGTGGTTGCACATGTGGACGGATTTTTTGATAGCCACTTTGTTCTTCTGAACTGTCATCGTATCCACCACCAAAATTCCACTTCTTAGCAAATTCTTTCGACTGCTTTTGCCATTCTTGATAGTTATATCCTTGTCCATTATAATAATTTGGACAGCAGACATACATTTCACCTTTCACGTACTTGCATTGATAGACTTGTAGCTGAGTATTTATGTAATTAGCAATCACTCCACTATACATATGTCTTACCATGTTCATTATTGGATCACAATGCTTTAATTTGACGCAATTACATGCTCTTTGGAAGTTATTGACTTGCACATTACCATTCATCTGTTGAAAATGAAAATTTTGTGGTGCAAGGTCATGGTTATCGTAAGTCTGTCTACGTAAATGCATATTATTTTCACTGTCTTCGTAGTAGAAAGGCCAAGTGCTATCACATTCTGTGTGTTTTTATAGAAGAATAAATTTTGTTTTTAAATAATCTGGTTTATTGAGCTCATCATGCGGAAGATGAAGTTGAAGTGGAGAAATTAAAGTAAAGTTGTTGAGAACCTTACAAATTATGGCTGCATTTGTAAGGTTTAGATTTTTAACGAAATTGACTAATTCAAAATTTTGAAAACTGTACACTTTCAATTTTAGAACCAAACAAATGTTTCTCAATTTTTTGAGAATTTGTATCGCTTTGAAATTTGAAAAATTTTCCGTTAAAAACACTTTCAACTTCCATACCCTGAATTAAAATGTTAAAACATCATCAATTCACACTTACTAATGACGGCAAGCAAAACAACTAATATCACAGTTAATCTCATGATTAATCTCTTAAAATCCTTTACAAGTCAATTTTATATCACTTTAAATTTATATTTTATTTGACGATACAAAATATTGCACATTAATAATCGCAATAGAAGTTCTTCACCTTTATGATGACACCATTAAATAAATTAATTGTTTTCATCATTTTAATCTCTTTTCACGGTTCAATTGATTCATGCATTAATCGGATTAATTGCCAAAGATCTCTGTTTGTTTTCCTTTCGACTCAACACGCGGACGACTAAATGCGAACTGATTGAGTGCTAAATATAGTCAAATTATTTTGGATGATGCTCATTATGCTCAATTGATTTCCTTCTCTTTGTTGAGCGAATTTGGCAATGATTCTCTTTTACTTTATTTTGTAAACAAACCCAATGATAAAGTGTGATTCCCGGATTGATGATTAATATTTAAAGTTTTGGTAAATTGGGTGCAAACAGATGTTTAGAGATAATCTTTGCATTTTATTCAATGACTTTTTATTATGATTAATAAACAGTTTTATTCTAGTCATCCTTTGAGTTGTTCTGTGATAAGCGATGTTCTACTTCTTGCGCCTTGTGCATATTTTTGTTCTTCTTCAAGTTAAGTCTGCTTCCAGAAATTTGGAAATTTATAAATTATTCTAACACAAGAAATTAGTAAAATTTTGAGATTTTCAGTGTATTTTGATGCTTTTTGAGTTTCCTTCGTGTTGCTCTTATTTGATTAGCTTTGTTGATGACTTTTCAATGTATTTCTACATGCTTTTGTGTATAAAAACTTAAAATTTTAAATAAACATTTCCTTGGTCAGAAAATAAACATCCAGCTGATAAAGATTGAACCTTGATCAATCAGGTTGCAGAAAGCAGACCAAATCAATATTATCCCTAAAAAATCTAGAGTTGATAAGCCTGAAAACCTACATCTAGCTAATAAAGATCCAGTAAAACATCAATTTTTGACTACATATCATATTTGATTACGATATCGTCTTTATTCTTGATAATTATCTTCATTTAATACCAGAGTTGCGAAACAGACCACCTGTGACAGGTGAGAACCGTTCAATTCCTTGATAATTTGTATGGTTTTGCTAGAAAAACCTTATAAATTATCAAGGAACTGTAGGGTTCTCACCTGTCACAGGTGCCTATTTCGCAACTCTGTTTAATACATAGATTAAAATCTAAATAGGATGTGTGAAGAAAATATAGAGTATTCCACATTAATGTTGCTTAATTGACTATCAACATTCATTAAAATCTCTGACAAAATTTTAAATGACTCAAATCTTTTTTTTCTTTTCTTTTTTTAAGGTTTTATGATCAACATTTTGATTAAAAACTAATCCTTGTACTCACAAAAATAGTTTCTTTTTGTTATTATATGCTTTATAGTTTTACTTTAGAAATCATAGATAATTTTATGTTTTGGGGATTTAAATGAATAGCTACAACTCATTCAGTCTTAAAAATTTCCGTTATAAGGAATGCATAATTTTCATTTCATTAAATAAATGCAAATACGACGTGTATTCAGGGGTCGTTCACTTATGATGTCTATTAACACTTAGGTGAGGGGGGGGGGGTACTTATGATCTTCAAAAATGATTTTACTTGAGATAAAGAATGGTAAGGAATATAAGAGGATAGGGGGAACGGGGGCTCAAAAATAGACGTCATAGCTGAACAATCCATTAATAGAATTAACAAATAAAAAAATTATTAATTTTTCGAGATTAACTGAGATTATTTGAAAATATCAAAAGAACTGCACAAAATGAAGGGATTAAAAGGTTTACAATCTAGAATAGAATGTAAATTGTGACACATTTTCTTCTCCTACAATTAACAGTAGTTTCTTTAATGCGATTAAAATGAATGTTCTATATATTGGCCTCATGAAAGTTACAGTAATTTTTTTCTTTCCTTTTTCACTTTCCACATTCTATTCTTCCGCTACAGCAACAGCAACAACAGCCTGTTCGACCGTCAATTCTGTCATACCGTTTTGAATCACTTCGACCTCTTTTGACTGAACATCATCACCTTGTTCGAGACGTGCCTCGAGATTTTCATTTAATTTCTGTCCAAAATCGGAATCAAGTTCGTTGAGCTTATCGATTAATCTTGATCGAAGCTGATCGGGCCATTTGAGTGACCATTCTTTGAACAATTTCATCTGTATGGAAAGGAAACCGCAAAAAAAATGTCATTTGATTTTGGGCGAAGGAAAAAGAGGAACTTACGCGACAATAAAAGATTGTTGGCTTTTGACTCGACTCAGTCATTCCATTCATATGGATTTCATTGGGCTTCAATAGCCATTGTATGAGAATTTCCATAAAGTCACTTTTTTCATATTCTGAAAACTCTCGGAACCAGGTGATTAAATATCTAAATTCAACGTCTGATGATAGATGTGAATGGTTCATGTTATATTTTCAATTATTTTGTTATTTGTGATTGAACTTTGTGTTATTTTTGATGTTAGTTTATTGCTCGACTAGTCTTGGAGATTTAGCACATTTGTAAAACTTTTAAAATACCTTAACTTTTCATTAATTTAAATTCAATTGATTTTTTTCCCGTCAAAAACTTTCATTTATTTTTGCAATTCTGTGGAGACTAGTGTTGGGGATGCTCTATTCACACGTCGACAGCAACTGATTCTTTCATTTGAATTTTTTCTAGAAAATTCAAGTCGTTGTCCATGCTTACCATTTATGAGTTCAATAAAATGTAAAATAACCGTCACAAACACATTTAAAATCTAACGTAAAAGTAAAATTCAAACAGCGTGTGAATATTGACGCGTCGCTTTAATCTGCAAAATCCCTTTAAATTTTTGAAAACAGTTTCAGCCGTTAAAAAAGAGTTAAATGATAAAGAATGTCTATATGGACATTTATTGTAATTATTTGTTAATTACACTAAAATTAATGATCTTTTAATCTTCTAATGATCTGTAAATGAACTCAAAATAATAAAATAATCAAGTACTGATCGCTTCGTCAAAAATTCGCTGAAGTCTCTCGATCAATAAGACGAGAATTTTAATAATTTTTTTTTATCTTAAATTCATTTTATTTAATTCTCATGAAATAAAAATTTGAAAATCTCTAAATTGATCATCGAAGAACGAATTAATATATGTATAATTCACCGAAATATATATAATCATTATAATTGAAATTATTTCCTACATTATCAAGTTCATTAGAGAATTTGCATACATCATTGGTTTTACTGCAAATAAAGAGATAAGAAAGAACAATTAAAATGCATGTTATTGTGTTGTAAGGAATAAAAAGAAGATATTTACCGTTTGGATGAGGAACCGCCTCATAAACCTCATACTGAGGTTTCATGTCTTTGCCTTTAAGAATTATATATGCACCTTTATTGCCCATTGTGTCTGCATAGAATAAACAATTTCAAGTTAAGCATGTCACCACCAAAGAAAAATCGATAAGTACATACCACAGTAGTTGGGCGCAGAAAAAACTGTGATGCATTTTCCATTATGAGCAACTTCATATCCCATATCTTTTACCTCGTGCGATCGAATTACGTATTCTAAGTTGTTCTTTTTCAAGAAATTCTCTGTCACATCAGGACCAAATTGACATCCAACTCCTCGTTTTGAAGGCGACCGACCATTTTGTGGTTGTGGATCGGACCACAATAATTCACACATAATTCCTTCTTCAGGTGGTTGTCTATTTCTCTCGACATTCCTTAAATCATCTAATGTAACTTCGTCAGAACTAAATAAGCCGCCGTGCATAACAAGAACCTTATTATTTAACAGATGACATAGAGGCAAGAAATTGTAGACTTGAGTAAACATATCCGCCATCGTTGAACTATATTTAGCTGTAACTTCGCCAGTAAATCCGTACATTTGATTCATGTTTATCGATTCGTGATTTCCTAAATAGATTAAAAGGCATTATTATTAGACTTATCGAAAGCCTAGGGCTATGAGCATATTTGTAGATTATAGTTACCTCGACTAAGATAGAAGTGATTAGGGAATAGGAGTTTAAAGCCGAACAGTAAAAAGATACATTCGACACTAAATGAGCCCCGATCGACGAAATCCCCGTTAAACAAATAAGGATTAGTTTCCGATGGAAGACCATTTTTCTCGAAAATATTTAACAAATCGTAAAATTGTCCATGAATATCCCCGCAAACAGTAAATTTGCCTTCATCCGGTATAGCAATGTCAACAAGTGAGGGTTGTTTCCTTAAGTACGCATCAATATCATACAGAATCTATAAATAGAAAATTATCGATAAAATTACAAGCTGTTATAACTGAAGTTGTTCATTAAGCTTCGGTCACAAGACAGTAGCGCAATTTTCACGTTGCAACAGATTGTTTTGATTAAATTACATCAACAATTTATAAGAGTCATTAGGAATTCAAATACGAAAACCTTACAAATGTTTTAAATCTTTAGGATTTGTAGGGTTTCAAAATAAACGTTGCCAACAAACTTTTTTGAAAACGAGAATGTCAGGCAAAGTGCGCTCATTACTAAAGTAATACATGGAAAATGAGGCAATTGAAAAGGAGTCGGAGTAAATGTGTAGGTGGTTGGAATCAAGAAATGAAAAATCGTTATCAAATTTACCTTGTAGGCGTATTTTTTGTGAAGCTTTTTCTGATCTTTGTACCATTGCATTAGTTCCTTCATAAATTCCAACGTCACTGTCTCTTCATTTGATAATTTTGGACCTGTATAGTCGTCTTCGATTGAGATCGATTCCAAACTTTGATACATTTCAGCCAATGTCTTTTCTGGCCTATCCACATTAATAGCTCTTTCGAAGGCCATCTTTTTAACTATCTTGTTACATTCAACAAACTTTTTCTACAACAGGAACACGATACTTTATGAAATATTAATTAATCTCATTAATAAAAGGATTTTCGTACCTTTGCATCAGCATCATTTGGTCGTCTTTTACTCACTACCTCGAAGTCGCTTAATGCTAGCTTAAACTTTCCAAGTGACATATGAGCTGCTGCCCTCCTGTAATAGGCTTTAAGATATGATGGATCAGATTTAACAGCACTGACGGCATCATTTAATGCATATCCAAAAAGTTCAGTACGAAGATTTGCAAGCGAGCGATTTGCGTAGTACACAGCATTTGATGAATCAATTTCGATTGCCTTAGAATAAAACTCTATCGCCTTCTCATATACTTTATCTAAAAAGGTACGAAAATTAAATGGAAAAAATTACATGAATGAGTAAGGTTAATTTTTTTTTGTGAAATAAGTACTTTTAAAGTATTCATTTGCTTCATTCTTGTATTTTTCAGCCTCAGCTATCTGCTCCGGAGATAATGTCTTGCCATTCTCTATTTCTGCAGCCATTTAAAGGTAATAAAAACAAATTTTTCCTTACGATATTAAAAATATAAAAAATCTTTTTTCAAATATATATTGAGGATTTCGCAGATATAAGCTTGGGCACTTTTCGGTTCCTTCCTTAATGTTTCTTGTAATTTGGTTCTGTTGAATGTTCTCGAGTGATTTTATTTATTTTATTAAATTTTAAATCAAAGCTTTTTATGATTGAGTTAATTTAACATATTGATTCGCTATAATCAAGTCAATTTTAAGCATTCCTTTACAAGTAAACAACAAACAGTTCTCCCAATTCTTCTGTCCATCCCTTCTGTTTTGGATTTCGCTGATCGACATGGATGTAAATAAACATAAAATTGTTAATTGAATTTTCTACAGAAATTAATCATTGATTATATAATTAATCTTGTTTACAGCCTAAAGCAATTATTGAAGACACAGAAAGTCAATTAAAAAAGTATATTCTTAGTCCACATTTACCCAAAATTCATGAACCACAACCGCACTTTTTTCCACGTCAAACAAAGGCTTTTGATAAGCTATTTCACATCCCACCTTCTGCACAGAATACACAAATTGTAGCTCAAAGAGATCCACAAACTGGAAAAATAGAAAGCTTTGTAGAAATTGAGACTGACAATGCTGGATCAGATTCTAAAAATTCATTTTCTATGCAAAGAGCACCAAATCGTGAATCACAAGCAACAAGAGGTTCTGCATCAAATTTTCCATTTTGGCCAGGCGGGTTTGATGCTCCAAAAGAGGATATAAAGAAATTAGAGATTGATAATCGTGATTTTGAAGAGAATTTACTGTCTATAGCTCCTGGATTTACTGATGGAATCGATTTTAGTCAGTTGAAGAAGAAGAAGGAAGAGAAATTAGCAACAACAACAAGTATTGATCTATTGTCGGTGATTGAGAATAGAGGAGACGATATATTCAAGCTTGATGAAGCTCCAAAAGTCAAAACTGAAGATGTCAAGCAACAAGATCCAGTAATTTCATTTGATGACATTAGAGTTGAAGATTCATTGCTGGAAATAAGCAGATCAACAGAAAGCAAAGTAATTAAATTAGAAGATGCTCTATCTCAACCGAAATCAACAGAATGGGCGGAGATAATTGACATTTCACAGCCAGTAAAGAATTTTTATGAACGTGTTGCAGACATGGCCCATCAATATCCATTTGAGCTTGATAATTTCCAAAAGCAAGCAATTTTAAAGCTTGAAGATCATAATCATGTTTTTGTAGCTGCTCATACATCTGCTGGTAAAACAGTTGTGGCTGAATACTGCATTGCACTGTCCAAAAAGCACATGACAAAGTCAATTTATACATCGCCAATTAAGGCTCTGTCAAATCAAAAGTATCGTGACTTTAAACAAACTTTTGGGGATGTTGGACTTATTACAGGTGATATCCAAATCGATCCAACAGCTAATTGCCTTATCATGACAACAGAAATTTTAAGATCTATGCTGTATTGTGGATCTGATGTAACACGTGATCTTGAATATGTTATTTTCGATGAAGTACATTACATTAACGATGCTGATCGTGGACATGTATGGGAAGAAGTTTTGATTCTTTTACCTGATCATGTCTGCATTGTAATGTTGTCTGCGACAGTTCCAAATTATCTTGAATTTGCCAATTGGGTAGGAAGAACGAAGAGAAAGAAGGTGTATGTTGTATGTACACATAAAAGGCCTGTGCCTTTACAGCATTTCTTATATACTGGAAATGGTGGAAAATCTAGAGATGATATTTTCCTTTTAGTCGATGAGAATGGCAAGTTCCTGGAAGAAGGATATGAAAAGGCTAAATCTACGAAAGCAGCACGTCAAAAAGATTTTAGAAAGAATTTTGGTGCCAAAGTTTCATCATACTTAAATCCAAAACAGGAACAGACAATGTGGGTTGGATTAATTGAGCATTTAAGGAAGAATAATAAACTTCCAGTTGTGGCATTTACTTTGTCAAGAAATCGATGTGATAGTAATGCAGAGGCATTAAGATCCACAGATTTGACAACAGCTCGCGAAAAATATAAAATCTCATCCTTCATTAAAGCTTGCATCCAGAAATTAAAGGCAGAAGATCGTGAATTGCCACAAGTTAAAACTATTCAAGATTGTCTGGAAAGAGGAATTGGTGTTCATCATTCTGGTATTTTGCCAATTCTTAAGGAAATTGTTGAAATGTGCTTTCAGAGTGGCTTAGTTAAGCTTCTATTTGCCACAGAAACGTTTGCTATAGGAGTGAATTTTCCTGCAAGGACTACTATCTTCGATTCTATATCAAAATTTGATGGCAAGCAGTCGAGAGTCCTTGAAGCTGCTGAATATACACAAATGGCTGGACGTGCAGGAAGGAGAGGATTAGATTCGACAGGTAACGGTTTTCGAAAGTTCAAATTTTTACAGTTTTCAAAATGTTGAACAATTTTTGCTAAATTCAAAATCTAATAATCCGTTAAATATCAAATTTCAGGTACAGTAATCATGTTATGCAAAACGGACATCCCCGATGGCGCAATTCTCAGACAAATGATTTTGGGAAAGCCAATGAAATTGGACTCAAAGTTTAAACTTACTTATGCGATGATTTTGTCCTTACTTCGAGTTGAAAGAGTGTCAGTAGAAGATATGATGCAGCACAGTTTCCGTGAATTTGGAAAGCAATTGAAAATGCCTGAAAATCAGGAACAATTGAATCTTGCTGAAAAGAAATTAGCTGAATTGACCGAAATAAGTGAGCATCTTGCGCCAATTTGTAACTTTTATACAGCATGTCGCGAATATATTAAGTTAAAAGATGAAGTAATGCCAAAATTCGTTATTCAGCCTAAAGTTTATAATGAATTAAAAGTTGGTAGAATTGTGTTAATCAGTATGGATATTCATTATAATAAATTGGGAATAATCCTCAAAGACAAGTCAACAGATTCATCATTTAAAGTCTTGGTCCTTGATGAGCTAAGTGGCAACGATGAAAGTAATCAAAAGAAGAATGAAATGTGGCACAGAATGATTGCAATGTCTCAAAAGAATCTCTACATACCGTCAGGTGAAATTGGTGGACATACAATAATAACTATCAAGCCACAAAATATCATTGACATAACAAAATCAGCAATAAAATGTGAGCCTGACAAAATCATCCAAAACTGGGAACAACGTCAAATTCCTAGATTTAAAGACTCACCGCCAGGTCCAAGTGTTGTTAAGGCTGTAAATGAATTACATGATTTGACTAAGTCTGTCATAGAGAATCGCATGCAACTAGAGTATTTAGCATTCACAAGTCAAACGATTGAGTTACATGAACAGCTCCAGAAATTGAGTGACTTAAAAGATAAAATTGCTATTTATCAGCCCTATACAGATGTTCCAAATTTCCAAGATAAATTCTCACAAGTATTTGATCGAAAGGTTTTAGAAGAACGGAAGGAAAGCTTAATATTCCAATTGTCTAATCAAAATCTCTCGTTATATCCTGATTACTGTAACAAGTTACTAGTCTTACAGGAACTAAAATATATTGATGATCTTAATCAAGTGGCTATGAAAGGTAGAGTAGCTTGCGAAATGGGACAAAATGAACTAATCATTACTGAATTAGTATTGAGGAATATGCTGATAAATCTCGATCCTGCTGAAATTGCAGCCCTGTTGTCAGCTCTTGTTTTTCAAGCTAAAACTGATGTTAAACCGAATGTCACTGAAAAGTTAAAGAAACTTATGCAAGACTTTGTGGATGTAGAGAATGATATACGCGAAGTTGAGACGAAATATAATGTTGGAAAGGCTGATGAAACTGTCGAGAAGGATCGTTTAAATTTTGGACTAGTTGAAGTCGTCTATGAGTGGGCCAGGAATAAGGTAGGCTTGTAATCAATTCCTAGATGTCTCTTGCTACAGTTTTATATCCACTTTTAGCCTTTTGCTGAGATCATGCAACTGACTGATATAAAGGAAGGAGTTATTGTCCGATGTATTCAACAATTACACGAAACTCTTAGAGATGTGAAGGATGCAGCACGAATTATTGGAGATCCAGTGCTGCACTCGAAAATGGAGGAAGCATCAAATTCTATCAAACGAGATATAGTCTTCGCTGCATCTTTATACACTTCTAATGATGTCTTAACATTAACAGCATAAAAAATTGTATAATTTTTGATTTCGTAAAACTGGATTTTTTAAAATAATGCTTATTTCTGAAATAAACGGCTTTTTGGAATTTGAAAATTTAAATTTTTTGACAGATTTTGAACAGCTTTTTAGAGCATGAAGCAGAGGTCGAAGCGAGCATAGCGAAGCGAGTTTTTAGCGAGCTCGCTTCGCTAAAAATTCAACTTGCTAAAGTTGACCTGTAGCGAGAATTTTTTTTTTCTTTTCGCCTTAGCGAACTATAGCGAACTCAATTTTATTTTTTTCGCTTTAGCGAACTATTAGCGAACTTAATTTTTCAAAGTTCGCTATAGCGAACTATTGGCGAACTAGAAAAATTTTTTTGGCTTCATATTAAGAGATGTCTGATTGCGTTTGTGAAGTATGTAATTTCATACAAAATTGCAAAAAATTATAGTTCGCCAATAGTTCGCTATAGCGAACTTTGAAAAATTAAGTTCGCTAATAGTTCGCTAAAGCGAAAAAAATAAAATTGAGTTCGCTATGGTTCGCTAAGGCGAATAGAAAAAAATTTTTCTCGCTACAGTTCGACTTTGGCAAGTTGAATTTTTAGCGAAGCGAACTTGGCGAACCAAGTTCGCTTCGACCTCTGGCATGAAGAGCATCAAAAGTTTCGTATTTCAAAGGATATATCCAATATGATCTTTATTCATATATAAAAATTGAAAAAAACTCACTGTAATTCTTAATAATTCAAAAAAAAGATCAGGCATCAGCCATTTCCACATCATTTATGACCAAATCATCGAGCATTTCTTCTAAAGTGATTTGTGGAGCTGACGGATCGTCCATGTCATTTTCATCGACTGGAATTTGCTGTTTCTTATTATCTTTGTAGATATTAACACGCATACGCATGTCTGGATCTTCTTCTAAATCATCCAGGAACTCGTTATAGTCACTAAGATTGAAATAAAAAATAAATAAGCACTAGAAGTAAATAAAATGATTAATAAGCTTACTTTTCCATGTCAGTATCTCCATCTGCTTCTTTTGGAAGACGCTTCAACTTCCATTTTCGCATTCTACGTCTCTTATCCTTATCAGGGAAGTGCTTTTTAATGACAATAACGTCTGGAACATTATCTGGATTCAATTTCTCAAAATCATCATTGTTAATTACAGAATCGCGTAAATCAAAGCCTAAAACTTCATCGCCAGGTCTTAATAAATGTCCAAGATGAGTTTTTGTGTGAATAGTTGAATCATTGATGCCCAATTCTGAAGATTTGACAAGCCAAATGTCAGCAATAACATGCTTATAAGACACTGGACCTTGTCCAGGGAATGTCTTTCTTTCCTTGATAATTTCAATGTCCATAACTGTATATTGAACCAACTGTTTTGGATCACAAATTGGCAAAAATGGATAACGGAAGTAAGTTTGTCCTGAAATATCAGCCATTTGAGCAGTTATTGGATCAATTAAATGAACTGTAGTTGCGACATTTTGAACGAGACAAATTGGTGAAATATTTCCAGAACTTTGTTGTAATTTCTTACTAAGACATACTAGACTTCCTTTGGATATAGGAACGATTTCAATAACCCAAGTAAATTTATAATTATACTCATTACTATGAATATCGTGGCTAATAAGCTTCTTGGATTGCGTGAATTTTAGTGGCAATATTGTATGTAAGAAATCAACCATTTTTCTCGCATGATTTTCACCAGTAAAGAAGAAATCTAATCCACAAGGTGCATTTTTGATTCCCAATGTATTATCATGAGCTTTATGCTTAAGAATCATTTGTTCCATATAATAAAGTGTCTTTTTATTACTCGCCTTTTGTCTAACTTGAACCATACATTTCCAGAAATCCTTAGCTTCATGACGATGACAATCATCACACATCTGATTATTTACAACAAATTCAACGACAAAAACTTGTTCCAAAACGATTCCTCCATGAACTTCAGCATGAACTGTAAGCTTAACTTTAACTCTTTTTGAATGAGGCTCTGTCCAAATAAATCCTGCATCAACTAGCTTCACTTCCTTTAAACCTTTAATTCTTTTAAGGCATAATGAAAGCAGTTCTCTGGATTCTAAACTTGCCGTGATCCAGTCGTTTGGAGGATTCAAATATCTCTCACAATTTCTACAGAAAAGCAATGTTCCTTGTTTTGGAATATTTTCTGTTATGTCTACTTGTGTTCTTAGACATGCTGCACATGTATTTAATGGATTTGGATCAATCAAGGTACCACATGAACAGCACAAACTGAAATTAACAATTATCTATGAAAATATTGAGTAATTTAACCAGTTTTGAATTTACTTACATTTGCATTGTTGCTGCCTGTGGACCTGAGCTACTTCCAGCGCTCACATATTCCATTTTACCTCAATTTTATTAAATTTGCACAATTCGACTAAACTCACGTTGCTGCGTGGATTTTACTGATATTTTGAAGATTTCGCTGATCACAATTTGAATTTAAAACGACGGTTAATACATACAGAATAAGAATGATTTATAGATCAAGCAATAAAACAAGCCACTTAGCAGTTCTAGTCATGCATACTTATGCAGATTTATTATTTTGAATTAATCCAAAAATTACAGCGCATAATTGGTTCACTTCCTTTTCTGTAATCTCTTCCTTCATTTCATTGGTGATCTTCTCGAATATTTCATTGTACTTAGAGTTGTTAAGGATCTTCAGGACAACGAAAAAGACAGCAACAGCTTGCAACTTCTGGTTCTTGATGATTTTTATCGAATCTTCATGGCTCATCGTCTTCAGCAATCTGTTAAAGATGCTGTCTTTCCATAAATAAACCAAGACAAGCAAATCGTTGCTAAAATCAAAGACTTGATTCTTTTGGTCATTACTGTTCAAATTGTTCTCGACAAAATCATAAATTGCTTCCAAGACAACTGGATTCTTGACTTCATAGTCCATCATTTTATACGATTCCAGTTCTGATACATTGTAGACATTCTTATTTATGCCTAGTTCCTTAAAAATTGTATCAATTTTCTTTGCAAAACTGGATGATGAATTATTGAACTTTTCACACAACCGGATTATGTTAAGGATCATAATATACATCTTTTCTTCGTCCTTGAATGCATCCTTACTCAAGGACTCCTTAAAATCATTAAATAATGCAAAATTCAATGTGTCCAAAATTGAAAATTGGTCATATTTCGAGATATTGTACGATTTACAAATCTTAATGACGAGTCTGACTAGTGATTCTGGCAAGAACAAGTCTTGGCATGTTAATGCGCTGCTATTTTTCGACGTTGATGCCATTTTTCCAAGAATTAAGGATTATTAAATTTATTATTGTTATTTTACGTTATTTTGTCAACTATTTCTATCGTATTTTCAAAATTTAAAAGTTATAACGAGTAGTTTTTTCATGCAATATTATTCAAATATTTTTCATTCGTTAAAATGATGAAACTGAAAGAAGAAGAAATATTTTATTGACTTGGGCTTATTGTGTAAGGGGCCGTTCACTTATTACGTTACGCAAAAAAAACTTTTTTCACCCCCCTCCCCCCCTTGTTACAATATGTTACAACTCACAACCCCCCCCCCCCCCCCCCTGAACGTTCATAATTTATTTTATTTTGATAATTTTTTATATATAGTTATTAAAAACATTTATAACAAAAACTATGCATTGCTTAGCTATTAAAAGTGGTCTGGACATTCATAAATCATTAAAAAGGTGGAAAATTTAAAAAAATGTTTTTTGTGTGAATTTGTAAACAAATTTTTTTCGTGAACTTTTTTTACTGAACTTTAGAACGTTACCTACTTCTTGACACCCCCCCCCCCCCCTATGTTACATTTTGTTACAATTTTTCAAACCCTCCTCCCCCCTAAAATGCGAACGTAATAAGTGAACGGCCCCTAATGTGATTTTACAAGTGTGAACGTTTTAATTAATGATACCAACCTTTAATAAAAATGATATGCTGCACAATTCATAAATATACTACAACCATAAGAGATGATTGGTCTATGACTTTAAAGATTCTGAGTTTGGAATCAATCGAAACTCCAGAGTTACGCTTCAACAAGCAATACAACTGTGAGAAGGCCACTGCTTTTGCCCTTCTTGCTACACAATCTACATGATTCTTGTAAGTAAGTTTTGTATCCAAGATGATACCAAGATATTTTACTTGACTTTTCCATTTGAAATTAATGAATTAAATTTAATTGTGTCTTGCTGACAGTTCTTTATCGTCTTTTGGATCTAGTAAAGATAATAAACTCAGTCTTACTGTCATTCAAAAATATCTTCCAGCCATGGAAAAAAATTTGAAAAGTCTGTAGAGCATCAGTCAGATGTTTTTTAATGAACTTTAGATTTTTCAAAGTGCTTCAATGAAATATGCGGTGTCATCAGCGAACATAGCCAATTCACCCTTACGAGGAATCGAGATGTCATTAATGAAGACATTGAATGAATGAGGGGCTATGATAGAGCCTTGTGGAACTCGTAGAAATGAGTCTACGAGTTTAACTAGATAAATTGCATAATTAAAATGCATTAATTTATGAATGAAAGCATCGTGCCATATGGAATCATAGGCTTTTCTAAGATCCAGCAGAACCATACCTAGACTTTTGTTTTTATAAAATAATCTTTGCAATCTTCCACGATTTTGGGAAGTAAGAAAATGAGAGACATCTATTGAATATATACGTTAATTTGCTTACAAAGTTCTCTGAACTGCTAAGAGCTGCGTTTGGAATAAGATCTGGTGTGGATGCCTTTTTGACATTTAAACTTTTCAAAACTTGACTGACTCTATTCTCATCAATATTATCGATATTACTACTCTGTGAGCTGTTAATAATGTGGATGGATTCTCTCACTATTGATTCATGTTTAGAAGTGGAATTAGCTGAGATATTGTAGATGTCCAAAAACGTTTCAGCTAATAGGTCTGCTTTATTGTGACTTGAGTACGCGAAATCACTGCTGTCTCTTAATGGGGGAATTAGTTGACTCTTTTTCTTAACTGACTTTGTGAATTCGAACAGTGATAAGCGATATGACAACGATTTTAATTTCTCGTTCCACTGAAACTTTTTTTTCTTGTTGGATCTCTTTTCTAATCATTCTGTTCAACTGATTTACGCACGATTTATATGACTGATCATATTTCCTTTGATAGAGGCTACGGAATTGATTTCTGTCAGAAATAAAATTCTTCACCTTATCAGAATACATATATCAGCTCCTAACGACTCGCTTCTTAAGAATGCAAGCTTGCATACTGCTTTCAATAATTTTGACTGCAGTCTTGATGCTGCAGATGAAATGTAAATTGACGTTATACTAATTTCTTCATTATTTAAATGAATGACTAAAGAGACAGATTCAGCATGATCTAATTTAAATGCTGTGACTGAACTATGTGAGATTGACAATTTAATAAGAATAGCGACACTGCCATGATCACGGTCTGCTCTATAAACTGAGTAATTATTAAAATTTAAGGAAATTAAGTTTTGGAAATTAATGCTTTGTCTATTTCTTTATTTTCCAAAAACAAGTTAAGTTCTGTAATCTTATTACGGACCGAATGAGCATTCCAACAGATTACGATGTCAAAATCGAAATCTTCTGTCTGGCTATTGAGTTTATTAAATGTGATCAATGAAACTGAAAACCAAAAAGAAAGAGTAAGCAGCAAGCAAGCATAAGAGGCAATGTTAGGTGTTTTCATGAATTCTTTTTTATTATGTTGATTTTTCTTAATTATATACAAAGGAAAAAAAGAGAAAAATTTCAGGAAAAATTCTATAAAGATATTCATTAAATTCTTTATTCATCAAACAAGTATAATCAATAAATGAGCATCAGAAAACTCGTGGATAACTAATTTCAAATATAAATTTAACAAATTTACAAAAATATGAAATTTTTTGTTTTTTTTTTGATTTTGCCAATGTTTTTAGAAAAATAGATTTTTTAAAATTTTCAAATTGCTCATTTTCAAAGGATTCAATTCCAAGACTTACCAAAAGAAAAAGTTTTTTGTGTGTCTGTGTGTAAGAATAAGCGAGGAAGGGGGGAGGCTTATAAGCATATCTACTTAATTACTTTAACTCGTGTGTGTGTGTGTTATATTTTGAGGATCCGCTGAGATACATATGCTGTCACTTAATGTGTGCCATCTGACGACCTTTTAGAAGTCCATTTTTAATGACTTTTTCTTATAGAATGGATTAATCGGACTTGGCAGAGCATTTGGTTTCAGGAGACTTTTACTTGGTTTCAATAATAGATTATTTGTTGGTAAGTTGGGTGAGTCTTTAACCTGCTTAATGTAGTCATTTTCAGATTGGGCAATATTTTTGTTTAAAGCAATGATTACACGCTTACCATTACTTTTAGATGTGCTGCTTTCTTGAAGCTTTATACGCGGTGGCGGCGTTGCAAAAATTTGTGATGTTGATGCTGCTGCTGTATCGTCAGCACTACCTTTGTTCTTTGATTTCTTGCCTAATCCACTATTTTTTGCGAATGGATTCAAAACCAAATTACTTGACTTTTGCTTCTGTTTCTGTTCCTTTTCCTCTGCTTGCTGTAATGCCTTTAATTTTTGTTTCCTTGATGGCACAAAGATCTCTACTTCTCCGTCCTTTAATGGCTCAGACCACTCGTCTGTTTCCTTAAATGGCTGTGTTGAACCTTTTGCTGATGGTGATGATGTCTTGCTCAACTTTAATGCTTTTTTTGGCAATTCCTCGACAGTTTCTTGTTCTTGTTTCTCGACTGTTGCTGTATCTGGAAGATTTTTTCGTTTCTGTTTCTTGATTTTTCGTGGAACCTGCTCGGCATTTTTGTCTGTTGCCGTCTTTTTCTTTTTAATCTTTATGTCTGCTGGTTTTGGCTCTTCTTCTTCCTCATCTGGCTTAACTGTGTCTTGAGTAAAATCTTCTTTTGTCTTGAAAAATCTCTCGTTGTGAAGTTTTGACAACTTTTGCTTCTTTTCGTCAATTTTGTTTGTTGAATTTTCATTTTTATTTTTCCTTTTCAACTTGCCATGCTTCCTATTGTCTAAATCTTCATCAAAATCAGAACTTTCTGAATCAACATCGCCAATTGCTAATTTCTTTTCAAACTCGGCTAATTGTATAGCTTTAAGGTCTAAATCTATTGCAGATTCTTCATCGTGTTCATCTTCTTGTGGCATAATTTTAACGCCAATTGGAAACACTTCATTAGCAAATCGTCGGAAATGGTCAGCCATACGTGCTAATCCTTTACGGCTTTTGCTTGTTGCAAACTGTTTATATCTTAAATTTTCAATTGTTTCTGCGAATTTTAATGCATCAAAAGCTAGTTCATTTAAAGAGACATTAACACGTCCTGCTCGTGGATCTAATGGACGTTCTTCTAAATCTTCCTCTTGTCCATCACTCATATCATCGTCATTGCTTCTCTTGTTACCACGAACTCGATACTTTATCTCTAAATCATCAATAGATTTTGTGGGGAAATTTGCTTGTTTCCATATTTCAAATTTCTCTTGATAATCTTGTCCAAGGCTGCTTTGAAATAGTAATTGATTTACTACCGTTTTTTCGACATGCTTCAGTGCAATTGGATCATTTAGTTTTGTATAATAAACAAGGAAAGGTTCAATTAAAAGATGTGTGCGATCTTCTGCTAATTCTCCGTCACTAACTTTTGCAATTTCTTCAATATACAAATCACAAATATGGAAAATGAGACTTTTTGGGCATTTGTTGACTTGAAAGACTGTCTTGTTTAATGCATTTGAAAATAACTTTAATGCTTCATCTTCCCACTCGACGTTCTTTATTGCAAACAGCATTTGACGTGATACTCGACGAACCAACTGAAAGTGAAATAAAACAGTTATTACTTAATCAGTTTTAACAACCAAAATGACACTAAAATGGAGATCAAGGTCATTTGAACCAATATTATTCTTTACTATAATTAACAAAAAACACGTTTTGCGATTTTCAAAAAAAATGTTTGTTCACATGGTTTTTAACGATAATTCAAAATTTAAATTTTCGGCTCAAATTTCAAAGTTTTTCGAATTGAAGTGATATGAATGCTCTAGCTTACCATCATGAATTTGTCGATTCTCCATTGATCAATACCGAACCATTCTATGCACATAGTTTCGAGAAAGGCTTGGAAGAATTGAATGGCGATTTTTACATTTGGAAAGCAATGTAACAATGATCCAAGTTCCTCTGATAATTCTTCCTGTACCAATGGCTTATCGCTCATCCACATACAATAGTATAATCCTTTCCATAAGCGCAGAAAATCACTGTCACTGAATTCTAAAATAAAAAAAGACAAAGATAAACAAAGGAGATAATTAATTACAGTATGTAGATAGGTGGAAGTGCTTAATGATAATCTCTTTATGCTGTTTCTATTTATAAATACCTATAAAAAGAGGGTTATCAATGGAAAAGCCATGATGTTACTTCTTTTTCGTAATATAAGCAATTTTCATTGTATCCTTGATCTATACATGTCTAGCGTATAAGGCTGATGGAAAATTCAAGGATACAACTACGCATTAAGGATCATTTTCATATTAATGAGAAAAATCGAGACGTGAAAATTTTCCTTGAAAACGAAATTTAATTTTCGTCTATACAGCATTTAAATCATTTTGAGACAATCCTATGTACTTTAATTATTTGTTTTGGATGACGCATCATGTGCTGCATAGGAAGAAAATGCTACTTACGATAGGATGATTGGGAACGTGTGTTGAGCCATTTTTTCAAGCTTTTCAAAACATTATTCCTTATTTTCTGGTCATTACTAGCTAGTAATTTAGCAAACTTGAGCTCCTGTGCTAACACGTCTTTCTTATCATTCATTTCACACTGTAATATTATTTAAAAACTTAATTATTTTTTTTGCGACTTTTTAAACTATTTTAAATTCTGCCACTTTCTTGCGGATCTCCCTACATTTGACGTCGGACTTACAGAATGAGAATCATATCCTCTCAGGAAAAGTCGTTATTTTCAAATCAAGTCGGTAGTTTAAAAAGGAATTAACCGTTAAATTGAAATAAATTCAACTTTATTAATCTTGATTCTGACGAGCAATTTCAGGATTAAATTGAGAATTGTATCGTTGCTTATAGCTTTTAACTTCTGGTTGCTGCTGCTTTGGTTCCGTTTCACCTCTCAATTTCCTTAAAAGATTTTCTGCTTTTTCCCTTTCAATTCTCTCTCTATTTAATCTTTCCATCCTCAGAGCTTCCAATTTCTGTTGCTTAAGCCTTTTTAGTTCCTCGTCTGATGAATCCGAACTGTCGAATGATGACTTTCTATGCTTCCTTTTTGACTTCTTCTTTTTGGACTTTTTACTGCGTTTTTTGGTTGGTGATGTATCTTTACTGGATGTACTTGATGTGCTGTATTTCCTCTTCTTTTTCTTTAATCTATAGTTCTTTAGTGACTCCGTTAACAGTGATTCATATTTCTTCACTTCTGGTTGCTTCTTTTCAGGCTCAATTACGGTAGATTTAAAAGAACTGGATGTTCCCATGTATTTGTGGATTAACGTTAGTGGATCTTGCCTTATTTTTGACTGTAACGAGACCTCTATTTTTGATCCATCTTCATTATGCTTGTCTGTTCGGTCTGGAAGCATATCATACCAGTCACGTTTCTTCAAAGCTTCATTGGTATCTTGTCCAAGATATGTCAAATAGCCTATTTGCTTCTCATACTTCTCCTTTTCCTGTTTCTTTTCTTCCGTTCGTTCTTTATTTTCTGAAGTTGATGTATATTTGCCATCCTCAAGATCCTTAAAGAAATTAACATGCTCATTTGCTTCAAATGACGTGTTTACTGGTTGTTCACTGGATGTCTCCGTCTCATTTGATTTCTTTAAGCCTGCTCGTTCTCTTAATACATTAATTTTAGCTTCTTGTTCAGCTAGTGCAGCTCGTCTCTTGATTTCCTTCTCTTGCTCAGCTGCTTTCCTCTCATCTTCACGTACTCTGGCTATATTCTTCTTAGTTCTAACATGCCATGACTTATGTGGCAGGATGTTCATCTTTAATTACCTTAATTTTGCAATTTTTGAATTTTAATAAATTTCAATAAATTTGTCAACAAATCAAAACATTTGAATGGTTTTTGAGATTATAAAAAAACATTTGTAAGTTTTAATTTTGTTATTTAAAAATTTCTGTAACGGTTTTTTACATTTTGATGTTTAAAGAGCCCGAATTTAAATACTATATTCTTGCATCATAGCTTAATAGAACTATATATAATGTATGAAAAATGGCAAGATATATAACTAGAAATCAATGTTTAAGATTACAGCTAGCAGAAGTTGATATTTTGAGATAATTTTGCACAACTTCAAACACGTGAGCGTTGAGGACGGTGTGACTATAATGTTTTCAGTCAAGAGAGAAAAAGTGAATCTCTCGCAATTTAATTAAAATCTTATAATTACGGAAAACAGTTTACTAGTTTGTTAATAAATGCTGTTCAAGTTACAAATCGCTCGTCAAGTGTAAATTTTCGAGTGCAGCAATGGAGTTATACGGTAATTTTGCGTCATTTTAAGTAATTTTGTTGGATTTTCCATAAGACGAAAAAGAGGTTCCTCGGATAAGAAAATTGAGCTGAAAGAAAATCGTGTGAAAATTAAGTGATAATGTGAAAAGTCTCGGCAAAAGTTATTTTTAACAATAGATTAGTGTGTAAAATGTATGAATCTATAGTCTAAACATGACTGATACTTGGTGATATAATAATACAAAAAAAAGTATAATGCGATTAAAAATGTTTTGGAATAATTTTTCTATAATATTTAATTTTACGCCTCGCTTAATATTGGTTCTTTTTTAATATTTTGTAAATAATAACATGCTATATGATAATGAATAGTTTATGCAATTGAAGTGAACGTTTATATCAATCAATTTAACAGCATACATATAAATATCTCTTTTTCGTCATTCATTTATTCCGTCTAGTCTGGCAGAACCGCAGCAAAACTTCGACAATTTACCAAGAAAATTAATCAGAAAAGGCTTAACTTCCTAATTTTCCACTATGCGAGGTAAAATTTCATTGATTTTTTTTTATATTTCTTTACATTTTTTTGTCATAATTCTATGTAAAGGGGTCGTTCGCATATTTCGTAAGTGACTTTGTAAGTGAATCAGAAAGTTTTGTATGGAGTATCTCAAAAATTGAAGCTCTCAAGCTAGATGGGCTTATGTATATGGATCCCAAGTATTACGAAATATACGAACAACCCTATTAGCAACAAAAATTAATTGGTGACTAACATAATGTTTCATATTTCATAAAATTTGATATTAATTGCTCACTAATTTAGCTTATCCACCATACACGAGTAAGAGGAAAATTCAGTTGGTAATTTCGAATACTCCATATACAATTTTAGCAAGACGGAAGCAACTTTTACTCATACGCATTGCCATCGCTCTCTTCATCATCATTTTTATAGTCGTACAGCTTAATGTAATCAATTATGGTAAGTGCGATGCACAATCAACCTATAACTTTATATAGTAAATTTGTGCGTACGTATCCATTCATTCATGCTACTTATTCTCAAATGTAGATTTCCACCCGCCTTCTAATACCGAATCTTCTAGTAACAATAATGACACAACACAAGCTATACTCCAATCAATTCCTCAAGTTCTTCACAAATATCTCAAGCCAAGGAATAATTCACAAGGTAAATACACGTATCAACATAAAAGCAATAAAATAATCATGATTTCACTTGCCACACTGTAAACATTGGAATCAGTTACGATGTTGTGGCTTGTTTAATTGCATTAAGTTTTGGTAAATTACCTATTTGTACAATTTATGTGAAATCAGTTGTAAGGTTCTAAAATGTAAGCATCTAGTAAGATCATGCCATGCAAATTGATTTAAATACAGCTAATTATCACAAGAAAATGCTCTGAGCAAAACAAACCTTACTTAACATAACAATTCAATGCTAATTACTTTATTATTATTATGTTTTTCTTTTATCTCGCATGATTGTTTTTGGCTCGAATAAAAACAATATGTAGCTACAAACAGTAGTCAGGCCACAAACAACGATAGGTATCAGGCGATTAATATAAGCGATATTCAACGGTCTATTGAGCGATATAATGAATATCAGACAATAATCAATGAGGATGTCTTTGGACCATTGCAGAATGACTCGATCGTTATTGTGGTGCAAGTTCACAAACGCATAACGTATTTGCGTCATCTTATAGTCAGCTTAGCTCAAGCAAAAGACATTTCCAAGACATTACTCATTTTTTCACATGATTTTTACGATGAAGAAATAAATGATTTGGTGCAGAGCATCGATTTTTGTAAAGTTATGCAAATTTTTTATCCATTTTCTATTCAAACACATCCAAATGAATTTCCTGGTACTGATCCCAAAGATTGCAAACGAGATATGAAGAAAGAACAAGCGGCAATTGTTAAATGTCAAAATGCTGACTTTCCTGATCTCTATGGACATTATAGAGAAGCATCTTTTACGCAAACAAAGAATCATTGGTGGTAAGAATATTAAATTGCTATTTATAGACAAGATATCTTGTTATCATTTGCTGTGTTTAGGTGGAAAGCAAATCGAGTATTCGATCAACTTGAAGTGACTAGATATCATACAGGTTTAATGCTGTTTCTAGAGGAAGATCATTATGTTGCTGAAGACTTTCTCTACTTATTAAAAATGATGCAATTGAAGGCATATGAATTATGCTCAAAGTGTAACGTCATGTCTTTGGGGACGTACTTAAAGACATTCAATTACTATACATACAACAACAATCATAAAAAGGTGAGCGAAAGCTGACAAATAATTTGCCATTCAAATCAAATTCATTGAGTACAAAAAAAAATTAACACATTTTTTTCACATTAGATTAACAAATTATATTTTTTATAACATGGCAGGAAAGAGTTTCATACTTAATTTATTTTTGTGGAATCCATAAACATATTCCCTATTATTCTAGCTTTTACATCATTGACCCAATAATTTTACATACAAAAAAGAAAACAAACCATTTCATTAAAATCTTCACTCTCATAATATGCAGCAATAAGCACGCAATAAGAGTATTTGAGAATTCACATTAATTTTGTTTCTTTTGTGTGTTTATTTTTGTTTTTTTTTATCTCTCTTTTTTTTGCCTTCCTCCTATCATATATGTGTGTCCATTAACCAAAATATTAACCACACTCAAAAAAATATATACACACGTATCGCTGATGCAGGAAAAAGCTTTATTTGGATCATTTTATGGCAGTAGTTTAAGCAACAATAATAATGCATTTCACTCGAAAAATACTCAAAATCATAATTCCTTATCGAATGGAGCAAATTTGCGTGCAAATCATGTTGAAACGACAACAACTTTAACGTGGGCTTTTCAGGCGGTCCCGACCCTTTATTCTGTTTATCAGAAGGTACAATAAAAATATATATACAATATGTACAAAGAATTTTCTTTTTTATGCTCTTCTATAAAATGAAATCGTCTTTTACGATTTATGATACTTTGACTTTAACTATCTTGCTCCATTTTGTATCCGTTTACTTTATATTCTTCTCTTTTTTATGTTCCTTGAGTTTTTCATTCTTGTTATGTCATGTCAATACGTTTATTCTCTATTATACTTATATATTATTATGTCGTTTCATTTAAATGAGCATTATATGTTTCTTAGATAATTTCCCTTCTACTCAACTCTTCTTCTCCTCTGTTTTTTTTCTCTTCAGTTCTTTCATGTTTATGAGTGATGATAATTTTTTCATAACAAGTTATGTACGTGCACTTTACTTTATAATTTTCCATTTTTCATCTTATTTAAGCATTTATCAGCAATATTCAGTGTCATGTGAAAAATATTATTATTATTATTATTATCGTTCTTAGGGTTGTGAAAAGCCTTTATAGATCCCGCATTAGTCATCGATTTTATTGCCAAGAGATTCTTGTTTCATTTCTTTTATATTCTTTACAATACATTCTTAAATCAAAGTTGGCATAATCTTTGCTAGTGGATGTACAATCAGGCGTGTAGCCAGGGGGGGGGGGGGGATTTGGGTGAAAAATCCCCCAACGTAAACAGAAATTTCTTTATTTTGCTAGGGTTTTTATGAAAAAATCACCAAAACCAAAATCTCCCCCCCCCCCCCCCTTAAATTTTTTGTCCCCCACTCTTAAAATTCCTGGCTACGCCCCTGTGTACAATACATTTTATATCGAGTATCTCGGTATATGTGTCAAGTGTGACTTGAATGCAACACTTACATGCTTAATATGGTAAATCCAAAAAGTGAATTAATTTCTTAACTTGTTTATCTTTGTAAAGTTCATTCAAATTAGCGCTTTTCTGACATCTGAAAAATTAAGATATTATTAAGATACTTACGCCTTTTAACGACGATTCCAAAAAAGCTGAGACAGAATTGAGAGCGACAATTGGTAGCTTAAATTATGACAAATCAACACAATTTATTAAAAATACCAAACTTGTGTTTTTAATTTACACGACATGCTCTGGAAATCAGTGTGGAAATGTTGAAAAATAATCCATTGATTAACTTTTAAATAATAATTGCTGATATCCATCACTAAAGGTAATTCGACGGATTAAAATGTAAATGACATTGACTGATTACAAGTGCTTTTCGTCGATATTTTCAAGCTACCAGCAAAATTTTACAGCCTTGATTATTACATAACATGAAAAGTTCCCTTCATGGAATTGCGTGCTTCAAATGAATCAAATGTGAATGCCAAACTGATAATGTAAATGTATTTATACTTAAATTCAATCAATACCTAATAATATCATCGTCTTCTTCTTGAACACAATTTTGTCAATGGACGGAAAGATAATAATAATATTTAATCACATGTCACAGAAAATTCATTAATAAATTATTAATTAACAAGCTCGTTTATGTTGTCTGCAATTCTATTGTTTATTTATAGCACCTTATCATCTATTTATATGTTAATTTTTACATTTATTGACTTGCATTCACACAATATGATTGTCACTTTATCATGTGGGAGAAAGAAACTATTTTTAATGCAAATTTCCTTTAATTTTAATTTGTCATTGTTTTAATATCGCTTTATGTTCTTGTTCGTAATGTAGTTTTCTAAAAATTATTACTTACTGGATATCGCATAATGGCAATAATTATGTCATTAAAATAATCAGTTGAATTGAAAGAACTTTTGTGACTGAATAGAATTTCGATTTTTTGGGAACTATGCATAAGTTCATCAAATTATAGTTTCAAAATAGAATCCAGAAGCTAAGGGGCCGTTCACTTATGACGTCTGACATTAGGTGGGGAGGATCTAGGGGGGGAATTCAAGGATTCAAACAATGGAAATTTTTTTCTATAGAATTTTTGTGTTTTTTTTAACCCTAATTCAAATGGTTGAGAATTCTTAAAGAAATTTGTGGATTGTTTGTTCGTCTTTAAAATATTGACACCAAAATCTTTCTGTTTGTCAAAAGTGTTCAACAGTTAAGTGACTTGAAGAACAGTTACATCCTTAAATAACAAAATAGCTACTTAAGTTGACAATAGATAAAATAGCAAGCAAACAGAGATTTTGTCAACAGAAAACTGTTCATGAGAAAATGTTAAAGTAAGCCGTAAAAGCTCCGTACTCTATTGCCATCACATTAAACACAACATGCTAATTACTTTTTAATAAAAATCGAAAGAAAAGTAAAGTTCAATTTAAAGAGAAGCTCAAACGATGCCGCATGGTCAAAGATCTGTTTGAGAAATAATTAGCATCTTGAAGCTGTGAAGCGCTAAAAACCAGACAGTTTTTGTGCGTCTGGTAAATTTCCTGTGCAGAAATAAATTTTATGTTTTTTAATGCACATAAAGCAATGCTTTCTAGAAATAGATTATGATGGATTGTCTGTTGAGAATTATTCCAGTTTTATGGAATTTTCATGTTTTGAATTGCAACATAAGATATTGAGAATGTTTCTAGATCCAATTTACATTTTAAGACAGATAAATCGTTCAATAAATAATAATCTCGTATATTGAAACTTGTGGGATTTTAATGGAAAGTTGCTAATGGAAACTCAAGGCTATTATGAGGGTGTTCAGATGTTATGTAACACTAAGAGAGAGGAATGTGAGTCAAGTGTTAACTTTTTTTTGAATTGCGTACTTTCCGAAAGACGCTACAAGATAACTTTGGTAAACCTAGTCTTATAAATGTATTCTATTAAATAGCTAATATTAATATAAGATTGGATCGGTTATACTATTATCAAATACTAGTCGCACGACTCAAAATCATAAATTTATTTTAATCTCGATAAGAGCTACTAGAGTCAATTAATCTACGCTACTGAATTATCTAAATTGTATCAAATTTGTTCTACATACAAGATAACATCGTATGATGTAAAAATTGAGTAGCAATGTATACAACTTCATTGCCATTGACCATAAAAGAGTGGTAATTTTTAGGAACTATACCATTCGTTGTGTTATTTATTCATTTGCATCACACATTATGCATTTTATACGTTACGTTCTATTCACTATCACTTTTAACATGTTTTCAAATTGCATTGAATGTGAATGATAATAAAAATAGTAAATAGTAGTGCTTGTACAAGAAATATTAATCTAGTATGTTTATAATTTAAAAGGTTGAAGTGACACCATGGATATCAAGTAAGCATAACATGGGAATGGCATTTAATAGAAGTACATGGCATCAAATTAAGAATTGTGCAAAATATTTCTGTTCTTATGATGGTAAGTCACAGATCTTAATCGAATTTAAAGAATTCTCCATTAATTTTCATATATCCTGAATATATATAGACTACAATTGGGACTGGTCACTTCAACATACTAGTCATCAATGTCTTAAAAAGAAATTATTTGCGATGGTTGTGCGAGGACCACGTGTCTTCCATATTGGCGAGTGCGGGGTACATCACAAGAAAAATAATTGCGAGTCAAATCAAGTGATATCAAAAGTTCAACAAGTCATTAGTGTTGCAACAAAAGCAGGTCAACTATTTCCAAAGAATCTGATGTTAACGGTTGCGAGTGTTGTGAAAAAGCAAAAAATTCGTAAAGGGAATGGCGGGTGGGGTGATAAAAGAGATCATTTACTGTGTCTCAATATGACATTAGGTGTAAGATAAAATACTTCTTTTTTTCCTAGAGTTTATGAATGAGTAAGTTATCCATAAAAGTTATTATGGAACGATTGAAAAGATTTTTCTCTTAATGTTGTGATAAAAAAAGGAAGTAATTATGTCTGTAAGCTGTAAAAAAGATGATTTTAGATATTACTTTGGTTTTTATAATATTTTTTAATGAAAAGGATTCAGGCAGGCACAGTAAGTGATGTTTTTAAAAGTAAAAGAGAATTCCATATTTATGCATTTTTCTAATAATTGCTGAACTTTTTGAATGAATTGTAAAAAATTTGATTTAGAGTTTATGAAGTTTGCATTGTTTTGAAGACCATATGAATTGTTAAAATATGGAATAGATTGTTGAGGATCTTACAAAATGCCGTTTGATCAGAACTCTCAAATCAATGCAAATCGACTAATTTAAATTTAACCAATTTAACCAAAATTCTATTTTAAACTTATTTATTTATAAAAACCAAAACCAATGAAACAAAGAATGCATCACAATTTGAGGAAGTGATGTTAAAAAAATCCGTCTAGAAAAAAATGAAAGCATTTATATCAATTTAATGAACACTTGACATTACTTTGAATCATCAGTAATTTAGTAACATGTAATATATAGTTGGATCTAGTCACATGGAAATTTCATCTCATATCATTTTAAATGCGTAAATAATGAGCAAGAATTATGAAAAAAAAAATTTCACAAAGTTTTCTTTCCAGTTAATGAAACCTTGTTTTCCTTAATTTGTTATGTTAAAAAGGTAGTTTAAAAGAAGAAATGATTTCCAACCTCCAATAAATTTTAAGAGCCATGAATTATTCAATAGAACCAGAACGTTGAATAATCTGTTTAAGTTACCATGTCATAAGAATACTATGACTACCATGAGAAGAAGCAGTAATCTCATAGTTTTAATTAAAATAATTTTATTTTTAAAGCAAAAAAGATGGCAAAAACATGAAGTTACCAAAAAATATGATAAAGAGATATTACATCACTTAAGCGATAAAGCTCACTCGAGTGTATAAAAAAAACATCAAAAATGTTTTTAACTAAAGAAATGTTAGTAAATAGGATAAAATTAAATTAGCATACATTATGTCACCCAACAAAATAATAAATGATACGCAAAGTATGAATAACAGTTGATTGGTGACTAATGTCCATGATGATACGATCTGTAAGAGAGATCTGCTATTCTATGATTCTTAATATTCTCTCTTCTGTTCTCTCAAGTTATCCTATGTATATTATGTTTCCCAACACATTCGCACGTATGTCCATAACTTTATTTAAAAATAATAGCGATTATTTTTGCTGTTGTATTTATATATATGCACAAACAGATATGAAGAAGTGTTAATTTAAAGCAAACATCATCCGTTCCTCTCTCTCTATGTTTTCTTTCAAAACAATTGGGCAGTTCGCTAAAATTGGATAATTTTTTAGATCTCGAAAATATTGGAATAATATTCAAATCGGTGTTTGTAGATTAGCTAGAAAATCAGTTTATAATATTAAGGTAAATTGAAAGAATCATATTCACACAAAATTTTCAATTTTTGTGAATATATTTTAAATGATACATTTATTTAAAGTATAACTCAGTATAACTTGTTATTTATAACTTGAAAAGCTCATAGGTAAACTGTCTAAAACTTTAATTGAATTTCTTGGAATCTGAATCTTGAATAATTTCAAATTAAAGCTTTCTTTGAAGTTCTTTAAAATCTTGTTATTGCTTTATTAGCTTCAAAAAACACTTTACTACAAGATTTCAAAAGTTTTAAGCAAATTTAAATCAAAGTTTGAAATTCAAAAATAAAACCTTCAAAAAAAATTATCAATTAAAATCAATCAAATCAAACTTCACAAATCATTGTCAATCAAAAATAGTAGATATCTATATAGATAGTTCAAGTTGACAATTATCCAATTTTAGTCGAGCTTGTCTATTATTATTGAAAAAAAAAGAATTACTTCTAAGCGATCTTATGAATGAATAATCGAATAGCAAACAATGTAAATTAAAACTTACTGGAAATAACCAATTTCTTTTGATGATGTCAATTGAAATGGTTAACGTGTGTGAATTTTACAAAACAATAAAAGAAAAGAGAAAAAAAAAGTTAATGAGAAAAGGAAATAAAGAAAGAAAAAAGAATTAATGAAGATATGGAATTGAAAATTAAAGAATCTATTATTTCTGTCGGCATTGGGAATTTGATCATTCAAGTTCCATACTTGATAATAATTTATTTGTTTTTTCTACATTTTAGTAGACATCCGTTTTTTGTTATATTTTCAGCACTTTTTTATTTAAATCAATTTGCGACTATATCGACATTATTGGCTTCTTCATTCAATCATTCATTCATTATATATTTCAGCCAGAAGTCCTCTTACACTTTTCATGCATTCATTCGTTCACTCACCCATTCAAAAGATTTGATTGTTTCGGGAATATTTGATCAATTAAGTAACGTCTAAAATGTCCATACATATGTTGCTGTCAACAGTCATACTGAGCACGAGTATTATTTTCATTCTCACTTGCTGTGCTTGTCCCTTCTATCGGCTATTTATTAAATAAATTTTCACTCTTTATTGCTGTGTTCATAAACATATGATTGTGGATATATTCAAGAGTTGCGACACTTCTTATAGATAAATCTTAATTTCAATGACTTCAATTCAATTGCTTTTTGCGGCTTAAGATGTTCAATGAATATGACCTAATCATTATTACCGGCTGTTCCGCAATTGCTGTTATTCATTGGTGATCTTGAATTTCGAAACTGAATTAAATTTATTTTTGAATGTTAAAAGTTCAAATTGAAATCTGAAATTTCAGTTGATTAGTGAAATCTATAAAAGTGATGAAAGATGACACCGAAAAATAACCATGATTAACGTGCGTGCTGAGATGATGAGACGAGATTCTATTTAATTAAAGCGCTGCTTGCTGCATTTGCCAAAAATTTATAATGAGTAGAATGATTTGGTATAGGAAAATTCGCAATGTCATGGTGAGAAAAATCAGTATGTACTATAAAGTCGGCATGCATGTATGAAGTAAAGAGAGAAAGCATTTTCCCATCTATTTTTAAATAGTAAAAATATTTCCGAGAAATTTTCAATTTTAGCATGCATGCTTATGATCAAAAGAAGAAATGAAATAAAATAAAAAGAATAATTCTACAACTAAAAGCGATCGGTCACACAATGTGAGTGACAACACTTGTACACACAGCTTTATATTTTTTTTTATTTTTCATCCAGAGTCCTCGTTCTCTTGCTTACAATTAATACTTGCTAGTTTTTAAATAAACTTGCACATTTCAACAGCGGCCTAAGCACAGCACGGTCAGAAATATTTGTTTTGTGTAAAGCTTAGTGGAAAATTTATATTTTTTTTCTCCTCAAGTGTTATAAGGCAATAGTAGTTTTGGTGTTAGCCCCGTAATAAAGTTAAATAATATTTTATTTGTTATCATCATCTATATATGATTTTGGTTTAAAGAAGCAGCAGCAGTGTAAGAAGAAGTGTATAGGCTAAGCAAAAAGGAGAAAGAGAAAAAAAATACATTTGTTTTTTTAATGATTTCGATTCGAATAGGAGAAATACAAAAAAAATTTATATACTCAGTTAAGAGGCATATGTTCGAGAGTTAACACATGCCGTTTATAATTAAGAAGTTATCAAGGCGAGTTACACTCTTCGCTGCAGTTTTATTATGTACACTTTGTTTTCTTGCATTTATTAATCGTCTAATATTACTCGACTATGGTGAGTTAGTGAATCAACACACAAAAAAACATCATTTTAATTCTACTTGGGGGTCCTCGGTTTAAAAAAATATTTATAAAATTATAAATAAATTCTCAAATTTCTTTGCTACCAGAAATTGTGGTTTCGAAAAAATCTTTTGTGAAATAAAAATGGGTTTTTGAGCCGAAGACCCCCCACGAGTGTCTGATAAAGTGAACATTTAAATGAACAGAGTTAATAGAGACTCAATTAACGAATCACATACAATCATCGTGAGCATTTAAATGATCAATATATAGTCAGTTTATTCTGTGAGCCATGTCAAGAAAATAAACTATCAAAATATTCAATTTTGTTGCCGATTTTTTAAATTTGTGCTTCTCTCTATTTTCATTTCACATACTAAACCAGATTTACAAGCGACGATGACGCAACATTTGCAAAATACCGACTCAAAAAATGACTCGAAGATGATACAGAAATTGATCGAAAGAATAAATGACGAGCAGATCATCTTCAATGACTTGAAATATGAAGCATTGCAGAATGACTCAATTGTGATTGTAGTGCAAGTGCATAAGCGAATAACTTATTTGAGGCATTTAATTCAGAGCTTATCACAGGCTAAAGATATCTCAAAGACATTAATTATTTTCTCACATGATTTTTATGATGAAGAAATCAACAAATTGGTTCAAAATATTGACTTTTGTAAAGTCATGCAGATCTTCTATCCATACTCAATACAAACTCATCCACATCAATTTCCCGGCACTGATCCTCAAGACTGTGATCGTGACATTTCTAAAAGTGATGCAATCAAAATAAAGTGTAAAAATGCACACTTTCCTGATCTCTATGGACATTATCGAGAGGCAAAATACACACAGATGAAAAATCATTGGTGGTAAGATACATATTTGTTTAAGGTTTGGCTGATTGGGGCTTCCAAATGAATTTGAAATTGTTTTTCTTGAACGTCTTGGAAATTCGTCAAAAACTATAGTTATATTGGGGGTCCTCGATTTGAAAAATTATTTATTTCGTACCAGATTACCCTGTTTTTTCGTTATAAGCTAGTAGCTTAGAAGAATAAAAAAGTGATTTTTTTGGATCACTAGTAGCTTAGTAACGAGTAGTAGCTTAGTAAAGAAATTGAACTTCAATGAAAATTTTGAATTTTTTTAACTTAATTAAAGAAATTTTGCTATCTTCTCGATTTTATTTCATTGACAATGTCATAAGACATTGAAACTGATACTTAAAAAGTTGAAAAAGATTGATTAAACTATATTTTTGGTAGTAGCTTAGTAAAGATTACAAAAAATTTTCAAGTTCAAAAAAACTTTACTAAGCTAGTAGCTTAGTAACGAGTAGTAGCTTATAACGAAAAAACAGGGTACTCATGCTAAATGCAAGTTTATACTAAAACTAATCAACATTTAATTTATTCAAGTCATAGACCCTCGTAAGTTGCAAAAACTACTTCAGTATAACTTGTTCATTTGAATAGGTAGCCGATTTCTATGAACTTGAGAATAATACCGGATAATTTCATATCTTCAAGGTTGGGATATTTGTTTTATAACCGACATAGTTTGTTGGTCTACATGAGGGGTCATTCGCTTGTGACGTTCTTCCTAAAATTAGATTTTTGAGACTTCTTGTCTCATTTATCACAAAATTTTCATTCTGAAACAGTCTTTAAGGTTTCTTTCTCTATTGTTTCTAAAGTAACTTGTCTAATTAGATATCCTTAGTCATAGACGCTTAGGCTTGTTAAGTAAATGTAATTGCAACCGGTAAAAATCTATTAACCATAAGCATTAGCTTTAAAATTGCCGCAAAGCTACGTTAAAAAGTAGATAAAATTGATTAATCAACAAATTATAGCTGAATGTCAAAATTGGTTTCAACACCGTCAAATCCAAGTTATTGTTTTTAGAAAGACGTTTATCATGATGCAAAACTTCAGATAATTTATGAGTCTTAACACTTAACACTGCTGTGCTATCTGGGGGGGGGGGATTTTTTTAAAAGAGAAATGTCATAAACAATTGAAAGTGGCAAATACCGAATAGGTAATGTTTGATGCTGTTCCAATATAACGAAACTTGTTACTACCCTTCACTGTCTAATTTTAAGAACTATCCATAGTGGTCTCACACTGTCTAATATTCCTGAATAAGGATCTTAAGAATTAATCTTATGAGTTTAATTAGAGATTCGACCTTCAATTTCTTAAAACTAGAGCATTATCTTACATCATAAACCAAAAGAAGCCCAGCCAAACTTAATATTGTTTACATTTCACTCAAACATATCAAATTCATAAAATAGGTGGAAGCTAAATAGAATATTTGATGAACTTAATGTGACGAGAAGTCTTAGTGATATGCAACTTCTGTTACTCGAAGAAGACTACATGATAGCACCAGATTTTTTACATATTTTAAGTCAGATGCAATCATTATCAAAGAGGAAATGCTCATATTGTAATATTTTATCGCTAGGTACTTATATAGAGAGTACAAACTATGATAGTTATAATAAGGTCTGTATATGATCTGTTGCTGATTATCAACTAGAACCTTTAGCCTTTTGACACTTGTAACTGATAAATATCTGCTCTATTTATATTGCATCGTATTTTAGGTAGAAATATCTCCATGGCTGACAAGTAAGCACAATATGGGAATGTCATTAAATCGTACAACATGGAACGATATCAAAAGCTGTGCTAAATATTTTTGTTCATATGATGAATATAATTATGATTGGAGTCTACAAAATGTAAATTATAACTGCCTTACCAATAAGCTGTTTGCAATGATTATCAAAAGTCCCCGAGTATTTCATATTGGTGAATGGTAAGTATCAATCACTTAGTTGAACTTGCTACTTGTACGATGTAGGCGAAAATGTCACAGGCACTTTTCTGTGTTAGATCGATTGTTGGTGTTAAAGACATTTATGTGCTGTATAATATGTGTTAAGTGTGGTGCAAAAACAATATCTCATGAGCAATTCAAGGCTACGGAAATGTTTCATTTGGAAAAATTAGAATTTGAATGAAATTTTCAACTGAAATTTAGAATTAGAATTTTGTGCCAGATTTTAAAGCTGTTGTAGGGGTTTAAAATGAAATTGAAGGGTTTTGTGACAATACTCGATAACTTTAAATGTTCTGATTCGCTGGATAGTTGGCAACCTGTCAAGAGTTTAAAAAAATCTTTTTAAATGTCTAGTAAAACACAAAAGTTCTTGAAAATGAAAAAGTCACATTGAACAGATCAAAACTAATGAATATTAGTAGCATGTGTTCATAAATCAGACAAACCGCATGAGAACTAATGCACAAGCCGTATGCAAAACAGCTTGTAAAAATATATCTCGTTGCCTACACCATTAATGCGTAATATTTATTACTCTCTCATTTACATTTTAGCACATGCATAACAAATGTTTCCATCTATCTCATTTATTTATAGTGGAATGCATCATAATTCAGAAAACTGTGATCCGAGTCAAGCCATAAACAGAATACAATTTGTGATTGAGAATGCAATGCTGTCGAAGAAATTTTATCCAAAGAGATTGAAAGTTACCAAAATGTATGATGAGTATGAGTCGAAGGATAACTTAAAGCCAAATGGTGGCTTTGCTGATTTACGTGATCAAGTTCTGTGCCTTAATATGACAACATTTTATACATTTTAAGTCGGTTCTGTGTCAATATTAATTTATATATTTTTACAATATAATATTTATCTCATTTATACGGCCAAAGTAACAATTTTAGAGAGATTTTGTTAATAATTTTTTTGTATTTAACTGTGTCATAAACGAAGTCTAATGAACGAATCTGCTGTTTTATAAATTATCTCATTTTTAATGCCAATAAAAGAAAAAGAAAATAAATATCAACTATTATTGACGTGATCTTTTTAAATCTATAAATGCGCATCTTTCCGGTGTAAACTTGATTTATGAAGCAGCAGGCACGTGACTACCTATAGTGGACTTATTGGAACTCTTATGGACCTTTAAGTTCCTGCAGACAGAAGATACATTAAGTCTGACAATCTTATGATGAATCTCTCATTTCCTTTTTCTCAAATGACTTAAAACTCAAATCTCCTTTGGGGTCGTTCACTTATGACGTCCGAAATTATCGGTCATTTTTCAAAAAAGAAAAATGGATTTTCTAGAATTTCTATTGTTCTTTTCTTGCTGAACCCCCTCCCCCCCCCTGGACGTCATTACTGAAGGGCCCTTTTGGAAATCAGCTGAAAATCACAAATGAATAAAGCAAGTCAAGTAAAGCATCAAGCATAATAAAACTCTCAACACGTTCTTGAAACTATTTTATGTAGATCAAATTGGTTGTATATCGAAAATTCATTTATTTATTTCACATTACAGCAAATATTAAAGATCAGACCCACAAAAAAGAAATCTTTAAAATTTGCACAAATACAAAAAATCATACGAAGGATGTACTCGGTCGTTATTGGAAACAAAAAAATGATTTTTCAATTGAAATTTAAAATAAAAAATGACTCGAATTTTCTAAAATAGCATCTTTGGCTACATCGTCAGAACAAAAAGTTTATGACATATGAAATAAATGACACATGTGTGAATCAAGTGAGTAGATTAATGTTTTTTTGGTCGAAACATGTATAAAAAAAATGTCGTGGGGGTAAAATCCTTAACTATATTGCACTTCAATTATTTTGTTGTTGTTTTTTAAGTTTGTTACGTTAATAATTTTGTTAATTTGCTTTTTTAGCATCTTTACTAGCCTCTTCTTTGACTTGTCCTTTTCCGAAGAGTTTGGCAAGTGAATCCCAAATTCCTCCGAATAAGAATGCACACATAAGATTCTCAAATGGAACAAATGGATCTGTTTGGTGAATAAAAATGAATTCAATTAGGTTTAATGAACTCTCAGCATGATCTAGAACATAGAACGTGCTTATTGGATGTCAACAAATGATCTTACCGTGAATTCCAAGCAACAATGACGAGAGTTTAAAGTATACGAGGAAGATGACAATTCCAAAGTAAACAAGTGCATGTGGAGCTGAAATCCAGTCTGTTTTCTTATCTAATACAAAAATAATTGAAGCAACAACTGATGCTTTGGTATAGCTGCAAAATAAATTAAATTTGATTAGTAAATGTCACTGATGATCACTGTGTCAAGTCACAGTTGGATATTAATAATATGAATTGCAAGGATAATGAGTGTCAAGTCACAGTTGGATGTTTACAGTATAAATTGCTAAGTCCAACTGTGAATCAAGCATGCATTACTAGACGAATCTCAAATTTGAATTCAATAACGCATCTTAAGCTGTTGTGTGGTTTTTAAAATAATTTTAGAACCCAACAAATGTTTTGAAATGTTTAAGAACTGTACAAATTATTTTCAAAACCATACAAAAGCAAAACTCTACAATTGCAAGCTAGTCACTCAAACTTACAAGCTAGGCTGCATGCATTCCATTGCAGTTGGTGTCCAGATTCCTCTAATTAATCGCTCAAGTAATTTTGTAAATCCTGCTCCGTTGCCTTTAATTGTACCAATAACAATCATAATGATGTAGGCATTAGGATAAAGCTTGGCAGCATGTACAACACCGTCATGAACTTTCTTTGCTCTGTATACTTCTTTCATAGCACTTGCAACAAGTTTGACGGGTAAAAATTTGCTGACTTTATATCCAATATCGAATGGTGTGTAGAATACAACATACCAGCAAGCTGTAGCCACAAGAAGTTGTGGGGTATTTTTTAATGGTCCTAATACAGGTTCACCTAATAAAGCAGCAGCGACCATGCCACCAGCAAAAATAACGAGCATTGTAGACAGCCAACATGCTAATGGATGTTTACGACTGAAAGCATGTGCACCACTTCCTAAATCCTCTTTGACAGACAGTGCACACAATAGACTGTGTGCGATATCAAAGTATGGAAACATTTTGAGCTTAATCACTTGATTAGCAATATCGAGGAAGCTTTCAGGATCCATCTTTCACGTCTTATTTATTAACCGTTAAAATGTATATATCTTGAACAATCAGTTACGCTCTAAAGAAGAAAGTCGCGGAAAGAGTCTAAAAATAGACAAAAAAATTTCCTATTAGAAGAGGAAAATCTGTACGTCCCGGGTTTTTGCTCGTATGTCTATGCAATTTAGGTACTTACTAAAATAATAAATAAATGTATCTTATCTGAATGTGAATTTAATCGATAAGTTTAAGCCAGTCGTATACGTTGCATAAATTTATCGATCTTGTAATGTCATTGAAAATTGGAATGGAAATGCATAGAAAAAAAAATTCAAGTTTACTTACAATCGTATTTACTGTCAGTTTTTAGAAATATCCTTCAGTAACAACAGGAAAATCGTCTTAAAATATTGTTAATGATGCCTTAAATATCGAATAAAGTTACGTCTTATACATAATTTCAACCAAAAAAAATTAATAAGAAAATCTTGAGCAATTTTCCTGAAAAACTATTTTTGTCGTCTATAATATCTACATATATATATAGGGGGAGCATAGCTTATTCAGCATAGAATTTATTCATCCTTTCACTTTTATTTTTGTTTATATTTATATTGCTTCTTTTTTACATTTTAGAGGATGTACTTATCGACATCAAAGTTTGCGAAGCATGAAAAGTCATTAGCTAAATTATTTTTATGTCTTGGCTTAAAGTTTGATTCCTTAAGTCCAAGTTTAACTGCTAGATCTCTTTGAATACTTCCAGTATTAAGAATAATCAATGAATTTTCGTTTTTAATCCGGCTCACGATTTTATAGCTTTTTGTCAGGCACTCCTCAGATAGAAATGGTGGATCCAGTATGATTACATCAAAAGATCCAGTAAACTCCTTTAAATAATCCTCACTGTCTCCTAAATTGTAATCATAATGCACAAAATCATTTTCGTACTTTTTAAATCGCTCATCGTACTCAAATATCTTTACATTATCCGCAATTGATCTGACTGTCTCAAATAATGATGGACATGACAAAAGTGCTATTTTAATATCCTCATCATATTCTCTTATTAATTTCTTGCAGATTTTTCCAAAAACCTTCTGTGTCTCTTCGTCATACCAAAATTGCGACAGTCTAAAATTAACATTTCTGGATGTCAAACAATTTTTTTGGACGTAAACTTTTGTTACTTACTGCCAATTCTCTGAAACTTCACCGACTTTTTCTTGATCATCTCGTTCTTTAAGGAACTGACTTAAAATAGCTTGTGTATCAGCTGATAACTGAGGAATATCATCATCTTCAAGTGACATTTTAATTAAATTTGTATTTGTTTGTGAGATTTAGTTCCAAGCATGTGTTGTTTACTTCCATGCAAGCACATGTTTCTCTAACGGTCTTAAAATATTTGAACATCCAGAGTTGTCAAAAATCATTCAAAAAATAATCAAAACAAACGCATTGAGCAGCATAAAGCACAAGTTTAAAGATAATAATGGAACCAGCAGTTGTTGAAATGATTACAGACGATATTGTGACTAAGGTAAGAATATAAACAGCAATAGAAACATTTAATTAAACATATCACGATTCTAGGAACCAAAAGATCCAATAGTTTTACAGCAATCATCAGCATTGAGCTTACTAGCTCAATATTCAGATTCAGACGATGAAAATGACAATGAAGAGGAAGTAAAAGAGCCAGAAAATCATAGCAATCAATACAGAACAGCTGAATTAGAAAGTTCATCGAGTAGTTCCAGTGACGATTCAGACGAAGAAATTGATGTAAAGGAGATAAAAAAGAAATTAGAGACAGTAGCATCAGATGACGATTCTGAGAATGAAGATCCAGCCAAAGAAAAGAAGAAGAAACAGCCACTAAAAGTCAGAGGAGAATTTTTATTGGTAATATCCACAAAGATCCAGTAAAAACACTTAATTAATTAAATATAACTTTACAGGAAGACTTACCACCAATTCAGGACCTTGACCTCAAGGTTGATGAGAAGGAATGTCTAGAAATAGGAACAATCACATCAGTTGTTGATCAATTGGTTCTAGTTGAAGCATATCCACATTCAGCAGCTCTTGACATTGATTCTGTGCTATTTTTGGATAATGGAAAGAAAGCTTTAGGTCAGGTTTTTGATGTTATAGGTCAAGTATCGACGCCAATTTATTGCATTAGATTTAATACACATGAAGATATAGTAACGAAGAATATCACAGTTGGAACTAAGGTATTTTGTGCACCAAGAACAGAATATGCAAATTTCGTGATAATTTCAAAGATCATGGGTAGAGGATCTGATGCAAGCTGGAAAAATGATATTGAAATTCCTGATAATATGATTGAATACTCGGATGACGAGGAAGAAAGAAGTGCTAGAAAACAAAAGAAGAATCCAGATCAACAAGTGGCAGCACCAAGACGAAGGAATCAATCACAAAACTACAGCTGGCATAATCAGATCAATAATCAGCCACCACCTAGCAATTGGCACAATCAACAACAACACCCTCAGCCACAATTTCAGAACTATAATTATTATCCACAAAATCCATATAGCCAATAATTATTAAAATAAAGTAAATCAGGTTTTATTCTCTTAAAGATTAAAGTGTGTGGTAAATAACATTACATGCTTAATTAAATTATCTTATATTATTTGGATACATGAATGATCTATTTCGTTTGTTGTTCCTTCCTTCCATTTGAAACGAATGTCCCGAGAATGAATGTCTGTTTGATTGACGGTCAAAAGTATTATCGTAAATACGTGTTCTTTGATGTGCCATAATTCTCGTTGTGCTCGTCATCGTTGTTTCTGTTTCCGTTGCAAAATCTTTTAGTGAATCTTCATAACTGTTAAAACAAATATATTAATTATATTCACTAATGTTATCATCATTGAGTGCATAATTAAAGACAATTAATCATTCCACCTATTATTACTTGAAGCATCTTGTTTGTCATCAGAAGTACAAGAACATCCATTGGTCTGATAATGCTTAATTATGTTATTTTTTGTTGGCATTATGTATTCATTATATCTCGCACATTTTGCCTCATGATTATGTAAATTCGCTTGAAGAGATTTTGGTAATGGAATGTCTATATACTCCCTCTTATCAGCTTGATTATGATGCTGATTTCCACTAATATGATTATTTTTCCTTGTCGGAATTAATTGTTTAAGTACTGGCTGATAAACATCTGTGACTCCTGTATCGTCACTTACTGGATCTGTTGAGGAATCACCTGAAGGTTGTGGTAGAAACAAATGCTGTCTGATAATTTGTGAAGGTGCTCGACTTGGTACGCGAGGTGAAATTCTGACTGGTGCTATAGCATTTTGAATGCGTCTAGATTGAAATGGAAAAAAAAAAATGTTATAAAATTTATGATTTATGATATCTACGTGCATATGAGTTCATAGAGAAATTCAATGCTATTTTGGATTCTGTGGATTAAGCAGCATTTGAATTTAAATTAAGTTTTTATGAAATTTACGTTAAATTAAAATTTGAAATCATTCAAAACCATACAATTGTGGATAATTTTTTAAAACATTTGTACGGTTTTGAAACATTCAAAATTTATCCAACATATAGACAAGAAGATGTAATCATGAACTCATATGTCTAGGTATCAATAGATTTATTTTCCAATCTAGAAAGAGAAATAAATGTTATGCAAGCAAAGTTATTATTGTTATTCTATATTTTTCCATTACCTTCATATTCTTATGGCTATTATGCAACACATTGCATGTTATCAAACATGATCTATAGGAGAAGGAGGAGGGGATTTTGATGCACTGGTTAATCGAGTTAGAATTTACAGTTATTTGTTAGAGTTCTGCAGTACAAATTAAGTAGGTAAGCAAGATTAGAAACTAGAACGCGAATGCCATCGAACAGGTATTGAGCAATTGTATGTTGTAAGGAAGTGAAAAAAAAAATTGCAATTGATTTTAATAATTGTTTTTTATTAGCACATAACTTTGTTATTGATTAAATTTTGGAAATCTATAAGGAATTTTATCACTTACATTACTATAAATTAATCCATATAAATACTTAATTAAGAAATAATTATTTTCACATGAAAAAAATGCATAAAGGCACGAAATTTAGGATATGCACTAATGACATGTCATTGCCTCGTCCCAAAAGGATTAACATTTAATAAAGCATCTTACTAGTAACATAACGTATACATCTAATTAAGCCAAGATGACAAAATGTGATTGGAACCAGTTAAAATTGCCTTGCAGGCATTGAAATCTCCAATCTCATTTTCTCACCTTGGATTAATCCATAAATTTTTTTTATCAGTGCTTTAATCAAATCGTGAGTAAGTCGAATTTTTAAAGACATCGTTCATCAATGAAAAAACATACACTTAATTGACGTCATTTTTGAACGACCCCTCTTTCTACAGCAATTAAATATTAGCTTAACATCTACTAAGGAGGATTATAGCAACAAATTAAATTAATTCTGATAACTTTTGTGATGTTGGACAAAAAATAAAATGCTTTTTAAGGAATATAAATAAATTTTTGTGACTGGTGTTAAGTGATGATTATTAGGTTTTTTGTGTGTGTACTTAATCATTCCTTATGTAGCTCACCGTTTATATCGAACACAAAGTATACAAATTGCTGTGGAAACGCCACCTATAAGTATCGTTATTGACAATACTATTGATGCTAATTCTCCTGATCCTTGCTTAATTTTTGGAGCTAAATGCGCTGGCACACCTAATTTTGTTAATTCTACCACTGGAATTGATGGCTGGATTTCTTGCATGTTCACTTGTTCCATGATTCTAAGTGACAAAAGACATTATTAAAGGAATTATAGCAATAAAATCATGAACTTACTCTTGTAACTCTTCCATATCCACGACTGTATTCGTCTTAGGATCAATTGCGTATATGTACACATTTGTCCAAAACTCACGACTCGTCTCGTGTGGCTCCAACATCCTAATCTTCACTATCAAATTTGTGGCCTCAGAAAGACTTCGAGAAATTGCTTCTGCTTGCTTTTCTATGTCCATCGTCGTTCCACTCATAATGAATTTAACATGCTTATGTTCTTCCAAGACGTAGACCTGTGAAGGCATGACATTAGTTCCAAAAATCATTAAATCAGCATAAGTACTTACGAGAACATTAATAATGCTAGTTTTCCCATTTTCAGACCCCTGTCGATCCGTAGCTCTAACATCAAATCCAAAAACTCTCTGGTGACTTCTCCATAAAGGTCCTAAAGTCCTTACTTGTCCAGTCAATGCATCAATTCCAAAGAAATTTGTTGGCTCATTAATTAAGGAATATCGAACATCCCCATTCAATCCAATATCTCGATCATCTGCAGTAACTTTAAGCACATTATATCCATAAGTCACTGTGTCAGGAATAACAGCAATAATTGGACTTTGATCCTTAAACATCGGCACATGATCATTTACATCAACAACTCGAATGACAACACGAACTTCATTGTCTTCTAAATTTTCAATGCGATCGTCAGTGACTGGATACATAACTTGCATACTTTTTCCATTTCTCGGTCGTCTTGGACCTGTCAAATCAGCACGAATTTTGAGAGTATATGATGAATATTCTTCTCGATCAAGTGGCTTTTGCAGCCATAAAATTCCATTGTCTATGCCAAAAATATCGGATATAACTGGAATTGAATAGTTTTTGTTTTCCAGCACTAGAGACCAAACATAAACATCATTCTCATTTGTAGTGTTAAACTGAATTAATCTCATCGGCGTGGGACTATTTTCCAAGACATCAATCTCGTAATACTGATTTACAAATAAAATTGGTTTTGTTGCCACATTCTTCTTCGGGTTAGAGAGTAGCTTTGGTGGTGGCTGTGTTGGCACAAATCTCTTTTCACCTGTCAACTGTATTAATACAATAGCGTATGAACTTTTAACTGGATTTCCCAAATCAGACGCGACAACAGTAAGATTCAACACTTCATAATTATTAAGATCCCTTAATTGTTCTTGATGTGGCGTTGTCATAATGAAGCCTTCGCGTGCATCAATTTCAAAGAGATGTGAAACGTTATTATGCAAAAAGTTGTAAAATACCATTCCATTGAGTGCATAGTCCACATCCGTTGCTTTGACTTCTTTTATTAACCTCCGTGGACTTACATTACGATCTAGACTAATTTTGTAAACTGGAGTGAAATTTTGTGGACTAATAGCATCATGTATATCGCTATTAAGCTTTCTACCACGTGTCGAAATCTCATTAATCATTACATCGTCGTAGTTTATAAATACTGGTGCATTATCGTTCAAGTCAATAACATTAATTTCTATGATTACCGTTGAGTTCAATTGCTTATATTTTCGGCTATTATCTTTAGCCATCACTCGGAATTCATATAGAGATCTCTGTTCGCGATCTAATTGCCCAGATACCTTTAATAAACCTGTTTTTGGTATGATACTAAATGGAAATTTCGATTCATCGACATTTACGATGCTGTAAGTGATATTTGCATTGTCATCAAAATCATCATCGACTGCTTGAACGGAACCGAGAATTTTACTAACATGAAATCCTTCCTCGATATCAAACGAATAAAATGGTCGTAAAAATACAGGTTCGTGGTTATTAACATCACTTATTTGTATGCCAATTTGGATTGTGTCTTTTAATCCACCAGAATCTTTTGCCGTTACATTGACTAAGATCTCTAAATTTGGAATTAACTGTCGATTGACTTTCAGTTCTCCTGACATTCTATCGATGAAGAAGAATGAATGCTTTTTGATATGATTAAGGTTTCCTGTGTATGATGGCATTGCAATAATCTGTTCTGATGATATTTCGTATGTAACTTGAGCATTGGGTCCATAATCATCATCAGATGCTGTAAATTGAAGAATTGTTACACCTGCTTCGAGGGATTCTTCAATCATGAATAGTGGATATTTTAAAAATGAATTTTTATTGACAACTTCTGGTGAATTAGACTTGAATGATCGATCTTCAGTGATCATAATCTCATCATCATAATTGTCTGTTAATGATCTAGGACTTCCAATTGGATGTTTTGGTCTAATTCTTATTTTATTCAAGGATGGTGTTGGTATTTTTATGTTTGGTAAGGATGTTGATGACGTTGAAGAAGTTTCATCATTAATTCTACTTCTTTGAGTTGGTGCTTCTAATGGCGAAGCTTGTGGCTGTGTAGAAAGTGCATTGTCAATAAAATAAATTTCCATTTTATCAGAATATTGTAAAAGTTCAATTCCTGTCTGCTTAAACACAGCCAATTTCTCAAAAGATGGAGGATTGTCATTAACATCAGTAACAAAAATCATCAGCTGTGCTTCCTCTTGCAATCCACCCGAATCTTTAGCTAATAATCTTAATTTATAAAAATTCTTTCGCTCTCGATCCAAAAGACTTGGTCCACTAAACTTGATGACGAAATGTGATTGATTGGCTGGAATTTCGCGTGAATTCATCATCATTAAGTGCAAATTAATATCGACCATGCTGCTATATTCATCCAAAACTGTATCAGAGAATAACGCTAACGCACTATTATTAAAATTATTAAGCGGAGATGTACGTTCTGATACATCATTACTTTTCTCAATTGTGAATAATCTATTTCCATCGCCTAAGATGCTTAACTGAAATTCAGCATTTTTCCCAGCATCAGCATCATTAACGATTATTAGATTGTTCAATAACACCTCCGTACCGAGAGCAGAATTCTCTGATATGATACCGACATAACTAGATCTTTCAAATTTGGGTGAATTGTCATTTTCATCTTTAACAATAACATTAATCTGATAAATTCCAGCACTTTCAATTAATCCGTTTGTATATTCAGCAATTACACTCAATTTGTATGAATCTTTCTCTTCACGATCTAATCCGTTTATCGTCATTAACTTACCATCATTCGATATGTACATTTTGTTTTTTAGATCGTAATCATTAACAATGAAGAAGTTTAGATTTTTTGTGGCTCTTACAATACGATTTCTGCTCCGCAGGTATTTATTTAAACCTGTTAATGGTTTCTCTTCCGATGTGGTATTACTATTACTTTTTAAGGTGATTGGTGGCAACTGCTTTACGACTCGTCCATTTGTTATTGCTTGTCTGCGTGCTGTGCTATTAAAAACGTTTGTTCTAGGCTTTCGAGTAATCATGCCAATTGTGGAAGGAGTTGTCACAGTTGCTGTAATATTCTTAAGTCTCGGCTCAGCTGAATGCTTCCTGAATTTTGATGAACTCATGTTAAGCATTTGTCGATTTTCACGCATAACTGGACGTCGCTGAACTGTTGTTGTTGATTGTGTCGATGGCGATGCTTGAAGATTTTTATTCATGTCAGTAAAATTTTTCGTTAATAAATTTCCAATAATCGCATTTGGCAGATTCTCCAAGACTTTAAACTCGACAAATTCATTTTGTGAGCTCTTCACAAAAACTCCATTTTTTGAGGTGCTGCTTGGATTTACAACATTTATTGTTACGTTTGCGATGTACATACTTGCGAAATTTAGATCCGAAACAATTCCCTCATCAACCTGAAAACCCAGTTCCTCTGGTAGAGATTTCTTTAAAGATCTTGATTGATTTTTGACATGCTGTTGAAGAAATTAAAATTTTGGCCATAAAATTAATTTAATTAATTTTTTATGAATCTACAAAAATCTACTTACTTCAACTGGTGAATGAGCGAATGTTGCTACAGCCTCAAAATGATACGCATTTCTGTTGAAACTATTTATCGGTCTAATGACTGTTATTATGCCTGACTGTTCTTCAATTGCGAACGGTACACCTTCTGAATATGAATGCAGCAAGTCAAAAATAATGTCATCACGATACACAACTCGAACTTGTCCAACTGAGGTTCCAATCGGTGCATTACTTCCAATCCAAAATTCATATGGTGCACCCATGAACTTGATTTCAGATACATCAATAGCTTCAACAATATCCAGCGTTAAAACTGCTAATGTGCATCTCGTTTCTGATGGATTAATTGGCTGATCGCATGCTTCAACAAACAAAGCTATTCTTCCCGTAGCTAATTTCCCAGTAACTTTAAGAACACCAGTTTTTGTATCCAATTGAAATGGAACTGCTGTTTCTTTCCGGTTTTTCATCTCATATGTGATCTTTCCATTTGGTCCATCGTCAGGATCGTAAGCTTTTATCTTCCCAACAACATATCCAACTGATGCATTTACGTCAACTTTAAATTCATAAAGATTTCCCATCTCAAATATTGGACTATTGTCATTGCTATCAAGCAGTGTTATGTCTACAGCCACTGTTGATTCGGATGTTGATTCACGCCTATTATATGGCTTAACTTTTTCAATGGCTTCAATGATTAGCTTCACTGTTGGTCTCTCTTCTCGATCTAATAATGATTGATTCTTAACAGTCATCCATCCCGTGATTGAATCAATACCAAAAGCACCTTTTGGTTCTTCTTTAAATATCTTGTAAAAGAACATGGCATTCTCGCCTTGATCTCTATCGAGAGCATTCACTTGTAACACGGAAAAACCATTCGGAAGATTCTCAACAATTGAAATGTTATAAAGATCCACTTCAAATTCTGGCTGATTATCATTAATATCAATTATTTCAATTTCCACTCGTGCCATTGCCCTCTTTAATGGATCATTCTTTTGCTTAACATCAATTTGTAAATAAAATGAATTATCTTGAAGACTTTCAGCTTCTAAATCAATTTCTTTCTTTAAATACAATACACCAGTCGTCGGATGTATCCAAAATACTTCTCTGTCGTTTCCAGATACAATACTATAGACTAATGTCGAATTCAATGAATCTTGATCATATGCTTCAATTGGCGGATCAATTTTCAATGGTTTATGTATCGATTTGCCACTAATTGTAAAAAACTCTTTAACTTTTGTATAATATGCTTCTTGTGTAAATACAGGCGGTAGATCATCAACATCATCAATGAAAATTGACAGTGTTGTATTTGTTTGTTGTGGTGGAACTCCACGATCCCGAGCAATTATGTTAAGATCAAATTGTCTTATTCCATGATCAAAATCTAATGATCTTTTAAGTATAACATGTGGACGATGTGGACTGTCGAGCATGAAAAAGCCACCTTTTGTGTCTGATGTTTGCTGTCCGATAAAATATTGAATATCTGAATTTGGAGTGTTTGGCTTATCACGATCAACAGCCTTAATACCCATAAACACACTCGATCCCAGTGGTGTGGTTTCATCAATGGTCAGCTCATATGGAGTGTTCAAGAAGACAGGCTTTATATTTTTTTTTTTTGGAATAGAAATTAGTCATGCACTATGAGGAAAATTATTGCAGACTTACTTTATTATCATTAACATCTTCAACATATACTGTAACCATAAGAAATGATACCTGCAGAACATAAAGAAGAAACATTAGTTTGAAATTTCACACTAGACAGGCACGTGTGCGTGAATGTAAAGTGATTTAACGTGTGGTCAGTTATGAATTTTTAATTAAATTGAATGAATTATAGGAAATAGTACATTAAATGATCATGCTGTTATGACTAAAATTGCTCTTACATCATGATTCCTCCTGTTTCCATGAACTGCACTGTTACACTGAATTTTGAACTTGAGTACATTTTGTGGATTTTCATTATCAACTAGATCATCGAGTGTTTGGCTTAAAATAATTTGTATTGTTGTTCCGTTCACTTCATGAATACGGAAATATTTGTGATCATCGCCGCTTGAGCGGTCAATTGCTCTCAACTCTATGGATTTTCTATTTTATTTGATACAGAGAAAGATAAAATTTATTAATTTTACGGATTTTTGAGCAAACAAAGCGTAGGATCATGGTTTTGTTTACAAGTGACGTCTACGCATACAATAGGAGTAGGTAGAAAAATACTCCTAAGACTTCTTATCTCGATCAAGATAAATCTAATGTTTTGTGGACGTCATATTCAAACAATGCCTTCAAAATTAACAATAAACCTCCATACTGACCTAGGAAACACATTCATTGTCAACACAACATCATTCACTAGACGGTCCTCTTTGAGTGGAATGTATATGTTCCCCGATTCTGTATCTGTAGATGAATATTCATCACTTGAGGAGTAGAATGTACAGGCTGAAAAGAGAAACAATAAATAAATATTTAAATCAAGGCAAATAAAAGTGAAATTCTCATAAATTGTTGCATAATCTTTTTTATGATGAAAATGAGATTTATTCTGCATTATCGTAAATTTAAATCGTGGGGAAAAACTTGGCAAGTTTGACGTTGACAGCTTCATTATTATATTTTATGAAGCTCTTAGATTTCAACCTTCAAAAACTCATAGAAATATTGCACAAATATTTCAACTTTAAACAAATATTGTCCAATTTTTCAAGATTAAGTAAGAGTCTATACAGAAAATAGCTTATGGGTAGACGGTAAGTGACCCATAGTGTTAAAAGAGATGATGATAAAGATCATTTTCCCATCGCTCGCGCGCTAAGTATATCAATTGTCTCACTTCTGTTGACTGCTGTTTTGTAGTTATGGATTTCAACTCATTTTTTTCTAGACAGTCTGTCAAGTGTCGGAATATAAAATAGAAATATGGAGTAATTTATGACTAGATTTATGGATTATGGAAGCTAAAAGCATATATGAAGTGAATTTTACAAAACTGTAATGTAATTCATTTTAATTTTAAGTAGATTTTCTTAATAAACAAATTAATTATTTTTTATTGCTTTATAATCCATCTCTTTAGTGTCTGGCCCGAGGAAAATATGGTGGATTGGAGATCGACTTATTATATTATGTAGCCATGCATTTATGGTTCTCGTTCTGTTGCTCTAATCTCGAATCATTCAAAGTCGATCATAATTCAGATATTTGAAAAGCTTCAGCCATCTTGACCATGCTTGAGTTTAAATTTCAGAAATCTTTTAAAACATCATTTCATTGCTGAATCTACCTACTCAGAGTTGATAACAATTTTTCCGGATGTGTATTAGAAATGTTGATTGCAAATTATGAAAGTTTATTTGTGTGGGCTTCGATGGTCTACCAATGTATCTAAATCTAGACGATTGATAAGTTAAATTAATAATATACCAGAATCAAAACCAGTTTAGATTGGTAAGCAATTGGTATTTTCTAAACGAAGAAGTTCAACACAGTATTTTTACATATTGCATCACTTTTAAATGAGTAGCTAAGTTGATTTGCATGTTAGAGCTTTAAAGGTCTGCGATATTTGTAAACAATTAATTATTATCCAATTCTAGTTCATAGAAATTTTAAACGAATATTTAATATTCATTTAACTGGAACCAAAATAACACCTCATAAGTTTAATACCTAAAATTAGCTATATAGAAGTCACATTAAGCTTGCAATACTCGGGAAAATAAGCTTTCATTTTCATTGAACAATTGACCATGCAAAAGAGGCAAAAATAAATAAATGATCAAGATAAAGAGGAGAAATGCGATGAAGAACAAAAAGAAGAAATTATTAATGAAAATATTGGTAATAGATGTTATGTAGTCGTTGCAAATTGAAATAAAGTGAAAATTTTCATGCCAAAATTGAATATTTTTAAAATATTAAGATCTCATTACTTAATTTTGTGAATTAATAAATTGAGTTTGGTGAACTTTTTCAATATCTTTTTAGAAAATTGAAAGATTCGAGACGAAAAGTAAAATGATTAAAAACGTGATCTCTGTGCAAAATTAAATAAATATATTAATTCTTCTTTTCCGTAATGTTGCAAAGGCATGAATAGAAGTTTTTTTTTCGTTTCCCTAAGTCTCACTGACATCCAATGCTATAAGTGAAACTGCAAAGAAAAATTTCCCACAAAATGGAATTTTTCACATGCATTATGCATCATATATTTATTTGCTGTAATTTTTGTTTTTAAAAACATTTTTGCATAGCATATAGGAACAACATAAGTTCATACTTAGTGTATGAATTGGTATGAATAACTTTTCCGCTTAGCGAAATATTAATAAGTTGCGTCATATGGGAAATTAAGTTTTGTTATAGATGAACAAGAAGAAATATTGCAATATAATCATTTCGTGCCATGTCAGACAACAGAAGCAGTGAAAAATTGAGTCTTTTGTGCCTGTTTTTCATGTCTCATTTTTTTGTCAATTTATGAAGCGTTTAAAAAATTGAACAAAAACTTTTCATTTCATTTTGCAGCTTTTTAAAATCTTTCTTGATCATTTTGAAAATGAGGGAGGATTCTTAAGTTAAACAGCTACAAGACCGTTTCAACAGTTTTCGAAATCAAAAAACTTCTATTGAAGTCCTATTTGATTTGATAAACTTAGCTTTACATTCTCATTAAAAAAATCTTAATTAATTTATCGCTCTGTTCATTATTTTTTCCAGGTTAAAATCTTCTAAGCAATGAACAAAATTATTTGTAATGAGCATCTTTCAAGCACTAAACACACCTCTTGCATATTCATAGATGCTCAAAGAAAGTAACAAACAAAAAATTTTCATTGAATGAAAATTGAAAAAAAGTGAAAATCTTTAAAAAGTAAACAGCATCAGTAATGCAGCGAGTCTTTTGTGAAATGGTATATTAGATTATGATGTTACTAGGTCTGAGAATGTATAAAATTCTTTCCATCATTGTTCACCTCTCGATGCCGGAATAAATGTAAAGAAGAAAATGAAATTAACAACATTTTCATTTTCATTTTATTATTTTTTCGTCAAGTTTCATTCAGTTTAGATGATAGTGTGCAGTAAAAATATATAAATCACTTTCGCACGTTTGCTGATGAGACATGCTGGTTGGCATTGCAATAGAGAGCAATAGTAAAAAGAGAGATGATTTTTATTTTATTGCCTAGCTAAGTATTTAATTATCGCATGAAAACGTAAATTTGAATGCAATTCATCCACAATAAGGCTTATTTATTACTTCATTGAGATGTGCGACTTACTATCCGTCTTCAGGAAATTTTCATAACTACCCATCTTGTTAAATGTTAGAAAGCCATTTATTGTCGATGAATGGAGCGCATTTACATTAAATTACCCAGTCTTTTTAAGATGGATTGGATAAAAAGCTTCTTAAACACTTTCTTAAACCATTTTGATTTATTTTAAATTCTAGAGTTTTTTTGAAATTAAAATTATGAAATAATTTTGGAAAAACATTTCAAGTCACAGCAAAATTATTAAGTCGTTAAGTCAGAGCATGCATCATGAATGATTTTCCAACAAAGCTCCTTTAATAAAAGACGTATGAAAATCACTCGACATTTCCAAGACGAAATGTGAATGTTAAAAATGTGAATAATTAACAAATAATTAACAAGACTAATTGTTGAATACAATTGAAAAACTGATGGCAATACAAGAAGAAATGTAGATGTTGATTTCTATTTTTCTTTCCTCGTTTCATCAGCTACAGCTTCATTGAAGTCAAGAGACATTTCATTTTACATAAAAAGATGCAGACGAGTGCCTTAATTTTATTTGATGACCGCATTCATGAACAATACTAGTCTTTAAAGTGAACTTTTGGGTGAATAAATAAAGCAACGATCTCTAAACATGAGAATTAATGCTCTTTTACTCAAATTAATTCCTTTTCTTTGTCGACTGCGAGAAATATTGCTGAAAGATGCTAATGATGTACAGTCTAAATCACTTGCACTGGAAAATTATTCAGCCGTCGCCCTGTTGAGTGTTTTATTGTGTACCATCCAGCATTATTTAGATGATAATTACTTCAACGAGTAAGTAATTGAAAATTATGAAAAATAACGGAGATTTTTGGAATTGCAAAATTTTAAAAATGATTTGCAAATTAATAGAACAAAACTTAACAATTCCTTTTTGATCTTAAGCAGTTCAGCTGGTCAATAAATGCTAAATACCATTTTCCTTTGTTTTTTTTTTTCAATTGTTCAGCAATGTTCTGTTAAGCATTCTCCAACAGTATTGCAACAGTTCTGTTTAGAACAATTAAACAATCCCAGAAAAAATCCACATTTTACAGTCTATCTTAATTTTTGACAGTAATTATGTTTTATTCCTCAATTTACTCCAGTCCATTCAATAAAAATGTTCAATCCACTTCACTTAATATCGTACTTAACTGTTTCAATTGAGAAGAATTTCATTCATTCTTGTTCTACTTCTGACTAACGTTTGTGCGTTAGCGAAAAGAATAAATAATAAAAATACGCAAGGTTTGTAGCTTAAATTAAAGAGCTCTTGTGTATCTAATGATGATTTTAGCATGTAGACGTATTTATTAATTTTTCTAAACCTGAAGTTAAAAAATCTCGTTTTTGATTCAAAAGAAAAAGTCAAAGAAAGTTAAGTGATTGGATCTGAGAAATGTGCATAAATATTGCTTTTTACAAGTTGCACTTCTAGTCATACATGTGAATGTTTAAACGACTGGAATCAGCGAGAAGATTTGCGCGGAGAGTAGTTGAAGAAAATAATTGGGTCATGCGGTACTCTTGGTTGATTCTTAGACTTTAAGGAACTAGTGAATGTATGAATGTAGAATGAGTTAATGGTTTGATTACTTTGCAATGAAAGAATTTTTTGAATTGTAAAAAGATAAAAACAAGTTTTCGCATCAAAAGTACGTTCAGTAATTTTTTGCGTCTTAGAGTGACTTCAGAAACAGGATATTAAAAAAAAACTTTTCAATTTTCTGCACAAACTTGTAAATTAGAAAGTAAATTTAAAAAAATGCAAAAATTATTTCGCATCAAACGTGCGCTCAGAAAATAATTTCGCATCAAAAGTGCGTTCAGCAACTTAATTTTTGCATCATAAAATAACAACCACGCCAAGAATAAATAATAATGTGTTTCATATCTTACAATTGCACAAATGATGCTCTAGAATAGTAATCCAAACTAAAAACTTTATAATCCAATGGAGATTCATCGCTCTGGTTACTTTGTATGCTTCTTCTATCATATGCACTTTCAATTTTTTGCTAATTGTGTAATTTATCATGTAGGTAGGATAGATAGAGATGTAGATTTTTTTTATATTTGGAATATATATTTTTTGGTGTAATGACTATCGATTATTGCACTTTTTTTACTTATCTATTAATTATGATTTATTGCACTTTTGAATTATGTCTCATATCTTGCTAGTTTCACATTTTTTCATCTCACTCCAATACTTTAAGTGAGCATAATAGTAATAATATTAAATTTTTATTAGCCATCATTTTAATCTCAAAAATTACACTTTTACGGATGATTATTTGCTGCTGTTGCTATAGTTATCCAAAATGATTGTGATTTACACAAAAAAAATTTTTTTTATTAATTTTCACTTTTCATTCACAAAAATAAAATAATTAAAAAAATTTAAAAAATCAAATTTGATCGAGAAAATCAAATAAAAATGTAACGGACCATTAAAAATATTTTTTTCTTATTTCTAATGCCGGAATCGCATGTTATTGAACTTATTGCAGCAGCTGGACTTTTCTTTTCCACCTTTTATTCTCACTTTGGTACCGCTTATTTTTTTATTTTCCAATTTGCACGACTGCCACGGACGAGAGCTGAAGAACGACTGAAACTGCCTGCCTGAAACTCATCACATCGGCACAACCCAAAAAATAAACATTTTCTTTTCTTCTCTGAGGATATTGGGAGACGAGCTATAAGCGAAGTAAGTGAGAAAATAAAAGCTTTTTCTCCCATTGCAGTTTCTGCCTTCTTATTGTTTTGTCTATTTCTTAATATGCATGCTTGCTGCCTTCTTGATCGTGAGAAAAACCGCTGTTGTTTACTTTACGGTGGGTCAAGATTGTTATTCTTATATTTAATTCATTTCATTTATTATAGGAGACTTTTGGGCATCAACACGTGGTTCATTGTTTTTTCATATTTATGTCTAATTATGAGGCTCATAATGTTTGCTTTACAGCATTTAAGGAGAACATCAGTCAAAGCAGTCAAATCACTTAATTATAGGTCATAAACAAACATAATTAATTCTATGCTGTAACTCAATGAGCATCAACGGTAAAAAAACATTCGAATCATGTTTAACGGTCTGAAACATTTTGAAAAATTGGCACACCCCTCAATTTGGCAGTTGAGATTTCAAAAATTAACGGTGTTGTGTGTTTACTCGGTTCATTTTAACATTTTAATTGAATTTTCGGGTTTTAAGACCATTTAATATAATTAAAGTAGTGAATATTAAAGATAAAAGTATATACCGGGTTTTGAGTGAAAAAGAAACCAATTAAATAGCATAGAACGGATATAAATCAATGAAAAATAATGGACGATCTAAGGTAAGTTTTTAAAAAAAATTCTAAGAAAACATGAATTCATTTACGCCCATTCAACAGACAAAAAGTATCACAAGAAGTAAATGAAATAGCAGAAGAGAAGATTGAATATCTGTCTCAGCTATGGAAGGAGTTGTTTGAGAAAGAAATTGGCATGGACCATATGAGAAAATTGTTAAATCATGTCGATGCATTCTTTACGGATATTATCGTTGAAACTGAGAGTCGTAAAGAAGCTATTATGGAAAGGATTGAAGGTAATGTCAGATTGTTATAGTTTTATACTTTTCTGGATGTTAATTTTTTTTGGAATTCCTAGATTTAAACAGCGAAAAAGAGAATTTAAAGCGCCTTTTAAAGGAAGATGTTGAAGATGTGCCTGAATCTCATGTTCCTCTATATACACTTCAAATGAATATCGATGAGAGCTTGAAGAATTTGAGGGAAAAGTTGCGTCGTCGTCATGAACAAATTGAAAACTATCTCCATGAACAAGATGTTTTATGTTCTGGTATGTATTGGATTCTAATTAGACTATTTTTATCGATCTAACTGATACGCACAACTCAAGAGTTTCGACTGGTTTCGACCGCTACAGTTTCCAAGAAATGCCAAATCTTTATTAAAACCAGTGTTGCAAATGGAGATGTCTACACTAGATGAAGAATGTAGATTCTTCAATAGTTTTTGTCTAGCTAAGAAACTTTCTTCATAAAGATCGATTCTATATGAAGATAGAAAATCTAATCTACACAAAGATTATTTCTACATAAAGAATCTGTCTACATAAAGATTCGATGTAGATGTCTACAATTCTACATTTTTTCCAGGTCTACATCAGAGAAGAATGTAGAATCGTAGACATCTACATCGAATCTTTATGTAGAAATAATCTTTGTGTAGATTAGATTTTCTATCTTCATGTAGAATCGATCTTTATGAAGAAATTTCTGTCTCAGAATTTATCTGATCCAGAAATAAAATACTTTATAAAAAAAACTTTTTAAAAAAACTACGTTTTTCGCGTAGACTAAAAAGTAGAAAATAACTTTTATTCTTGGTTGTAAAGAATTTGGTTTTAAATTTTCAGATTATATTTAATAAATTTTTATATCCTAGTCAATATTGTTCACAAAGTTTCGAATAAGTGCATTTTGATCTTATCGTATAACTCAACAACTTAAAAACGTGGGCGCATTAATTTAAGTTTATCATAAAGTATTGATTTCACATAAACTTATTTCTCCTCTTATAATGCGCCCACGTTTTTAAGTTGTTGAGTTATACGATAAGATCAAAATGCACTTATTCGAAACTTTGTGAACAATATTGACTAGGATATAAAAATTTATTAAATATAATCTGAAAATTTAAAACCAAATTCTTTACAACCAAGAATAAAAGTTATTTTCTACTTTTTAGTCTACGCGAAAAACGTAGTTTTTTTAAAAAGTTTTTTTTATAAAGTATTTTATTTTCAACTTTTTAGTCTTATTCTAATGAAATAGAGAAATAAAGATTATAGGGGGTTCATAGGTTACAGGTGTGTTGAACTTCACTTCGTTGCACTTCGTTACGTTCAACTGTTTATAGATTACAGTAGGTTCATAGGTTACAGGTGTGTTGAACTTCACTTCGTTGCACTTCGTTACGTTCAACTGTTTATAGATTACAGTAGGTTTATAGGTTACAGGTGTGTTGAACTTCACTTCGTTGCACTTCGTTACGTTCAACTGTTTATAGATTACAGTAGGTTTATAGGTTACAGGTGTGTTGAACTTCACTTCGTTGCACTTCGTTACGTTCAACTGTTTATAGATTACAGTAGGTTTATAGGTTACAGGTGTGTTGAACTTCACTTCGTTGCACTTCGTTACGTTCAACTGTTTATAGATTACAGTAGGTTTATAGGTTACAGGTGTGTTGAACTTCACTTCGTTGCACTTCGTTACGTTCAACTGTTTATAGATTACAGTAGGTTCATAGGTTACAGGTGTGTTGAACTCCACTTCGTTGCACTTCGTTACGTTCAACTGTTTATAAATTACAGTAGGTTTATAGGTTACAGGTGTGTTGAACTTCACTTCGTTGCACTTCGTTACGTTCAACTGTTTATAGATTACAGTAGGTTTATAGGTTACAGGTGTGTTGAACTTCACTTCGTTGCACTTCGTTACGTTCAACTGTTTATAGATTACAGTAGGTTTATAGGTTACAGGTGTGTTGAACTTCACTTCGTTGCACTTCGTTACGTTCAACTGATTATAGATTACAGTAGGTTCATAGGTTACAGGTGTGTTGAACTTCACTTCGTTGCACTTCGTTACGTTCAACTGTTTATAGATTACAGTAGGTTTATAGGTTACAGGTGTGTTGAACTTCACTTCGTTGCACTTCGTTACGTTCAACTGTTTATAGGTTACAGGTGTGTTGAACTTCACTTCGTTGCACTTCGTTACGTTCAACTGTTTATAGATTACAGTAGGTTCATAGGTTACAGGTGTGTTGAACTCCACTTCGTTTCACTTCGTTACGTTCAACTGTTTATAGATTACAGTAGGTTTATAGGTTACAGGTGTGTTGAACTTCACTTCGTTGCACTTCGTTACGTTCAACTGTTTATAGATTACAGTAGGTTTATAGGTTACAGGTGTGTTGAACTTCACTTCGTTGCACTTCGTTACGTTCAACTGTTTATAGATTACAGTAGGTTCATAGGTTACAGGTGTGTTGAACTTCACTTCGTTGCACTTCGTTACGTTCAACTGTTTATAGATTACAGTAGGTTCATAGGTTACAGGTGTGTTGAACTCCACTTCGTTGCACTTCGTTACGTTCAACTGTTTATAAATTACAGTAGGTTTATAGGTTACAGGTGTGTTGAACTCCACTTCGTTGCACTTCGTTACGTTCAACTGTTTAAAGATTACAGTAGGTTCATAGGTTACAGGTGTGTTGAACTCCACTTCGTTGCACTTCGTTACGTTCAACTGTTTATAGATTACAGTAGGTTTATAGGTTACAGGTGTGTTGAACTCCACTTCGTTTCACTTCGTTACGTTCAACTGTTTATAAATTACCAGTTTTCAATGGGAAATTAGTAACGACTTTCAAAATTTTTCATTCGTTTTATAAAATTTAATTTTTTTAAAGCATTCATTAGTAAAGTACATTAAAAATCACTCGTAAAGATTTTGTGTTTATCTGTACCATTTCTACTTCATAACGTGTGGATTCTTACTATAAAGATGCAAATCACATATGTAACGTATTTATAACGGATTTTCAAATTTAAATTCAATGAATATCATTTATATGTTATGCAAAAATACGTCAAGCCGTTAATAAAAAGAAAAGTCAATTTAATTAAGTTGGTGAAGTGTTATAAATAATGCAATACATTTAAAACAGCATAAATTTATGCTCAAACTATGTGTGTTAAATGCACATCGCATATTAATAGTTATTTTGCATTAATTCGTAACGGACTTGTGCTTAACGGTTTTTTTGAAAATTCAAATTTTCACTTACGAATATTCATGAAAAAATTACATGTCAATTTTTTTGTCTTACCAGAATATCTTTAGCTGCTCAAATTTATGGTATAATTAATAATTAGTAATATTAATTAAACTATAATGAATCATATAAATGACTTTAGAGCATCACATGTATAATATTTAATACAAATCAAAATTTTATATCATTGACATTGGATTTTTTCCCATATAAAAAACTTTTACATAAATTGTACTATAATTAAGCATTTTTGTGTTTCCAAAGTGTTAAAATATTGTATTGTCATCGGAAATATAAGTGCATGCAAAATTTCAGCTCGATTGGAGCAGTAGAAGTGGTCGAAAAATTGATTGCAAGATTTGACCAAGACAAACAGAAAGACAGAAAGACAGAAAGACAAGAAAGCAAGTTAAGAAAAACGTGGTAATAATAAAATAGCCAGAATGCAACACTGATTAAAACTATCAAAAAACTATAGTAAAATGTTTCAATTTTCAAATTTTTTAACCGTTGATCTGAATGTCCTTTTATTTTTGACGGGCTCCTCATAAATTCATTAAATTACAGAATTGGGCGAGTCAAAACGACCATTAAGTGCCGATCCATTACCATCTGAAGCTGAAATGAATCAATTTGCTGATCATTTGGAATCCTTAACAGATTTAAAGTTTAAGCGTTTGGCAGAAATCATGAATGTTCGAGAGGATATCAAGGAAGTGGTCTCAAAATTGGAATTAAAAGTACTTGGAGATTTTGAAAATAATCTCGTCAATTCTGATGATTTGAAGCCAACAAAGAATAACATCCAGAAGCTTAAGGATCTTTATCAGTTATTCGAAAGTCAATATCAAAAGATGAAATATCAAATGGAAGACATGAAAAAGCGATTAAGTCAATTATGGAAGTTTTTGGATATCCCTGAATCTCATCAGCATAAATTTGATAAATATACGGAAATCAATCAATCAAACTACGATAAATTGCACTTTGAAGTTGAACGATGTGAACAGATTAAGAGAGAGAATATTCGTGTATTTATTGAACGTGTTCGTATAGAAATTGAAGAATATTGGGAAAAATGTTTAAAGTCTGAAGCTGAACGCTTGCGATTCCGTACATTTACTGCCAATACATACAATGAAGATGTCCTAGAAATGCATGAAGATGAACTGCGTGAATTAAAGTTATTTTATGAAAATAATGAGCATATATTTAATATGATTCAGGAACGACAAGATTTATGGAATCAAATGGAACTACTACAGAATAAGGAACAGGATCCAAAAAGGTATGCAAATCGTGGTGGACAGCTTTTGAAGGAAGAAAAGGAACGTAAAATGATTACAATAAAATTGCCTAAAATTGAAGCCAAACTTATTGAAATGTGTGAAGAATTTGAAGCAACTAGCAAGCGTCCATTTACTGTATTTGGTGTAGCTGTTCAGGATTTAATTGAAAAGGATTATGATACAAAACGTCAAGAGAAATTGACTAAAAGTGGAAAGAAGATATTGGCAACTCCAATGAAAACTCCATTACGTGCAAATACAACTGGATTAAGGACTCCATTAACTGTTGAACAGACATTAATCAATAGAACAAATGCAGCTAAATCAACAGGAAATCGATTAAGAGTTCCAACGTCTGCATTACAAATAAAGACACTCTCAACAACATCATCGTCTACAGCCTCATCTGTTCGGTCTGTTCATACTGAAAATGGCAAACGAAAAGTTATAGCACAAGTTTCATCGGTTCCACCTGCAAAACGTAAATTATTAGGCGCTTTTGTATCGCCAGCACCAAGAAATGTCTTAAAGCCAACAATTAATAATACACAGAATGTTCAAAACAAATCAAATCGTGGCAACAAAAGTGCAACCCTTAAAGTTTATAATGTTGGATCCATAATTAAGCGACGATCAAAGTCACGAAAAAGTATTGGAAAGAAGCGACGCAGCAGCTTACAAAAGTGTAAGAAAATTCCTGAAATTTTACTGAGTTCGACAGAGACGTTAAATACAGACACGACGAACTACGAGGGATTTGAAGTGAGTAGCACTTGACTATTTTGAAAACCGTTACTAACGTTATATTTTGATTCCAGAATTACGTTTATGAAAGCAAGAAAATAATAAGATCATCGGAACTTCCTCGACCACTTTATGTACCTGTTAATCATCATGGATTTGCATCACCAATGATGAAAAAAACTCCAACAAATAATCGCGTTGGTCTAACACCGTCCAGTTCAACTCCATCAAAACACTATGTCCAGCCAAAAGAACTTGAGTTTTCGATGATTATCTAGATATAAAAAGTTTCGTTGCAATTAATTTAAGCTCTATACCGTTTTATTAGATATAAATCAAGTCACAACAAAAAGAAAGAATCAATAATAATTTTAAGTCGCTCTCTGATTAGAAACTTTTATTTTGGAAGCATATACAGAAAATCTGCATGGAAAGCAACTTTATTTTTCTATTCTTTTGTTGTATCTCACATAAACATTTATGTCCATTATTATTACTTTTTGAATAAATTTAAGCTTTTATGATTTTCCAACAGCCTAACGTATTCTTATTTAATTATTTTTGGAACCAATTGTGATGGAATTTAAGCCTCAATTCCAACAATAATCAGCTATCCCGAGAAGTAAACAAAATAGTCATTTCCTTTACTGCACTATGGGCCAGAAATGGAAAATTTTTCCAAAAATTATTTCTACAGCTTATATGATAGTTTTTATTCTGCCCTACATTTACGTCCTTAAAACTTTGCCCAAGTCGACAGCATGTCCGAGATATGGCACTTCAAAGTTGGTCAGACGACCATTTTCACGTTACATTGAAAATGCTCTCACCAGATACTGGATGGATGAATCTCCTTCAAATTTTTTTTATTAATAGCTTTAAATTGTTACTTTATTTTAAAATATAAACAATTGCAAATAACTTTGGAAAATTTTGTGAAAAACTTGATTTTTCTCAAAAACCACGTGTTCGTCATACTTTCGTTTGTGTAGGTCTTCACAAGCACAACCAAAGTTACTAATTTCTTTTTTATATTAAAGACTACATCAAAAGCTATAACTTTTGCATACATGTCGTATAATTTTAACAAAGTTTTTATAGTGAAAAAAAATTTTTTTATAAAAAAAACACCAATTTTTTGACAAACATCGCTGTAGTGCTTCAGGGATACCCATGGTAGTGGAATTTTATTTCACATTTAAAAAGTTCTCTAGATATACTATCAATTAATGCAATAAAATGAACAAGTGTTCTCTTGGCAAAGAGCACTTTTTTGACTCTGAAAGTCGTATGTCGAGCAAGGTCAAAAAAGAAAAATAATCATAAAAATTTCAGTTTTAAATAAAATTTAATTTTTTTAAGTTAGATTGATAGATCTTTTCAAAACGCGTCTTTTGAGTATAAATATGTCATAGTTTTGTCAAGTTTCATGATCATTTTTTTAAAAAAATAGTTTTTTTCAAAAAAAAAATTGAAAAATAAAGTATTTGACTTTAGAATTTCATAAAATGCATTCTTTTTATCATTTTTTTCACTACTTTGTCTAGTTTTGCTCCTAGTTTTTTTCCTAAACATAAATCAATAAGAACTTAACATAATTGAAGCCATTTGGAGGTTAAATTGAGTTAAAAATCGTTTAAAATTTTTGTATTTCTCAAATAGTTCTTTACACAAGTATCTAAGATATAAAGTGTTGCATAGTTTTGAAAAGGTATTAAAATTTCCAATATGTTAACATGAAGAGTTTTGGAAAATTTTCAAGTAATATAGTCAATTTGGGTAAAAAACGCATTTTATATATGCTAGTTTTTAATGTTTTTCGTTTTTCTCAGCAAAGACTTTATGAAAAACTCTCAAAGTTTGCACACTTATTTGTTATATACATGTAAATGACTCGTATAAGTTTTGGAATTTTCCATTGAGTTTTTCATGAGTTCTCCAAATCTGAAATTTTCAATATTAAAAATTCATTTTTCTCAATAATTGCGATTTTTTATTTATAAAAAAATATCTTATTTTGTTTCATTTTTCAATATCTTTTCATTGTTATATAACAATCTACGAAAAAATTAAGACTAAAGAGAAATCAATAAAAAAGTGTCAAAAATTTTTGAAAATTCTACGCTATTTTAATTTTTTAAGCCTTTTCTGGTCAATTGCTAAGTTTTATAAGAGTGTTATACCTTTTTGGAATTATATAACTTAATACTTTCATCCACTAAAATTCTTATGAGTCTACGATAAGCACAACTGAAGTTAAATAAGCTTCACGTTGGCGACAAAAGACAGTTCCATATGAAGAAAACCAGATATTAATTTTATTGCTATTTGAGCTATAATATTAAGCTTTTTCATCTAGTTTTGTTATAAATGTTTCATGTATTTAATAGCAGCCTGAAGATATAATTTAAAGCTTTTAAATAATTTGATTTTAAAAAATTCAAAATTTTTGGTTGTCGCCAACGTGAAGCTTATTTAACTTCAGTTGTGCTTATCGTAGACTCATAAGAATTTTAGTGGATGAAAGTATTAAGTTATATAATTCCAAAAAGGTATAACACTCTTATAAAACTTAGCAATTGACCAGAAAAGGCTTAAAAAATTAAAATAGCGTAGAATTTTCAAAAATTTTTGACACTTTTTTATTGATTTCTCTTTAGTCTTAATTTTTTCGTAGATTGTTATATAACAATGAAAAGATATTGAAAAATGAAACAAAATAAGATATTTTTTTATAAATAAAAAATCGCAATTATTGAGAAAAATGAATTTTTAATATTGAAAATTTCAGATTTGGAGAACTCATGAAAAACTCAATGGAAAATTCCAAAACTTATACGAGTCATTTACATGTATATAACAAATAAGTGTGCAAACTTTGAGAGTTTTTCATAAAGTCTTTGCTGAGAAAAACGAAAAACATTAAAAACTAGCATATATAAAATGCGTTTTTTACCCAAATTGACTATATTACTTGAAAATTTTCCAAAACTCTTCATGTTAACATATTGGAAATTTTAATACCTTTTCAAAACTATGCAACACTTTATATCTTAGATACTTGTGTAAAGAACTATTTGAGAAATACAAAAATTTTAAACGATTTTTAACTCAATTTAACCTCCAAATGGCTTCAATTATGTTAAGTTCTTATTGATTTATGTTTAGGAAAAAAACTAGGAGCAAAACTAGACAAAGTAGTGAAAAAAATGATAAAAAGAATGCATTTTATGAAATTCTAAAGTCAAATACTTTATTTTTCAATTTTTTTTTTGAAAAAAACTATTTTTTTAAAAAAATGATCATGAAACTTGACAAAACTATGACATATTTATACTCAAAAGACGCGTTTTGAAAAGATCTATCAATCTAACTTAAAAAAATTAAATTTTATTTAAAACTGAAATTTTTATGATTATTTTTCTTTTTTGACCTTGCTCGACATACGACTTTCAGAGTCAAAAAAGTGCTCTTTGCCAAGAGAACACTTGTTCATTTTATTGCATTAATTGATAGTATATCTAGAGAACTTTTTAAATGTGAAATAAAATTCCACTACCATGGGTATCCCTGAAGCACTACAGCGATGTTTGTCAAAAAATTGGTGTTTTTTTTATAAAAAAATTTTTTTTCACTATAAAAACTTTGTTAAAATTATACGACATGTATGCAAAAGTTATAGCTTTTGATGTAGTCTTTAATATAAAAAAGAAATTAGTAACTTTGGTTGTGCTTGTGAAGACCTACACAAACGAAAGTATGACGAACACGTGGTTTTTGAGAAAAATCAAGTTTTTCACAAAATTTTCCAAAGTTATTTGCAATTGTTTATATTTTAAAATAAAGTAACAATTTAAAGCTATTAATAAAAAAAATTTGAAGGAGATTCATCCATCCAGTATCTGGTGAGAGCATTTTCAATGTAACGTGAAAATGGTCGTCTGACCAACTTTGAAGTGCCATATCTCGGACATGCTGTCGACTTGGGCAAAGTTTTAAGGACGTAAATGTAGGGCAGAATAAGAACTATCATATAAGCTGTAGAAATAATTTTTGGAAAAATTTTCCATTTCTGGCCCATAGTGTACTGTCGCAAGTCAGTTTTTGCCAAAAAATTACGTTATTCGGGATGATTCCTTTAATTCGAGTGATTAGACCAGTCAGGGCTTTAATTGGATGTAATTATACTACATCTAGTGATCAATTGTCTAAATTAGGACATAATGTTGATCCTTCTGAACTTTTGAGTGACGAGGAAATTGAATTTGAGGTAAAAATTAAGCTTTACGGATGTTTTTTCAAGGTCTAATTTCTGTTATCAAATATTGAAAGGTTGAAGAAGTGAGGATAGCAGCACCTTATGGTGGCCATATTGCTGGCAAATGGTGAGTTTGTGGAAAGTGATTAAACAAGATAAAAATTAATGAATTGTAGGTGGGGTGATAAGTCACAAAAACCGTTTTTAATGCTGCATGGATGGCAAGATAATGCAGGAACTTTTGATCGATTGATTCCGTTACTGCCTAAGCAATTCAGTTATCTAGCTATAGATCTTCCTGGTCATGGATTAAGCAGTCAAATTCCAAACGGCATGCAATATCATACAATTGATAAGCTTCATACACTTAATTATGTTTTAAAAGAATACAACTGGGACAGAATATCACTTATTGGACATAGCTTAGGATCTGTTATAAGCTTTATGTTTACTTCTGTGTTTCCATCTAAAGTTGACTTTATAGTCGGTATTGATGCACTTAAACCAATGGCTTTTGATTCTAATAAGGTTGCACACATGTTTGAGGAGAAAATTGAAGATTTTATGATAGCTGACATGAGGAATCAAGAAAAATCTGAGCCGCCAGCATATCCAATTGAAGAAATGGTTGATAAGATGGTTCAAGCAACCAGAGGAAGTGTAACTAAAGAAGCAGCACGATTTTTACTTAAAAGGAACATTAAGCATTCCGTAAAACATCCAGGAAAGTTTTATTTCGCACGTGACAATCGACTTAAACATAATTTTAGTCCAAGTTTCTCTCAAGATTTGTCTATTGAGTTAGCCAAGAGAATCAACTGCCCATATATGTTCATTAAAGCCAAACACAGTCCTTACTATGAAAAGAAGGAATATCACGAAGAAGTTATTGAAGTTTTAAAGCACAACAAGAATTTTGAGTATCATTTGGTTGACTCTACGCATCACTTGCACTTAACTGAGCCTGAAAAAGTTGCTGGACTTATTAGCAAGTTCATCTGTAAGCATAAAAAGTGCTCTAGTCCAGCTTGATACTGGAACATATTTCCGTTACTTTTCAAATATTTTCGCTGGAATTGATCAAAAATGCCAATTAAATAAATTCCATCTATGACCACAATACCTGAAATTAATCTATAGATTTTTATAAATATTGTAAGAAGTTTTTGAAATAAAAATGAAAGCATTGGTGAAAGGACCTAGACGGATTTATAAATTCTTTTATTCCAATCCTAATGCAAGGAAGCAACGACCGAATCAGGAACCGGAACCTTACGATCTCTTAAGTGACCAAGAAATTGAGTGCGAGGTATGATTAGGCAATTTGGATAGAGTCCATAGTTCATATTTCTATTTTAGGTTGAGGATGTTACAATTCCACTGCCATTTGGAGGTAATCTCAGTGCAAAATGGTGGGGTCCAAAGTCTATTCGGTAAGTTACGACAAAAATTATGAAATAAACTTTATCGCACTGCCAACTTCATTTTTCAAGGCCAATCGTATGTATTCATGGATGGCAAGATAATGCTGGGACCTTTGATCGTTTGATTCCGTTATTACCAAAAGAATTTTCTTATCTGGCTATTGACCTTCCAGGTGTGTACAGCACATGTTACTATAAAATAGTCATAGATTAGCAAAATATCTTTTTAGGTCATGGATTAAGTGATTTTATCGGGCCGGGCATGCAGTATCATAATATTGTTGACAACTTGTATGTTCTTAATCATCTAATGAAAGAATACAATTGGGATAAAATCTCATTGATCGGCCATAGTATGGGATCTGTATTAAGCTTTACGTTCTCATCAGTATTTCCTCACAAAACTGACTTTGTTATTGGAATTGATGCTTTAAAGCCAGCAGTTTATAATCCAGTATTAGTAGCAAAGTTCCTAGGAGATCGAGTTGAAAACTTTATGATTGCTGACAAACGGAATCAAGAGAAATCGGAACCTCCTGCATATACTTTAGAAGAAATGGTCGAAAGAGTAGTTGAAGGAACTCAAGGAAGTGTTGACAAGAACTCAGCACCATACTTACTTAAAAGGAATATAATGGTTGTTATAACAACTTTAACATTACTATTAATGAATTCGCCAATTAAGTCTAAGTAACTTTTTTAGTGCTTGCTCAGCCTGTGTAACTTCTTTTTTTAATGCATTCCTTTCTTGCGTCTCATACCGTTGTTGTAACAAGTCCTCAAGCTTATTACTTGCTTTTACTACATCCATTTTTAATTTCTCATAGCAATTTCGTGTTTCAATATTAAAAGAACCAGTCTCAATAAGTGTTAATATTTTAGTTTCTAAGCAATAATCTGTGAAAGTTGTAAGAAGCTTGTGTCGTTGAGAGTTATACCGCATCACCTCATACATTCCATCAAAGTATCTTAAACATCTGCTTAATAAATTGTCACAAGCGACATTTTGAGTTGAAACAATTAATATCTTGAATTCTTTCAAGTCAGGATAAAAGCTCTCATGGCGTTTTGCTATTTCGCATGCTACTTGCGACTTTCCTGTGCCTGGTGCTCCTTGGATTATAGTGAAATAATTATTCAGGGCGCTACATATCGCATTTTCCTGTTCATCACCATCAATCTTTTTATAAAATTTTTCGGACTTGTTCAGTTGCATTTTTAATGCATTTCCAATGTTGGAGGGGAATCTAGGTGTTCCATCTTTGAGTTTATTCGTAAAAAATTGTTTGATGCCCAATTCTCTTGATTGGTAAGATCCGGTTTCACATTTAACACCAAAATACTTGTATCTATCTGGAATGTTGCGTTCATTTGTGTTTGTAGTTAAGCTTGCTTTTATTCTCATCGTTTCACTCAATCGTACTTCGTGTACCAGGAAGTGCAAAAAATTTGTGTCGTTGTCGTATTTTGTAGCATAGACGGTACAGCCTTTTTGAATGTTAAGGAAGCTCTGTGCATTGATTTCGAAAATGTAGAATTTTCCGTCATGTAAATCCACAATTTTGATAGATGAAATAGGTTCTCGTACAACTCTTGACAATCTTTCACTTTCGTTTATCTCATTTTTAATGATGAAAAGATTTTCGAAATATAACTTGTTGTCTAGAACACTTAATTTGTTTGGATCGAAAGCGTTGCCATTCTTTGGCTGTTCCCGCACGTCTCTGTACCTAATGTAACACAATAAAAAATTAAATAGTATATTGTAATAAACAAAAAATTTTAATAACACTTACATATTCATGACGCTGATCAACAAATGTAATATCTCGATTGACGCAGAAATTACTAATTAATGAATGAATGAACCACCAATGAGATGTTTCCTTTGTTGTCCACTACTGAAATTGAAGAGAAAAATATATTAATTAATTAATTAGCAATTACTGTAAATAAATCTATTATAAAAATACTTACATTTATCCTTTTTATAATTATTTTAATTAATATCTCGAGTTATCGCACGCACGCGTTATCAAGAAAGAAATGGTCAATTCCACGTATAAGTGAATGAATCTGGAAAATAATTAATTGAAGGTTATTTATGGGTTATGTTTTTTTTTTTTAATTTTTAAATGTTTTCTTACGTTACTTGCTTGCCAAGGTGCAGATTAAATTACTAATTGGAGATGGATCAACAATTGTAATATCTCGACGGAAGCAGAAATTTGCTAAAATATGAATGAATGAACCACCAATGAGATGTTTCCTTTGTTGGTTGTACACTACTGAAATTGAATAGAAAAATATATTAATTAATTAGTTTAGTTTACTTACTATAAATCTGTTATAAAAATACTTACATTTATCCTTTTTATAATTATTTTAATTAATATCTCGAGTTATCACACGCACGCGTTATCAAGAAAGAAATGGTCAAAATAATTCCACGCATCGAGGGGTAATTAACTACGAATCAAAGGGTGCAAAACTATGTGCTTCCATATCTAACGTTCATTTTATATTTGAATGTCAGTCCTCATAGTTGATTACCCCTCGATGCGTGGAATTATTCAGTCTTAGTTTCCAGAGCGTTGAAGACAGTCGTGCGTGAATAATTTTAAAAAAATTAAATATATACTAATGGTGAAATTTTAACAGTTAAAATTAATTGCGAGAGTTTATTGGACTTTCCGTCGTGGTAATTAGTCTAGTTTTCAAATTAATTAACCACGTGTTTTAAGAAAAACGTGAAGACAGTCGTGTTTGAATACTTTTAAAAAAATTAAATATATACTAAGGGTGAAATTTTAACAGTTAAAATTAATTGCGATTGTTTTATTGGACTTTCCGTCGTGGTAATTAGTCTAGTTTTCAAATTAATTGACCACGTGTTTTAAGAAAAACGTGAAGACAGTCGTGTGTGAATACTTTTAAAAAAATTAAATATATACTAATGGTGAAATTTTAACAGTTAAAAGCAATGCATATTTAAATGTATAGCTGCACTTGAAGAAAGAAAGTAATTAAACAAACAAAAAGTTCCCAGGTGGTTTTTTTCGCTTTTCGCGCGCTAGTTATAATCTCATCATCCAGCCAGCCAGCTTAATTTCGTGAAATGGATCTGCTAGAATTGCCAATTGCAATTCAACAGGAAGATGGAGAATACAAGGATTTGATTCAGCAAAATGGTGAAAATTCAACCACTAAGATCAAGTTCATATATGATAAAGGATTTTTCTTCTGTGGCCACTGTGGACTACGATTCAACACAAAGGAGGAAGTAATGCAACACATGCCAATACATACAGATCAGGATTTCAAGCGTATAAATTGTAAATGTTGTGAAAAGTAAGTACATTGATGAAATCTTCACTTATTTATTTGTGAATTAATTACGTTTTTTGTTTATTTCGCAGAGAGTTTTTCTCAAAGAAAGCTTACACACAACATCTGAAGACTGCACATTCTAATATACCAGCATATCAGTGCAATGAGTGCAAATTCATTTTATCCTGCTCAAAAGACTTGAGAGATCATATGACGTTTAATCATCATAGTGGCAACCTGTATGTGTGCAAGGTAAAAATGTTCAATATATGTTAAAATTATTGAAATTAAAAACAATTTTATTCATTTGCAGACTTGTAAAGCTGATTTCAAGTTGAAATGTGCTATGATTCAGCATCAAAAAAATGTTCATTTCAACTCAACTTATGAATGTGACATCGATGGAAAAAAATTTGCAACTAAAGAAAGTTTAATTCGTCATACAATCATATCACATAAGAAAAATCCGGAGGTATTCAAATGTGACGAATGTTCGTTTACAGCAGTAATACCTTACTACATTACACGACATAAGGTTAGAATCCACACAACGACAAGTTATGCATGTCCCTATACTGGTTGTAAATTTAGTGCTTCAACCAAATCTGACCTTAGAAGTCATCGAAAGTTCATCCATGAAAAGAAGACCATTGAATGCAGCGAATGCGGAAAACTATTCAATCGACAACATGTTTTAAGAACACATATCAAAACTGTACATCCAAGTCAGCTTTTCGAGTGCGATCTCTGTGGAGTAAAATTGAAAGCGAAATTTTCAACGCGACTGCATATGAATCGTGTACATTTGAAGATAAGACCATTTTCATGTCCCATATGTAAATCAAAGTTTGGTAGTGTAGTTAGTTTGAAAAATCACGTTACTAAAAGTCATCAACAAAATTCCAAGTATGAATGTTCTAATTGCCAATTATTATTTGGCTCAGAGAAAGGTAAATTATTATAGTACATTTTAGTTTAAACAAAAATTTTTAAACCTAACAATTATTTAATTTTAACATCACTCTATAGACCTAAATGAACACAGATTATTGCATAGTAAAGGAAAAATGTTCAATTGCAATCAATGTGCAAAACAATTTGATACTTATTTAAAAATGTGTAAGATAATTTAATTTATTTTATGAAATTATTACTTTCAATGAATTAAACAGCTAATGAAGAATTTATATTTCATTTAGATAACCATCGTAGATATAGCCATAGTACAGGAAAAATGCTCAATTGCAATCAATGTGCAAAACAATTTGATACTTATTCAAAAATGTGTAAGATAATTTAATTTATTTTATGAAATTATTACTTTCAACGAATTAAACAGCTAATGAAGAATTTATATTTCATTTAGATTACCATAGTAAAAATAGCCATATTAAAGGAAAAAAGTAAATCAAGCAGAAGATAGAAGAAGCAAGTGCGACTTTGATGTTAAAAATAAATGTTTAATAAACCACAAAAAGTTTCAAATTTAAATATAATAATGTAATATTTTTAAATAAACATAATATTCAATACACAATAAATAATAAATACACTTGTTTTCCACCAAATCTCCATAATTTATTTATTTTTTTTGAAAAACCAATTTTTCCAGGTAACACTAAAAATAATGGTGTAGACTTGATAATTAATGTCTACTAATGTTTTAGTTGTTAATTAAATTAAGTGAATCTGAAGTGTGATTTTTGTAAGAAATGATAATAAAATTTCTCAACTTTTAATACATAAGCCAAAAACCAGTTCCTGGTGAAAAAGAAAATGTAGGTACACTGACTGCAAACTCTGAAATTAATAAAACAGTCAGTTCAATTTGTGAAAAAACTCAATGAATGGTTCTGTATGAAAAATCATTTTTTTTTGTACAATTTTGTTTATTAAAATTATAAATTTTTGGAATATCTGTTTCAAAATCATAAAATCTTAACTTAATATCAAACTTACTATGGTTAAAAACCACTTATTTCTTAATCGAAGGACTTTAGCGTATTATTGTTGGTTGCGGCGAATTATTTTTTTTTGAAAATCTTTATAGTTTATACTTTTAAATTTGATAAATTTCATAAAATTTAAAAGATAATTAAAGATTTGAATTTTATTTGTCTATTGAGTTAGCCAAGAGAATCAACTGCCCATATATGTTCATTAAAGCCAAACACAGTCCTTACTATGAAAAGAAGGAATATCACGAAGAAGTTATTGAAGTTTTAAAGCACAACAAGAATTTTGAGTATCATTTGGTTGACTCTACACATCACTTGCACTTAACTGAGCCTGAAAAAGTTGCTGGACTTATTAGCAAATTCATCTGTAAGCATAAAAAATGCTCTAGTCCAGCTTGATACTGGAACATATTTCCGTTACTTTTCAAATATTTTCGCTGGAACTAATCAAAAATGCCAATTAAATAAATTCCATCTATGACCGCAATACCTGAAATTAATCTATAGATTTTTGTAAATATTGTAAGAAGTTTTGAAATAAAAATGAAAGCATTGGTGAAAGGACCTAGACGGATTTATAAATTCTTTTATTCCAATCCTAATGCAAGGAAGCAACGACCGAATCAGGAACCGGAACCTTACGATCTATTAAGTGACCAAGAAATTGAGTGCGAGGTATGATTAGGCAATTTGGATAGAGTCCATAGTTCATAGTTTTATTTTAGGTTGAGGATGTTACAATTCCACTGCCATTTGGAGGTAATCTCAGTGCAAAATGGTGGGGTCCAAAGTCTATTCGGTAAGTTACGACAAAAATTATGAAATAAACTTTATCGCACTGCCAACTTCATTTTTCAAGGCCAATCGTATGTATTCATGGATGGCAAGATAATGCTGGGACCTTTGATCGTTTGATTCCGTTATTACCAAAAGAATTTTCTTATCTGGCTATTGACCTTCCAGGTGTGTACAGCACATGTTACTATAAAATAGTCATAGATTAGCAAAATATCTTTTTAGGTCATGGATTAAGTGATTTTATCGGGCCGGGCATGCAGTATCATAATATTGTTGACAACTTGTATGTTCTTAATCATCTAATGAAAGAATACAATTGGGATAAAATCTCATTGATCGGCCATAGTATGGGATCTGTATTAAGCTTTACGTTCTCATCAGTATTTCCTCACAAAACTGACTTTGTTATTGGAATTGATGCTTTAAAGCCAGCAGTTTATAATCCAGTATTAGTAGCAAAGTTCCTAGGAGATCGAGTTGAAAACTTTATGATTGCTGACAAACGGAATCAAGAGAAATCGGAACCTCCTGCATATACTTTAGAAGAAATGGTCGAAAGAGTAGTTGAAGGAACTCAAGGAAGTGTTGACAAGAACTCAGCACCATACTTACTTAAAAGGAATATTAAAAGATCCAATAAGCATCCTGGAAAATTCTATTTTGCTCGTGATAGCAGACTAAAATACAGCTTTGGTGCTGATTATCCTCAGCAAGTGTCTGTAGAATTAGCGAAAAGAATTGATTTTCCATACATGTTCATCAAGGCTACACAAAGTCCATACTATGAGAGGAAGGAATATCATGATGAGATTTTGGATATACTTAAAAAAAATCCTAGATTTGAATATCATATGGTTGATTCGTCACATCACTTACATTTAACAGAACCGGAGAAAATTGCTGGAATAATTGGAAGCTTTATACAAAAATATCGCAAACTACCAAGTAAATTATAAGAAACACAATCGATTGAATTGTATGCACTGCATTCCACTTTAACATTGCAAAATAATTGCTTTATTTAGTTAATACATCTTACGTCAAAACATGTTTTGATACAATATAATTCATTTCTTTCGTTTAATATCCAAAATGGCTGTTTAATAAATAATTTAGGGCAATTGGATTGATAAATAAGAATTTTTATGCGCAAATTAAAATATTTCAAATAATAGCAAAGCGTCGTCCAATTTAAAAAAATTCCCAAGAGTCACTCAAATTTGAAAATTTGATATTCGTGGTCAAGGCTGTTTAAATCTTCATCGTTTTGATAGATTCGTTTAAAACAGCTTTGATCACATTTGATTTGAATATTTCTGAAACTCTAGGGCCGGTCAATAATAACTTCTTTAGACCCCCTCAACCTTAGACACCTATTCGAATTGTAGATGGTGAAGTAAAGTCGCAAAATAGAGACACCAGGCCTGGATTAGGCTAGATTAACTAAAGGTCATACATCTACACCTATAGAGCCCCCCCCCCCCCCTAGTCTAGAGCTAGGCAGAGCTTGAAGTCGATGAAATTTTGTATGGAGCTGAGTCGACTTTGAGCTCTGGAGTTAAGTGTAGGTGGAGCCTTGAAATCAGTTTTTAAATGCAACTTTACGACATCATGTTCAATTCAGGTTATGAAGGTGGGTGAATGACCCCTAAATGTCTACATATAATCCCTTTCTCGTCTCTTTTTTGGTTACAATACATCACATTAAAATCTTTGTCTGGTACCGTCTTTAAAAAAATTGATTGCGTTTAAATAAGCTCTGATTTACCAAATTTTGGGACACTTTTTCCAGTCTTGATTAGCTTTATTTTCCCAATAGTTGCCGACATACTTCCAAACAAAATGTTCACTGAACTCTTCTGGTTGTTTTTCAAAGTACAGCGGAACCACATCATTGCCATGTTTTCTTCTATCTCTTTGAATCTCTTCGAGACGAACTTTCTCATGATTGCTTTCTTCCCACGCTCCTTCCTCCATTAGACGTTGATCAGGACGGAGACGTGAGTCTGTTGGCGCGACTCCATCTTCATATTCATTTAATTGGCAAGTAAAAGAAGTAAAATGGTAATAATATTGTGATTCTGGTGGAGGCAAGCGTTTCTTCCAAATTTCAACAGGCTCGTCTGTGTCATACTTTTCAGTTTTATTTTCATGATGGACGGCATTAACACGTGCAGTTGTTATAAAATCATTCCAATGTCCATTGATGACTAATCTTACATTATTTTGTATATCCTGAATTGTACCGCGTACAATACGCTGAGGTTGTTTTGAAAAGAATGTTTGTGGTATATAATTTAAGGTAGCCTTCCATCCTTTAGCTGCATTATGTCCAATGACATGTACTTCACCGACAATGTCAACATACATTTTACCGAATATTATATTATAAATATCAAAATTGGGACGATTGAAGGTATAAGTAGCACCAGTATTTTCAAAATCAATGCGAAAATAACCATTGGATATGGCTGTAATGTGTTTACCACGGAATCTCGTCTCAATTTGCAGCTGCTGATAAGCTTTCCATCCATTCTTCGATTCAATATTAGAAGCTAATATCGGTGGATGATGTGACACCTGCTCACTTATCATTCTCCATTTCATATCTTCCATTCGATCAAACTCATATGTTTCACCAAGTAAAGGATTAAAAGGCTTTGCTACCCGCTCTGAACATGTGGAAAATGTGGTTGATGAGAACACTGTTACGTAGGCAAGTTGATCACATATATCATTACATTTAGCTGCCTTATCTAACAAGTCAGAGTACTCAAAATCCTCAGCATTACTAAAATTGCAGTTTATTAGGAAAAAAAATTAGTCTTTCTTTATCAAAGTAAAGCAAAGCAAAGATAATGATAAGGTTTTTGTGCCTTACCGTTGTAAAAATGAAATGGGTTCATTAAAATGTACAGGCATTGCGATTTTTGTTAGATCTCTTCCGATACAATTTTTCAAAATGCCCCATAAACTGATAGAATGATGCGGTTTATCAGGTATTCTTGTCCTTCTCTGCCTTACTACCACATTTCCATTCATATGATCAGCCATTTTTTTGTCGTTGTGTTGCTTTTTGTAATCCACGACTTTTGACGTTTGCTTTTTATCGTTGCTGCTCATAGCTTGATGTTCTTCTTTTGACAAAAAAAAGGCACCTGAAATTGCACAGAACAGAAAGGATAATGAATAAATGATTCATTTGGGTCATCGATCGATGAAAGTGAATATTGCGCGAAAAAGGGACAAGGCTGTCACATTACTCACTTATATACTTCCTGTAAATATTCAACGCAAGCTTATTTAGAACTGAAAATCATTGATGACTTTCATAAAGCTTGAAAGCTAAAATACAACTAAGATTATTCTAATGTTCTAATTACATGCTGCTCGCTATACAAACGCTTTTTTTAAGTGAGACGAAAAATAGGCAATGTAAGCAGCTCACTGCCTTAATAATTGTTTATTCATGATTGATGAAAATACTACGAGAATGAATTTGTTGGGAAATCAATGTCTTAATATTTAAAGTGTTTCTTCCATTATTTATAGCGGTCGTAAAGGTTTATCGAGTTCTCGTGCACTTAAACTCTAAACACAAAGAATTTTTTATGAGGATAAACAACAAAGACTGTGTTGTAGTCAATTTATTGCCTGTTATGTTGAGTCTATAGAGTTGTTTGAATGATTTTGGAGATGGTGAAGATTGTTGAGTGGTTTTCAGAAACCTTTAAACTTTAAATTGCTTTTTGTGTTTCAAAACAATACAAATGCTTCAAATTTGTTCCTTTTATTTGGTCTTTAAACTATATTGAAGTATTAATAAATTTGAATTTCATCACATTTATCTGAACTTAGTCTACTGCATCTAATTAACACTAATTGTATATTGTGACTACATTGCAACAATTCCCTTAATTAATTAACGTAAATTAAGCTCAGAATTTCTTCTCAATTGTCACAAGGGGCGGAACTAGGGCGATTTGTCATACATTTTTGGAAATTTCTTCAATGTGCTCAAAGTTTTTTCAGGAAAAAATTGTTCTTAAACCAAAAAAAATTCTGTATACGTCCCTGATTGTCACCAAGCATAAAAAAGCGCAAAAATACACTCATAATCACGGCAACTATAAATGTATGCGACGACAATGATTTGTGATTTTTTTCTTCATTACTATTAATTTTTTTCAAATTTTGCACTGACGAGCCACAATATAAATTATATTAAATAACATGAACATTATTGTTTTTATTGCGCTGACTGTTAAAGTTCTCGTTGTGTCATGATTAAATTATTTGGAATTTCTATTCTTCTTATTATCTTTTCAATTCAACGAGATGATTAACTACTTTATATCACATGAAGGTTTGTAGACATATTTTATTAATATAGCAGTTAACGATAAAGTGTCACACTTTTTCATGTTTTACATCAGATCCCATTTTAATTAAGATACAATGAGCGAACTATTAAAACACCTGTTATTTGTCACTTACTTTTAAAATCTTGAAAATATTTTTTTTTCCTTTTTTGTATCGCACAAAACTTGAACGTTTAAGAATAATCGAGATTTAACTTATTAGAATTATTATTAAATTGTTTAATACTTTTTGCATACAAATCTATGTGAATTTAATATTTAAATGATTTCGATTTTGTGTTACCTCTTTGTATAACTAATAACAACTGAAAAAAATGAGTGTTCCTTCTCTTAGAATTCTTATCACACAAACTTTTCGCGAAAGACAGAGCGGGACGGCTATATTAATGTTTTCAGTCCATATGGCTAGTTCGCTATAGCGTTTTAGTATAATTTCAGTTGCTGCTATTTGACTGTATTACACATTTTATGATTCATGTCCTGATTATTCATGATTTATTCTATTTTTACAAAGTGACAATAATTTGTAATTTTTAAAAATTTATGAATGATTTAAGAAGGATGAAAAACGCATATAAAAGATAAATTGTTCGTAGTTTGACACCCATTGAAATAAATTTTTATTTTATTGAAACCCTACAAAAAGATAAGCAACCTATTTAAAGAGTTTTTACCATTAAATTAATGAGTGTTGTTGAGTTTAAATAGAAGTAAATAGATAGAATCTCTAAAATCCAATTGAAGTCAACTCAAATTAAGTTTCAAAGTAAGTAAAAGATTCAAAATCAAATTTTAATCTTACGTCAATTTCAAAATTCTCAGATTAAAAACAGGTTCAATTCATAAGAAACCTTATCTAATCTTAATAAATTCCGACACACTAAAGTCTATCCTTTATAAAACGCTTTTTATTAACAACAATTCGACTAAACTTGTTTTGTTTCTCTCTCGCCGCTCTCTCAAAATTTATAACTCGTTTGTATACATAAATTTCATACCAGTCGCTATAGTGAGCACATTCAGTCCATTCTTTCCATCGATATTGAACGTACGTAGATATTTATAACAGTCATAAAAGGAGAAGAAAATTGTAGAAAAAGATTCTTTTTAACATTATCAGCAAGGAATTGAAGTGGATTTTTTAAAATTATTGTGAATTATAGTAAAACATATGTAACAGATAGTATTTGAATACATATCATTATTGCGGAAAAGTGTTGTTTCTCACTTTTTTCTCTCCTTTATCATATCGAGTATAAAAAAAAAGTTTTTGTCGCTATCGATTTTTTTCTCCGTTTCCTATTAAACAGTTTTTTTTTGTTTTGTCATGACATTCTGAATAAGATACAAGTGAACATTACTTCGACAAAGGCAAGTTAAGTAACTTAGCTCACATATGTATATGGATATTTTTAAAAATAGTCAGTGTGTGATAAGATATCTTTAGCATTTCCACTGTAACTAAACACAACAAAATTATATATAATAAATAAAAAATAATCAGCAGTGAAATAAAGAACTGAGATTTTTTTAAAATACAATTTACTCGTGGTCGAGAGAAATTACAGTTTTATTAATTTGTGTTCGACACTTATTGTCATTGTGATTATTAATAAATTAATCAACATCAAATAAAAAGTTTAATACAATTGTGAGGAAAAATAGTCTATCATAATCAGTAATTTCACACATTTATAAATTGCATTGAAGTATGAATCAATACTAATAATTAACGAAGAGGTTTCACCTTAAGAATAATGTTAATAAGAGGAGAAGAAAGCAACTCATGAGTGCTATAAAACTGTAAAATCAACATTTTACAACATTTCGCCGAAGTGTATAGGAAACATAACAAATAACTACGAAAGAGAAGGCAAAAAGCGAAAGAAGTAAAGCAAAGAGACTCATCATCATCATCATCGAACTGGACGTGGCGAGTCGTTGAAGAAGAACAATAATAGACACACGAAACAGGTAAGATTTTTATACTCTTTCATTTCTTTCTTTTTTTTTTGATTCGAGCTCACATATGTGTGTACGGTTGCTTATTATTTACTATTATTATTATTTTTTCGATGATTGCAATTATACAGCTATGGAACGTCCATCGATCCATTAAGATACTTTTTTTTTCGATTCACATTATTAATTAATTGATTCAATCACTGTTATTTCTCTTCTGTCGTTTATTTATCATCGCATTGATGATGGCCATAATGATACACTTGCTTACTTTCCTCAACTTCCGTATAAGCCGTAAAGTAGTATCAACAATAGTTTTGTGCTGATCTTATTTTGAATGAGCTAAATGGACTTTCTTGGCGCGATTTTTTAAGGTTTAGGCAGTCGCTGTTGTTGCTACTTTGTCTGTCTTTATTGCTTTTGTACAGTTTGATCTTGTCATTGGAGGGATTTATATGAAAAGAATCTGTAGGTTTTGGGATGGATCAGCTTTCATGTCGATGACCAATTCAGAGACATTCTTTGTCATAGCAGTTGAACATGATCTCGAAATCAATTATTCCCTTTGAAAGTTGCTTACATTATGCCAATATCCAGTTTAAAATGCATTACTGTAAACTATTAACAGCTTCTATAGATAAAAAATGCGCATTGATTCGCGCTTTTGCGGTCATTTTTAACAAGTTTTTCTCAATAATGCGAATGAGAGAAGAAATTAGATGAAAGTTTCTACTACTGTCGATCAGCATAATGAACATGCGATGCAATTGATGCTCTATCATTAAAAAAAAGCATGTGATTATAAAGATTGTTACAATATTGATACCGTAAGTGGATGGTACGAATGCATATTTATTTTCTAAATTAGAATTTCATGAGTTTTTATAAAAATTCAATCAAGAATTCAATTATCACAAAAAGCTGAGCGTTGAGGATTTGCGACATGTGATAAATTTTTGTCGGGTTTTTGTGGACTATAAAAATTTAATCACTCCGAATTATTTATGACTTTTTTTTTCTGTCACACGTGCGACGAGCCTCAACATTTTTTTCAGTAGCCGGAAAATCCTTCCGAAAGTTCACAAATGGCCTATTGTTCTCGACTTTACAGTCCATTCCACGACACTCAAGAATTCGTTTCAGCCTTTTCATCACGAAATACTTATTAAGTGTCATTTAAGTTTGTGAAATACTAAACCTTTTGAGAAACCCGACAAACTGGCATTCTGACAAATTACTAAAATTTCTGCCTCAAGCTGCTATAGACTAATTCACAATATGGAAATCCGATGAAACTTTTATAATATTAATTGCTTGATATTTGCCGAATGTTGCTTTTCATTAACATATAAGCATGTATCATCCATTCAATTTCTCACCACAATAGCTCAAAAGTTTTTCTTCTCCCCATTCAGTCCGAAATGATTTACAGTTTGAAAGTTTAACAGCTTTGGTGCTGAACTGAGTATTTATCTATATATTAATTTATATGTATACATAAAGTTTATGCAGTTGGTTTTTTATTTTATTTTATTCATCTACTTTAGTTTTCACGGAAAGAATCTCAGTAATGTAAAAAATATATGAAAATTGGATGGATGGATGAGTGCACACCGGAATGCTTAACATTGGATAGATCTAATTAAAATTACAAAAGCAATTTTGCTCTGTTTCTTGAATTCAATTCTGTATTTGCACAATTTTAAAATATCTTTCAGTGCTGTCTGTACTTACCTACCCATCCCATCTTCACATTGATCTCTTGACATTTTCGCATATTCGATGGATGGCAATCAGCATAAGCATGAAAATAAGAGGTAGATGGATGTCTGAACGGAAAAAAAAGATGATGATGAAAAATGTTCAGTCTGCGCCTACATAAAGTACTATTTAGTAAAATTCAATTCAATTCCTTTCTCGCATTTGAAATTCACGATCTTAAGTTTCAAAAGATCACGAAAAAATACAACAGAAAAGAGACACGTCAGAAAATTGCAGTTTATGGTTATTTTTTATTTTAACTTCTTCTTACTTCTCGATACGGTTGTTCCTCTCTCTTTTTTTATTTCGTCGTCTTGCGAATGTATCGAACGTCAAATGGGCATATATCGATAATATCAGAAGATTCTTGCCTTGTTTTACTTCCATTATTTCTTATAAATTCCACATTTCTGTACACAGAGACATTAACGGCAATTGTTCTCCTTAAAATGTTTATCTTTGATTTTTATTGCTCGTTTTAGTTTATTGACTGACTGAGTGTGTTTAATTAAACATTGATTTGGGGCAATTATTTGTTTTCGAGGAGGTCTGAATTTCGAATATTCTTGGCAGCTTTTTAAAAAATAAGCAGATGTGAGTTGGAGGATCATTTCATTTTGGGAACTTAGATTCTGGTACTATAAGCTAATTGACTGACACTATACTTACTGATTATAGAATTAGAACTGATTTCTCGCCATTTTTTGACTCTCTTTAAGCTAAATTTGTATTACTTTCTGGTATTATTTGCTACACTCAGTTAACTGAGACGAGACTCGAACCTCCTCCTCTTAGAAATAAGCTGTTAATATCGGCTCAGACCATTTCATACTTTGACCAATTTACTCAATAAAATGCGCATAGACCACACATACTCCAATTACCGTAATTTTTCTCCACTCCAACTTATGCAGCAGATTATTCATCAGCATGATCTCTTTGTTTCTATAAACTGCCAAGGTACATGAAATAGATAATTGTTACGTGAAGTAAAAGCCAGATACATTCATTGAAAATATATTGAACTGCTCATTTGCAAGCAATATCAAAATAAGAAGTACATAGAAGATAAACTCTTTTTTTTGTTTGTTGTTGTTGACGTCGTGCAGTCACAAGAAACCTGTTTTTTCCTTCTTTATTTCATTAACTTCATTTTTACATTTTACATATAAACTGACTTTTGGCTCACACAATCTTAAATCTTACACGAAAATAAAAAAGCATTAATGATGATGATACACGTTAGTTTATTAATATTGTGTGAATGAAGAGATTTTTTGTGTTGTTTAAAGACGGTAAAAAAAATAAAAGTGAGTTTGAATAGATCAATTAAGTTTATTAATCAGTTATAATTTGCATTATTAAAATATTCACGGACTGAACAGAAAGTTTTTTGCTCTCACTTAAAAATAGATGGTACAGTAGCTGCACATACATGCTTGTCGCGTGAACATTTTTTTCCTATTTACTGTTTTTTTTAAGAATGTTTTACGGATCTCCAGTTATTTATTTAGCGATCACGACAGACGCTCACTGTCAACATTAAGCCATGTGCAATTAATTAACACAAAAGCATTGCTTTATTTTTGTCTCACGACAAGCATTAAGATTCACTGATTTTATATATATAAATATCGTACATCTCGCTTGTGTTTATGTACCAATGAAAATAAGAGACGACGACTAAAAAACCAGTTTGCAAACATTGACATTGGTTGGATTATTTTAGAGAAGATTCCGTTTGAATCACGAATAATCCGTTTCTTGTGCAATCTAAAGGACATTCACTTGAGTGACTAATCGTCGTTGAATTGAATTTTATAATAAAGCAAATGTTGGCAGCGCTTAACGATCGCTTTTTTGGAATTTTGTTTGTGAGGTGCTGTTTTTGCCGCTTTGTCAGGTAGAGCTTTATGTTGTGACAATTTATAATTTGCGGGAGTTGTATTAGGTTTCAAACTCTAAGACCAGAGGTGTAGCAAGAGATCAGGGTCAATGCTTTACTATCCCAATCTTCATTATTTCTGGTCATACTTTTAAAAAGGACTCAAAGATGTTCATTTAAAAATTTCAAGGGGTGTTAAACTATGCCAAACTTAGTTTTCTTTTTAAATTTTGTGAAGTTCCAGATTAACGAGTTAAAACTTAGCATGCAAATCAGATATAAAAAGTTTAAAACCAATGATTATGTACAAATGACGTCCAAAGTTACTTAAAGCACTTAGATTAGATTAAACCTTAAAAAGCGCTTTATATTTTTGACAACAATTGAACTCACTCTTTTCCCTATCATATGTTCATTATTTAATTTATCGTATTTTATTATTGTAGTCGGAAGTTTTTATTGCCTAAAATATTCCACGTTGCTGTATTATTTGATAACTTAAACAGAATTTTTTTTCACTTTATCGTTCAAAATGTTTTCTACGTTAACGCATTAAACAAGCATATCCAATTTTCTTTCAAAAGGAAAAAGTCAAAAAGTGTAAAAAAAGTGAATATTTGTTAAATAAATATCTGATCCATTTATGAAGATATATGAGATAACAGTGTGAGTGTTTGCAAAAGAATCTACTAAAAAATTCATGTTAAAAGCCTTGATCTGATTTATATGTGTATTATTTTTTGAAACGCATTTTCTCCTCATGACATTTTGCTAGTTACGTATTCAAGTAATGCTTTTCTGTATTATCATTGCCTTGGGAATATGTTACCATATATTCAAGTTATTCGAGACTTTTAGCACTTAATTATTGATGTTGGGGCTTTTATTAGAACATTAACATCTTCGAAGACAAAAGGAAAAAGGTTAAATTCGAAATGTCAGGTTGTATTATGGCTTCAGAATATATGCTTTGGGGGTCGTTTATTAATGATGTCTAGAGATAAGATTTTTGAAACCTAATCCTTTTTTTTCTTCTCAAAAATTTAATCTATTGAGAGTCTTGCAGCTCTAGAACTCTTCTTTTTAGTTTTGGACGTCATTAAAGAACAACTCCATTGTCAGATCAAAGAATTTAATGGTTGGGTACGGCAATATTAAGTACAAGCTAGGGAATTTTATAAATAAGATTTTAAATGTGAATTGTGTTCATTTTGCGTTGATTTTTACTGTAAATATCAGATAAACATGAATGTCATGAAATATTGATTTACCTTATTGCTAGTGAACAGCAAAAAAAGTCATTGAGAATCTTTAAATCTCGACAAGAATCAAATTGCCATGTAAATCGTTACTCGTGGTACATTCG